GACCCCCAATGGCAAACTAGAAACATGGTTTGCATCCGATTGTGACACAACCAGAAACCCGGAGAATATCGTCGGAATTGGGCTTTCGACGGTGCCAATGCTTCATCCACTTCATCAGATTGGGGTTGTCCAGTCGCCCCGTGGGTACAGATCAAGTTAACGAGCTATCTTGCACCGAACAACAAAGCTTTCTCAGCTACTCAGGCTTAGATGTGTGTTTGAAATTAAGAGCGAGGCGAAAAGTGGTCCATGATGGAAGTTTAGCCTGGGTTGTTGATATTGTGAGCAACCCCTGTGACGCCCCCTTTTCACTTCCAGATAAAGACAATGACTAGCTCATCGTCTTGGAAGACTGATTTGAACGGCATGCGTGGTCTTTGCTGCGGTTTCTTGGGCACTTGGTTGCCAGCCTTGAGGAGCTTGACATCAGACCTGTTGAGTTCCGTATGCTTGTCAGGTTGGGAGGCTGTCCCAGTCTGCCTCCTCACACCAACATCCATCACCTTCCGGAAGACCCTCAAGGTTTGCTTCCACTCTGAATCCCATCTCACGTGCCTCTTGAAAATTCCAAGGAACAATAATAAACTACTTGGGTTGCTACCTATTCACGCCTGTTTTTAGACGAGGGGAAAAATAAACAGGTCTCGAAAAAGTTGATCCGGGAGGTTCCTTCCTATAAATTCTCCCACCGTGACCTTCTTCCGTTTGCCTTTTTTCTTCCACACACTCGCTGCCCACCTTTGTCTGGTCGGTTGCAATTTCTGGACTTTTTCCGCTGTGCCTTTCGGTATCAACTCGATCAAGAACCCAAGACAAGGTGAGTACCCAAACCTGTTTCTTTTCTCTCTCTTCACTGCCCAAGCTCGCCGTTTCTCGATATCTTCGAAGTCGCTGTAATTTGGGTCGACCGATCGAGCCAAATCGACTGTATTGCGTTTCTCCCTTCCCTCGCACATCGCATTTCGCACCGGGTCTTTACTCTGGCAAGCGCGTCTCTCTGACCGCGTATCCTTCCTCAAACCATCCCTACTTCCTATCCATTTCACGAGTCCTAGCAAGTCGGCCTTTCTCTCAGAATTTGGTCTATGCCCAGCGGCGGCCAGTCACCTTTTTATTCTCACGTCTCGAGTTTACCAGGTAGTACCTGCCTTCCCTGCTCCCGCTTCACTGCCCTCCTGGTTTCTAGGTCCTGCGACTACCTACCTATACCTACCTTGATTGTTGCGAGATCAGTCGGCGGCTCCTTCCTTTCGAAGCGCAACTTACTCCCCAGGCAATCGCGAGCCGTGGCCACAAATAAATATGCCTCCCCATTTTTGTCCACTTCCATTCGGCCCTTATTCTGTTTCCTCTCTTTCCTCCCACAACCCACCTCCATACAACACCCGGCAGCTAGATCTCGAAGACTTTCGTTTTTGGAGGTTTTGAGGTCGCGTATCGAGGTTTTTTTTGTTCATTACTTTCAACGCCTGATCGCCGTAAAACATTCGGTTAACGTTTATTCTGCAGAAAAAAACAGAACTCAATTTGACAATGACGGACCACGGCTGGGGTCCTGCTCCCTCGGAGCGCAACTTGGGTAGCGCGACCGCCGCTTCCGCTGGTGCCTTTGGTACCACTGAGCTTCAAGAGGCTCTTCCGGTTAACGGCAACAAGCAAGCCCAGAGCAAGCCAGAGACGCCTCCCGGCTGGGTTCAGCCCACCGCTTACGACTACACTGCCTACGGCAAAGACGACGCCAATGAGTGGGACAGCAACGCTCATGTCTATGAGTGGGACGGTGAGAATGGCGACATTGGTCCGGAGCACCCAGCTCTTGAGGCGCAGCTGTTTGGCAACCCCGACAAGCGCGGGAAGCAGGGCATTGATTTCAGCAAGTAAGTTGTCTGCCCACTGATTATGATGTGAGTTTGAATTGTTTGCTAACGTTATCTTAGGATCTCCGAAATCGAGCTGAAGCAGGAAGGACCGGCCCGAGTTCATCCCATTGCCAATTTCAAGGACGCCGGCCTTCATCCGGCGATGCTCAAGAATGTTCAGCTGGCGGGCTATGAAGTCCCGACTCCGATCCAGCGCTACTGCCTGCCAGCCCATCCACCTTGGCTACGATGTGATTGGCATCGCGCAGACGGGTAAGTTCTTAATGTGCCTGGAATTGTGAGCCCCCTTTCTCATTGACCTCTTAGGTTCGGGCAAGACTGCTGCCTACCTGATCCCGATCTTGAACAAGTTGATGGGCAAGGCCAAAAAGCTGGCTGCTCCCCGTCCGAACCCCGCCACCTTTCAGGAGGGGGTTGACCAGCGGGTCAGGGCCGAGCCTCTGGTGGTCATCATCTGCCCGACTCGTGAGCTTGCGGTCCAGATCTTCAACGAAGCTCGGAAGTTCTGCTACCGCACTATGTTGCGCCCTTGCGTCGTCTACGGCGGCGGTGCCCTGAGGGATCAAGCCCAGCAGCTTCAGAAAGGCTGTGATATTCTGATTGCTTCCCCTGGCCGGCTTATTCACTTCATCAATAAGCCTGAGACCCTGACCCTTCGTCGCGTCCGCTACATGGTCATTGACGAGGCGGACGAGATGTTGATGGATGATTGGAGCGAGGAGTTGACGACGATCCTGTCTGGTGGAGGTGAGTTTGACGGGGTGTATGCACCTGGAAATATGGTCTAACCTTGTGAACAGGAACAGGAGGAGGGCAATATCAACTACATGTTGTTCTCTGCCACTTTCCCCAAGGCAGCTCGGGATTTGGCTCAAACCCACCTTGCGGAGACTCATGTTCGCCTTCGTGTCGGTCGCGCCGGCAGCTCGCATGCGAACATCAAACAGAATGTGATCTACGTCGACCCTTCCCTGAAGAAGCAGGCCTTGATTGATCTCATCAAATCTCTTCCGCCCACCCGGACCATCATCTTTGTCAATTCCAAGCGCGCAGCCGAGGAGGTGGACGACTTTCTGTTCAACCTGGGCATGCCGTGCACCTCGATGCATGGGGATCGCAACCAGCTGGAGCGTGAGGCCGCCATGCGTGGCTTCCGGGGCGGTAAGTGGCCTATTCTGATCGCCACTGGCGTCACGGCTCGTGGCATCGATGTGCGTAATGTCATGCATGTCATCAACTACGACCTCCCTTCGATGGAATACGGTGGTATTGAGGAATACACTCATCGCATTGGTAAGCTTGTTTCGAGCCGTGCTATCCCAAAGTTTTCGTCTAATATTGATAGGTCGGACCGGCCGTATCGGCCACCGCGGTCTGGCGACATCCTTCTACTCTGATCGGGATGAACCCATTGCTTCGGTTCTCACCCGCACTCTCATGGAAACTCACCAGGAGATTCCCGACTTTTTACAGCCGTATGTCCCCGAGGGCGCCACCGCAGACAATCTCAAGTTCGAAGCGGATTCCGACTTTGAGGAGGAGGCTTCGGGTGGCGATGCTGGTGGAGATGGTGGCTGGGGTGCTGCCGACGACAATGCCGACAACAACGGTGACGCTGCTGCTGCTGATGGTGTCGATGCCGGCGGTGGTGGTTGGGGCGCTGGTGGCGATAACAACAACGCGACTGGCAACAACACCAATGGCTGGGGTAACGGCGGGAACAGCGCTAATGGCGGCGGCGGTGGTTGGGGCGCCAGCACCTCGACTGAGCCCGTGGCTAGCACCAACTGGTGAGACTTCGAACGGCTTTCTCTAGCATTCTGAAACGGCAACGGTCTGCCAACTGGGATTTTGGGGTGGATTTATCTTGCAGGTTGACTTGGAAGGGGATTCAGACGTTTTTGAGATCTTGGGCTCTGATGACACGGGAGAGCTCTAATGGCTGGAGATAATTCTTGCAGAACAACCAGAAATACAGACCATCCATCTGCTTTCGTGATTTCATGTCAAGTTGGTTGAATGTCTTTCAAGTATATGCGGAACTACCTCTTTATAGGCCTTCCTTAACACCTTAGGTACAGGGCCATCGCGGACACTGGGATTTCCAGATGAATTTGCATTCCTCCATGTACGCCAAGTTTGAACCGGATAGGTAGGTTGCCACCCATTACATTTGGGCCCCTCTTCAAAATCCGAGGGCAGTAGGAACAAATGATATCTCAATATTTGGGCGACGAGGGGGATGAAGATAGTCGCCAAGCGCGAAGAGGCAGGGCTTGAAGCTGCAGCACCTTGGGGCGGATGAACAGCACGAAGGTGACGAGACCGATCAGCACACAGAGAATGTTGACGCTGTAGTAGCCGTCGTGCTGCATTTCGCAGATACCTCCACCTGCCAAGGCACCGCTCCTTGTCAGCCTGGACGGCGCAGCTGAAGGGGGTCGACACGGTGAGTTTCGCGTCGGGGCCGGCGTTGGGGTCGGGCAGGCAGGTGGCGGCGGTGAAAAGCGTCTACCATACGCAGGACGAAGAAGCGCGGAAAGGTGCCGCCCAGGTTGCACACGGTCGCGAGCAGGGTCATGTAGGTGCCGCCGATGACGGGGTCGGCGATGCGGGCGTGAAAGGCCGCCACGGCGACGAACATGATGGTATTGGTAAAGGTCGAGAACACGTGCTGCCCAATCACGGCCAGCAGGTACCAGGACGTCACGCCACCCGCCGGGAAGATGGAGACGGTGAACTGCGCGATGAGCGCGGCGGCCAGGCGGCCGGCGAAGCCCCAGCACCAGAGCCGCATGGGCGTGTATTCTTGTGACCATTTTCCTGCGTAATAGCCCAGACCGATCTCGAAGGGGAAGTCGATCAGCACGGTGAGGGCCATGTTTTCGGTGCCGAAGCCCTTGTCGAGGAGCTTGAGGCTGGTGACGCCGTCGTTGGCCTGGAAGCCGATCTTGGCGATGAGGTGGACGAGGATGATGGTTTGGATGTTCTTGAGCTTGAGGACGCCCCACATGATCTTGTAGACGTCCCAGATGCCGTCCTCGTTCTTGGTTTTCTCCTCCCGCTTGAGGAAGGTGAGGCCAAGGGTTACGATGATGTACGCCCACCCGGCGAAGTGGAGGTAGCCGCCTAGGCTGATTAGGCCGTGCTCGAGCGGCTCGGTGCGGAACCAGCGGTTGGCGAAGTCCTTGGAGTGGAAAGCCAGGAAGACAGTGTAGGAGAGGAACTGGCCGGCAGTCAGGCCGACCGTTTGCGCGGTGGAGGCGTACGAGACGTTGCCCGGGGTCAGGAGGGTCAACGCCCAGCCGTCGACGGCAATGTCCTGGGTGGCGCACATGAGCACCAGAAAGAACCACCAGCCGGTGAAGCCCCATACGGTGGGACCGCCGGGCTTGCCCGTCGTTTCCATCATGTTCTCAACCATCGACCCAAGCCATAGCATGCCTATCCCAGAGAGCAGCTGGATGGGGAGAATCCAGCTCTTCCTCCGCCCGACCTTGGGGCTCCATACCGCATCCACGATGGGGCTCCAGAAGAGCTTCAAAGAATAGGGGTAGGACGCTAAGCTAAAGATGCCGATCTCGCTGTACGACATATGATTTTTCAAGAGAAACGGGACGGATCCCGTGGCGAGGCCGAGGGGGATGCCCTGGAGGAAGTAGAGGAGGACCAGCAGACCAAAATTCCTTTGGTCCCGCTTCGGCAGCTCGAAGAAGCCATGGTTATTGTAAGTCGGGGTTTTGGGTACGGGGTCGTCGAGGGAGAAGGACTCTCGCGCCATTAGGTTCGCGGCGGCGCCTTGTGAAGTGGAGGTCTCGTGGGAAACGTTGCGTCGTTGGACTTCGACGTTGGTGTTCATCCTGGAGAGTTCGCCGTTGGTCTTTCTCCCGGAGGCACGCCCCAAGGAGCCTGTCGAAGTCGTCGGCGATTTCGAACGACGAGACTTGGTACCCATAGGAATTATACGCAAAAGATCAGGGCCAAGAGTGGTTATGCGATATGCGATGTGCGATGTGGGATGTGCGATGCGCGCGCAGTGTTTCACGTTGCCAGTTGGGATACGGGGGACGGCAAGGGGTCGATTGGGATCTTCGAAGACAGGGTGGCTGGGAATGGGAGGTCCGAACGAGAATAAAATCTTGTTAACGAGAGACAGGAAGGTTGGTGTCTTGAAAATGAAGGTGGCGCTTTTTTTTCCGGAGGCTGCCGGACGTCGACAATGAAAGGCGGCAAGAAAACCCAACCGTCAGCATCGGAGTGTCTGGGCCACGTCGCTTGGACCCGGCGATTCGGAGGCAGTTCTTGTCGTCGCGGGGGGCAGTGTCAGGGGCCTTGGATTGGCAGTGGAGCGTGGGGAAGCTTAGCGTGGTTCAAGCTGCAACGGTGGCCTCTGTTGCTTGTGGCGAAGTGGTGTTCCAGAAACATGGAGACTGCAAACAGGAAAAGAAAAGAAGGAGAAGAAAAGACCATCCATTCCAAGGCGACGGCAGATTGTTTCTTTCGCTTACATCTGAATCCAAACTTTACTTAGACGCCTTCCATCCTCGATTTGTGTCCTGTTCGAAGCTGTCTTCGCAGGTACCTGCATACTGTGTAGGTAACCGGGCAGGGTTCCCGTCCCACCAGATCGGGCAAAATGCATTCGGCCCCACCCAGATGCCCGAGCCAAGTCGCCTGAAGAGAGATTTGGGGTTCTTGCCAAGCTTTAGTGACTGAACACACACATGGCTGACAAGGGCCGCGGGGGTTGCCGGCCTTGGGAGTAAACAAAACATCTCAACAACCCCTCGCCAGTGACTCGCAGATGCCAGCCTTGAAGCGACATCTCATTCAGAACCTTTCCACGATAGAATCGCCATTGGAATCAATTATCATTAATTAATCCCCAGTCTTCAATTTTGAGATTGACGCGTGAAAGTCGTGGCCCACCATGTCATCGAACCTTGATGATGAGATTGAGGATCTACAAGCAAAGAGTACACCTCACCCACCCGTTTTCTCTAACATGATTATTTGACTAACACATATTGTAGTTTCTTCCCTCAAAAAGCAGCTCCGTATCCACACATCAACGCTCATCACCGCCCCATCAACCCGCCAGCTCCTCACGGAAGACACACACGCTTCATCCTCGGCCCCTAAAACAAAGCACCAGCAACAACAAAACTCGCTCCTCGCCGATTCCGCCGACCAACACGAAGCCCACGCCCAACAGTGCCTCTATCGCGCATGCGCAACACTCACCACATTTCGGGCGCGAGACCCCGACCCGTGCGCCGTCGATGCCGGCGCGATCTTAGGCTTGCGCATCGAGGTCATCAGCCGCGCCCGCTTTCTGCGCCCTTACTACGTCCTTCTGAACCGGCCCTATTTGAGCGCTGATGGGAGCCGTCGCCTCCGGGTGCATCGCCATACCCTACCAGCTTGTATACCCCTTGCGGGGTTGGCGGCGAGATACTTGCCACCTCCGGCGGCGGCGACAAAGGAGGGCAGCGGGGGTAAGAAAAAGCAGGATCTGGCCAGGTTTGCACGCGCGGTGAGGAGGGACGTGGTGAGGTATCATAATCGGCTTGGGGTGGTCGCGGATTTGAGGAAGGCGGCGGGGGTGGGGAGGGACACAGGCGCCGAGTTTGGGGAGGAGGAGCAGCCGAACAGGCTGGTGAATATTACTGCGGCCGACTCTGAAGTGAAACAGCTTACCATTGAGTGGGCTGACGGCCGGACCGGACGGCTGGTCATGGGCAATGATGGGGAGATTGTCAAGTTGGTAGTGCTGGGCGAGAACGGCCGGGACCGAGAGGCTGCAAGGGGCTTGCTCGGTGGAGCTACCACGGCTGAGGATGTGGTAAAACGGTTGGCGGCCGCATCCGTTTGATCCTGTTTGGCATGTGCACCTCACCCATTTTTACCTCTTTTCTTTTTTTCTATGCCTTCACGTGGCCGTCAAAACCTGGGGGAGCATCGCATCCCGGCAATGCCGGTACCCATCGATCGATGAGGCCATCTAGAGCCGACTCGTTGAGTAGCCCGTTTCCACGCCACCCCAACGTCCCTCCCGCGGCAACCAAGCGAGCCAAGCTACGCGAGACCAGACGATGACCTGCGCGCTGCAATCAAAGGAGAGCTCGGTGCAATCTATTCGGTTACATTCGATGGGAGGTCGTTGACCAAAGACTCATCGGCCAGGGCAGAACCGGTTTTGTAGCCGTGTGTTTGTTTATTTATTCAGCTGCACGTTTTGCCATCATGTCATCATCATATCGTCGGCTTGGTAACACTCAAGGGACAGTTGGGCGTGTGGTTGGTCCAGCGTAGGGTATTATTGCATGGCACTATAGGGGTTTATGCCTTCCTTTTTAGGAACCCATCTGTGTGGTGTTCTACGCGACATGGGACACTCAGCATACCTCCTTACGCAGTGGCGCAGGAGAGAACGGGTCGAGTGCGGGAGAAGCGAGCCGTCGCACAGCGCAAGCGGCGCGGGTAATTGAGACCACGGTTATTATCCGTTATGGTCGTGGCGCCATTTCTTGCCAGACCTAGGCTCCCAGGCTGGGTGCTTTGGGGAGTTCCGGGCTCTAGAAATTCTCAAGAGGGATGTGCCGAACGGAGTCATTCACGACTTGGTGGTGAGCATGACCCTGGAGCATAAATTGAATCAAAAGAAAGCCGTTATCAAAGCAAATACATTTGCTAAGGTCCAGAGTCCCGTCCTGGCTAACACCTTTCGGGCTTGTCCCAGCAAACTACGAGAATATGACTACGTACTAAATATAATCTCAGAAGATCTCTGCCCTCCCCTCGTCTCCCGTAGCCAAAAAGGTGCCACACAAACCGCCATGAACATTCCGCGTTAGAAATCATCACCAAACTGTAACAGATCCTCTCAAGAACCTTCCATTACATTTCCACCCCCCAGTCCACCACTCAAATAAACAACCCCTGTCCCGAGAAGAAACCTCATCATCCCCGCACAAACAAGCCCATTCACAGCAGCGCAGCAGCAGCCGCCGCAAGAACAGCCAGCGCCCTCACCAGCCCGCTGCACGCCTGAGGTCAGCAGCACCCCCAGTGAAGGGGGTCTGGCTCGTCGCCGTTTTGCTCGGCAGCGCGGTGGTGCCCACTGAAAGGGTGGGCGGGCTGGTGACGACCGGGGGCGGCGGCGGCGGCGGCGGAGGAGGAGGAGGGGGGGGAGGAGCCTCGGCCGACTTGGTGCTGCTGGCCGGCGGGGGAGGAGGGGGAGGCGGCGGGGGGTGCGGGTGAGTGGTGTGCGTCGGGGGAGGCGGGGGAGGGGGCGGCGGCACGACCGTGGTGGGTGGTGGTGGGGGCGGGGGCGGGGCCTCGGTTTCGGTCACCGGGCAGATGGTGGTGCTCACGGCGATGGTCACCGTGGTGAGGACGATGCTGTGGTCCGGGCCACTTGGGTCACTTCCGGGGCGCAGCTGGTGATGGTCTGGACGCTGGTCGTGTAGACGGTGCTGGTCGTCCACTTTGGTGGGTGGGGGGAAGGCTTGCCCGGTCCCCAGGTGAGAGTGGGAAACACCACGGTTGGCTGGAGCCGAGCGAGAAAGGGGGCGGCTCTTGCTCGCCGTAGTGGGCAGCCGCGCGTGCGGCGAAGACGCCGCAGGGCGATGGGTGTTGGCCTTCATGGTGGATATGGGTTGGGGGTAGAACGAGTGACTGAACGAGTGAATGACACCTTGGGTACTGAAATGGGAAGGAAGTGACTGGGACTGAGGGCTGGGGGACCGGGCTTTTATATACACAATATCGTTTGCCCCCCCCCTACTCCAGTTGTGTGGGAAAGAGACGGGAGGCAGCGTGATACTCGGCGCCGTGGGCGCCACTTGGGCGGCATTCTGGACTGGGGGATGGAGAGGGGGTGCGCCCACTTCGGTACATGAAAAGCAAAGGCTAGACACCACAGGAGACAAGTATCGTGGTAATGCGTATGGCCGGCTAAAGGAGAGACATGGTTGATTACCGGTAATCAGGGTTGATATTGGGCGGCAACATCTGGGCCATTGAAACCACTGACGGCCCGGATGGTGTGTGTGAAGAGAGACCTGCATATGATGGCAGGGCACACGGAACAGCCATGAGCCACACGACCCCAAGGTGCACAAGGTGCTTCTCCGGTGAAATTCGAGCGCGAAATAAGGTTACCGGCTGGCAATCCCCTGCTCCCTGCGATAGCGTGGCAACAGTCGTAGGGCCAGGCGATGTCACCTCCCTTCCGCGACCTCCTCCTGCGTAGGCGGGGCGATGTGCCCCTGCGTTAGGTGGTTCGGTGGCTTCGAAAGGACGGCAGCTAGCCGATCCGAGTGCTTTCCCCTGCATTAACGCATACCTGCAGATAAACCCGTTATATCTTTACCTGATAATTTAAATCCTCAGTGATCCAAGACATCAACTGGTGAGAGGGTTGTCATTGCTTTTGAGGAGAGGTGTCATCGGTCGAGCCAGCTGCCTGAAATAGCCAGGCGATTGTGATTCGGATCGAGACATCGTTTTCAGCTCATCCGAGCGGGACGATCATAATGACCATCATGCGGAGAAACAGGGCTGAACCAGGCTGTTTCTCCCAAAGACCCGGTAGGAGGTCGTGTAATTGCCCCGGGCCGGCGAGGCGCACACGATTATTGGACTCGGGCGACACGAGTTTGTGATACGTTTTGCACTTTTGTTACGAGAAAGCCATGTTATTAGGCGGCTGCCTCGCGCATCGGGTCACCGCATCGTAGGGGCTCGAGAGGGGAGACCAGTCGGGTAGGTCTCGACCAAGGACACGGCAATGAGTGGGTGGTGGGGTTGCCGACCTTACAAGTGGGATGATGGGATGGGATTGGGAATTGTTTGCAGCAGCTTTCTGGCATTCGTTGCTGGTGGCTCGGTGGCTCCTGTGACGAGGGTTAGGGTGGACGCGAAGGTGTCGGGTGGCTGGAGCTTAGCTATCGGCAGGACTGGCCGTGTGGCCGCGTGGCCGCGTATCAGCACCGTCAAAAGCGACCTAGTGGTGGGGCAATACGCCTAGTCCAGCTCCGGCGGAAGCCATCACGCTCCGTTCTTGACAGCTTGACGCTGCAACGCTGGCTAATCCGGCCGCAATCCCATCAACACCCAGGTTACCCGCTCCCTCGCTTTTCCCTGTTATTTTTCTCAAGTCTCCAGATCTCGTATTGTGCTGGTCGTGATACATTCTGGAGAATTCCGTTGTTTTGCGCTGAAGCTTGTTGTATTGACACCCTGCTTCGACTCGAACGCTGTATATTTTGTCTGAATCCGAACGCCTGCGGCATGGCGCAACCTGTTGATTTGAGCACCCGCAAAAGGGTTTTGCGCGTGATCTTTATTTCTCTGCTACTGGATCTTGTACGTATCACTTCTTGCTCGCTATGTGCCTTGCGTGCGTGCGTCTAACCTAGCCCGTTTTAGATTTCCTTCACCTTTATCCTCCCCCTATTCCCGAAACTACTAGAGTTCTACCGCAACGCCGAAGCTCCCCTCGACACCGGAGCCCCGCCGTCCAAGACACTGCTCTCGAGTCTGCTCGGCTACCTGAATGCATACAAGGCTGCCTTTGCGCGCCCCATTGACTCCCGATATGACATCGTTTTGCTGGGTGGCGCCCTAGGGAGCTTGTTCTCGTAAGTAGTGGCCATGCGCTTGCTTGACACTGTCAACCCTCACATACTAACCCATGCCCTCTACAGTCTCCTCCAGGCCATTGCTTCTCCGATCATTGGACGGCTCTCCGACAAATACGGCCGGCGCAACGCATTGCTCGCGAGCATGGCCGGCAATATTCTCTCGGTACTGCTCTGGGTAATGGCGGTGGATTTCCGGACCTTCTTGGCTTCACGTATCGTCGGAGGTCTTTCCGAGGGCAATGTGCAGCTCGCGACTGCCATTGCGACCGATATTTCGGATGCGAATAGCCGTGGGTCGACCATGGCGCTCATTGGCGCATGCTTCTCCATCGCCTTCACGTTTGGGCCAGCCTTGGGCGCCTGGCTTAGCTCCATTGCCACCGTGGCCGCCAATCCGTTCGCGACTGCCGCCGGGGTATCGCTCTTCCTGATCGTGACCGAGACTGTATATCTGTACTTGAGCCTGCCGGAGACTCTTCCCTCGATGTCCAACACAGCCACCGAGAAGAAAATGGAACGGGCAGCGGCGGCCCGCCCAGTCCAGCGGACAAATTCGCACTTCCTCCTCAACCTAGTGCACATGACCTTCCTCCTCTTCTTCTCAGGCATGGAGTTCTCGCTCCCGTTCATGACCTACGACCTGTTCGAGTATACATCTGCGCGGAACGGTGGTCTCCTGGGCTACATCGGCCTGGTAGCTTCCATCCTACAAGGCGGCGTCACCCGCCGTTTACCTCCCTTGCTCTCCGTCCGGATCGGCGTGGTATCCTGCCTCCTCTCCTTTGCTCTTCTCGCCCGTATCTCCTCCGTGTCTGGGCTTTACCTCGCCGCCACCGGCCTCGCTACCACGTCAGCCACCGTCGTGACCGGTCTCAACGCGCTGAGCAGCTTTGAAGCGAGCGAGGATGAGAGGGGCGGGAAGTTGGGTATCCTCCGAAGCTGGGGCCAGCTCGGTCGCGGACTGGGCCCCGTGCTGTTTACGAGCGTGTACTGGTGGGCGGGAAGGGAGATGGCTTACACGATGGGCGCTGTGGGAATTGCGGGTGTGTGCACCCTGACACTATTGGGGCTCAAGACGCCGCCCGCATCTTTGAAGCAGAAGAAAGAGCAGGCGACGGAACACGAGAAGAAGGAGCTGTGAGCAGTTGTCGGGGATTGTATATGTGGGTCCATGTCAAACATTGTATAGTACGTTGAAGGTAAATGAAGACGGTTTAGAAGGGGTTAGGTCTGTGTATATAGTGATGTGTACTTCCAAGGTACCGTAGATGGCAATTTCAAGAAGTAGGTAAGTCACAAACCATTCTTCATAGCCCATGACCAAGTGTGATGAAGTAGTAGGAAGCCCATTCCTCGCTCGGCCAGATCATACGGTTCGCATTATTATATGACGTCTTGTGAAGAAGAGGGAGCCGGTGGCATCAAATGCGCTGTTTACACGTACCGTCAATACCGTCTGAGTAAATAGGCAATATCCCATATGATCGTATCATTTTCCCCACGACTCCCGGCTTCCCTCTTCGCCCGACAGTTTTGTGGTCTACAAGATGATGCAGCTTGGAACACGCAACAAACACATCGGAGGCGGGAAAACGACAATTACACGCGTCCGTAACCGGGTATCCATACCTTAACCCTACATGCCCCATCGTCCATACTTACAGCGCAACATCCTGGAAGGAAGCCCCATCACCACCGGGTTTCCCATCCTTTTCATCCTGGCCAGCCGCCTTCTCTTCTTCTGTATCATCATCCGCCTCGTCCTCAACCGTCGGTTTCGGCCTCTCCACCAGCCGTTTCTCGTCCCGCTCGTCCGCCAGCATTTTCTGCTCGTCTTGCCCACCTGACCTGGCTTTTTGCTCCTCCTGGATTTCCTCTCCATCGTCACTCGACGAGTCTGACTCGGTGCCTCCCTCCTCTTTCTGCCCTGCCCCGTTTTCGGAGCTGGGTTCTGGCGCCTGGTTGCTATTCGGGCTGGGCGCATTCTGCGGCGTTTGGTCGTCCTTCTGGGGAGGCGACGGGGCGGTGGCTGGAGGGGCAACAGTCGTCGTAGTCCCCGTCGTCGTCGTGGTTCCGACGGTTCCCGCGGTGCCAGGACGGTCCTCAAACGGCGGGCCGGCGCGGACCGCGTCTAGGTAGAACTTTGTAACGCCGAGGATGCGGCCGTTGCGCTCGCACGCCTCAACCCACTCGGGCCGGACGATGGGGATGTTGAGCTCGTTTGCCTTCTCCCACTGCAGGCCGCGGCCCTCGGTCGTGACGAAGTGGGTTGTGTCGATGCGCACACCGTCGACGATTTTGGCGCCGATGCGCTCGACGGCCGCGCCCAGCCCCTCGCGCACGGCGGCCGGGAGTATGCCCGTCGTGATGGTGATGCCGCTCAGATCCGTCATCTTGTGGGTGCGCACCGTCACGCGCTGGCTTGCCGTCGTGCCCGCCGTCGTGCGCAGTACCAAGTGGAACGTGTATTCGGTATCAACGGCCAAGCCGCTGATTTTGGTGGTGTGCATCGCGAGCGGCTTGGGGATGTTGCCCGCCTTCTGGCCGTTGCGGTACAGTGCCAGGCTGATCAGATCGGCCGTCGCCAGCTGGATCGGGTCCCATTCGAGCACGACGCTCGTTTGAGTTGCGTTGCGGCACCGCAGGACTGGCGCCGATGGCTCGGCCGCACCGAAGCAGGAGAGGATCGAGTCCTGGAGCTCCCTAAACGAGCGCTCCGCTACCGTCTCGGAATTCTTGTTGCGCGTGACATTGATGTCGACGATGGAGCCCGATGCGATATCGGGAGGGAGCAGGATCGAGGGGAATTCGATCTACAGAGCCGGCGATGATGGTATTAGCAATGCATTTCTCAACCGAGCAGCTCTATGGATGGAAGACACATGCCAAGCGCTTGTCAGGGGTGAGTAGGACTGTGACGCCGGCGTCGACCTTGCCGACAGTGAGCGAGACGAGCATTGTGTTGTAGACTCGGCGTGCCGGGTTACGCGATACTGTTGGGGGATGGCTTTGGTAGGTCTGCTCGAGTCTTGCGCCCGATATTCAGGGAGCCGGGGTGTCCTTGATCCGAGAGCTTGCCGCAAGTATCCGTATTGATGTTTGGTCGAGACAAAAAGAGAGAGACAACCGACTGGCTCGCAAGTTGCCTAGGCTCTCTTGCATGCGTGGTGTCTTGGCAGCGTAAGCTGGGGTCCACGCTAGAATGGCCAGAATGCGCTGTGAGACCTCAAAAGTGACCCAGGCTCAGGTACCCGCTGCGGGGGACCTTCAGCGGGAGGGGACCGAGGAGGCAACCCCACCATCGGGCCACGAGTTCGAGTCCATCGCCGCTCGAGCCCACGGATTCAGCCATTCCAGGGTCCGGTCATCCCATGATCCTGTCAGGTCTTTCACCTTCACCCTCATTCCTACCACGGCCTGGCTAACCTATAACCACCCAACCTCTCAATATGCTGTCCGATATCCAGACCGAGACCCCGCCAGAGAACCTCGCCGCATTGGCCGAGACGCACTACTTTGCTGCCAATCCACCCCCCAAGGACCTTGAGAAACATGTTGGGTTGGCTCGCGAATTCATCAACTACCACTCCGCCGCCGGAAAACGGCTAGTGTTGATCACATCGGGAGGAACGACGGTGCCTTTGGGTGTGTTTCTCTCTCAATTGAACGGGTAGGCCCCGATATCTGACAATTAGCCGTGTAGAAAAGCAGACAGTCCGATTCATTGATAATTTCTCTGCCGGCACTCGTGGAGCCGTGAGTGCCCTTCCTCTTATAAAGGGGCTGCTACTCAGGGGTAGGGGTAACTCCCCTCACAAAAACTCCCATCCCATCTTTGACATGTCGATATCTTGTTATCAGCAGTTATGGAAAATACTGATCCGAGCAATCTTTTAGACAAGCGCTGAATACTTCCTGGAAGCCGGATACGCCGTTTTGTTCCTGTAAGCAATCTCACCAGGCATCTGATTTCCCCGCTCGTGTCAGCCCCTTTTATCGGGGAATGCCGAGGATGCTAATATCTTACTGAGACATCGCCAATTCTCTCTCCTTCCGTTCTCCCGCCACTACAGCCATGCGACCGACTGCTTCCTTGACTTCCTCCGGGAAGGCCCTGATGGCAGCGTCATCGCCCGCGACGAGGACGCCTCCAAGATGTTGCACGTCTTGAGGAAGTACCGCGACGCACGGGACCGCAATATGTTACTCCTGCTGCCGTTCGTCAGTATCTCGGACTATCTCCATGAGCTGCGCAGCGTTGCACAACTGATGCGACCACTTGGCCCTCGCGGGCTGCTGTACTTGGCGGCTGCCGTCAGCGACTTTTTCGTCCCCGTAAGAACCTCAGGTCATCTTCATACCCCTGGTATACATACAGTTGACAAACTTGCTAGCCGGACCGTATGTCTGAACACAAGATCCAGAGCACCGACGCCGTTAAAGCTCTCAAGAAGAGTCAAGGGGTCAAGGCCCGACCACCATCTGACGAGGAAGAAACATTCGACAATTTTGATTCATCTCCTAGCGTGCCCAGGAGCAAGAGCCTGGTCATTGACCTCGACCCGGTACCCAAGTTCTTGAAGAACCTGGTGGAAGGCTGGTCGCCTCAGGGCATGATTGTGTCCTTCAAACTCGAGACGAACCCCGCCATCCTAGTGCACAAGGCCAGGTACTCGCTTGACCGCTACCAACATCATCTTGTGATCGGCAACCTTTTGTGAGTTCAGACACCAGCCAAACGCGCAGAAACGTGAAACTAACTTGTCGAAAGATCGACGCGGAAGTGGGAAGTTGTATGTTCCTTTCGCTGGCGATTCCACCAACCCCCTTCTTATCCTCCTATTGAATTTGCAAGCGGCTGACAGAACCAGGTGTTCGTCTCGCCCGGCAGCCCAGACCGCTGGATCCGCGTGCCGAGTGGGAACGGGGTGGAAGACGGCGCTCCCGTGGTGGATACGGAGAAGGCCGAGCCTGCCGACCCCAACAGCTTGCCCGAAGGCGAGCCTGAAGTGGAAATCGAGAGCCTCATCATCCCAGCCGTGCAGGACTTGCATACCAAGTATATCCAGACGGTCGAGGAGAAGGCAAATGCTTAAAATAAAAGTGGGGATTTCGGCATAGATTTTGAGCAACGAATGTTTTGACAGACTCCAACGAAGTCACCGAGTTGGTGGGCGGCATGTATCGTTTCCCCTATCTTCGAAAATTCTGGCCTCATTTCCTTCTTGGTGCCAATGTAGTCCGGATTGGTGCGTCCATGCTCTCGGGCTAGGCTAGAGGGTTTGTTGACTGTCGGCTCCCAGCATCACACCGTGAGAATATGGTGAGATTTTCGGAGTGATGGCACTGACATCTCAAAGGCTGAATTCTGACAGCCTTTCGTTGCTTTGGTCCATTGTTTGTACCTCCATCATCCTTAGGGTGCGTCAGGACGGGAGAGGAAATGGGCTCGAAAACCCGCCAGCAAAGTGCTTACCGGTCAATCTCATATTGACACCGTTCGAGACCCGTTTTCGTTCAGTTTGGTGACGATGTAATGGCCGGCTGCACGGTGACAAGCAGCGCCGTCACAGGCCGGGAGTTCAGGGGGATCAAACAACCAATTCAAGGTCGACGCATGCAAGCTAACCCCTGGAAGTGCTAGGCTTTCTGGGACGCTGAGGCGGTCCCGGAGAAGAGCCATCGAGACGCGGGATAGCGTTGGCCACAAGTTTGGTTAGGTAGCCGAGCAGCTTGTCAAACTCGATCTTCATGATAGCTTTGGGCTCTGCCACGGCGACACGGATGCTTCCCCGAAGATCTTTCTTGGACCCGTCCAAACTCTTGCCAAACGAGTCGTAGCCGGCCGCGTTTAGGGCGCGGAAGAGCGCGGCCCTCACCACCCGCTCGCTCGTCTGGCGCACCACGGCGTTGCTGTTGTCCGCCGTCGAGAAGCCTTGGACATAGCACCATAGTGGTTTCGTTTTCTTCTCTTGTTCGTATGTGTATAACACTTTGGAGATGAGAGGGTGCTCAAAAGGGCCGAGGTATTTGAGGTGGTACATAGAAAAGACATTGCGCGGGGCGATGGATACGCGGAGGGGGAAGTCCTTGACCTTCTGACCAGGCATAAGGCGCAGCGCGAATGGGAACGAAATTTTGTGTTCGGCTGCGAATTTGGCCACTCTTTCGCTTGGCTCGAAGGCCTGCAGTGCCTGCGGTGAGAGGTCCGCACCAGGAGTTGTTTGTGTTGATATTATCGGATAATTCTGAAAAATGGGCGGGGATTTGTTGGCCGGCAGCGGTTTGAACCGCCGTAGAGTACCTCGGAACATTATCGCGTATGCGGGGAAAACAGTTGCTCTTCAAATTTGCGCTGTACGTATGTTGGCGATGTTTGACGATGTGATATGGTGGTTCGTTGGTGTTCTTGGACGATAAATTGCCTGCACTGTGTATTGAGGTGCAGATGGATGAGCCTAAGAAGCACAGACCACCCATCCACCATACACAGTGCCATCCACCATACACAGTGCGCATCAAGACATCCATCCAGGCTTGCCAGGCCGCCAGCCAGGCTGTCCCAGGGCTTATTAGACCCACCCGTCATTTGCCCCCACCATTTCAGGCGAAACAAACCCAACTCCCCTGCCTGCGCCCCAAAAGAGTCATATAAACCCCACTGTGCCTGCCCCTCCCTTGCGCTCTGTTTCTCACTTCCCATCATCGACGTCGCTCGGTAATAACACCGAAGCTAAAAAAAAAAAAAAAAGAAACGTGTAGGCAGGTCCTCGTACTCGACTTTTGCCCAAATTTACTATACGCGCAGAAACTCGCCTGAGCGCGCCTTGTCAATATGCCGAAGAACAAGGGAAAAGGTGGCAAGAACCGCCGCAGAGGAAAGAACGAGAACGAGTGCGTTGCGACCCTTTCCGTTTTTACTATTCTCGTCTCGCCTTCGCTAACACCCGACCTAGCAACGAGAAGCGCGAGCTTACCTTCAAGGAGGAAGGGCAAGAGTACGCCCAGGTTCTCAAGATGTTGGGGAACGGCAGACTCGAGGCCATGGTACGCGCCTTGCCACCACAAGCTCGCACAAATTGGAGGGAAAATGGGCTAACGGAATCGGCAGTGCTTCGACGGCGTCAAGCGTCTCGGCCTAATCCGAGGCAAGCTCCGGAAAAAGATTTGGATTAATAACGGCGACATTATCCTCGTCTCGCTGCGCGAGTACCAAGACGAGAAGGGCGATGTGATTCTCAAGTACTCCGCCGACGAGGCTTCGTTCTTTGTACGCCCCCCCCCCCCTTCCCCCCCCAATCGAAACCATCACAAGCTTCCCCACATGACTAACACCCTATGTAGGAAAGCCTACGGCGAACTCCCCGATACGGCCAAGATCAACGAGACCGACACGTTTGGCCCCAACGAAGACGGCGATTGCGGTTTCGAGTTCGACGAGGACCGCGACAGCGAGGACGAGGGCGAGGGCGCCACCGCCGGCAAGGAGATTGCCATCGACGACATCTAAACTTCCGCTGCCTCGCGCGCCAATATCATCCCTCACTTCCAGGGCGGGGGCCACCCTTTCTGACTCCGACCGCACTCTTTCTTGGTTTTTTTGCTAAGAAATGGGGCGTTGGCTGGGGAACGGAAAGTAAAAAAAATTGTCTTCTCTCTCAAACCTTGGCCATGCGGCTTGCCGTGTAGCTGACAGTTCCCCGACAGTTGGTGGGTATCTCGTTTTGGTTGTGGTGGCAGGGTGTGGTCTGAGAGGGGGCGGGCCAGGTCGTGATGGGAGAGACGTCATCACCAGGCCCGTCCCTTGTTGTTTTCGGTTGTAGTTCGTTAGGGTAATGGTAGCAGTTTGCTTGGCCTGGCTTTCTCTCTTGCGGGAGTTGATGGTTATGCATTGCAAAATCAAGTTGTTGAACACCTACATACATGCGCTGGGTTTCTCTACGCAGTCCTAATATCTCTCCGTTTCGGGTAGTTGGCACCATGCATAAGTGACTACGTTAGCCACAAGATCATGCGCTTGTCAAAAACGAGTTTTAAGGCCCGGTAACACTTCTTTTGTCCCATTTATGACTATCTACACCCGAAGGATAAACCTCCCTTTTCTCGGCATGAAAGCGACCATCAGTGTAGCAGGCGGGTACGCCATATGTGGCAATGCCGATATTTTCCAAACCCCGTTTCCCCCATCCTCTTAACTCCTAGTAAACATGTTCAGCATTCCCAGTCTCCCAGTGTCACCCCTCCTCAAGCTGCGTCTGACCACAATGTTCGGTTTTGCTCTGAGGCCATCAAGCGAAGCCACCCACCTCCATCTCCACGCTTGTGCAGAATCACACCCGCAGTTGCCCTGTATTTCAGTCTCTATGAGGGCCCTTCGGACTTCGACACCCCCGGGCCCTGAGCAACCCGATGCCCATCGCTATGCAACGCACTACCAGTCGTCGTCATCATCCTCGTCATCTACAAGGAATTAGCATATTATCATTCTACCCCAACCAAACGGACAAGACTTACCACTCCGGCTGACTTTCTCCTTCCTCTTCTGCAGCGCTGCGGCCAACGCATCCGCCATGCCTCCCCCGCCGGCGCCGGCCGCGACACCAGCAGGTGGCAACCCGCTGCCGTGCGGCCCGGTATCGCCGCCAGCACCGCCCCCGATATTGACTCCGCTTCGGTCGCGGATCTGGGAGCGGTCGACCTTTTTGAGTGAGGCGATACCGCCCGCGCCACGGATACCGTCGAGCACGGCTGAACGGGTCGGGATCGCCATCCTGCCGGTTAGGGGCCGGGGCCGGGACGGCTCGACGAATAGCCGGATATCGGCGGTCTGGTGGGGGGGGAGAGGGTGGAGGGGGCGGCATCCCGGCCCCATGCCTCGGGCCGAGGAGGAGGACGGAGGAGGAGGAAGGAGGCGGCGGGGGGCCTTCCGCCAATGGGAGAGGAGAGGCGGAGGTGGGAGGGGCACTCGATGAAGGGAGCGGCGGGGCTGGAGGTGGCGCGGGTGGTGCACTAGATGTAGGGAGAGGTGGCGCCGGAGGGCGCGTGGGATGAAGGCACCGGCGGGGGAGCAGGCGGTGGAGGGACCGGGCTTCTAGCCGGGAGTGTAGGAGGCGGGCGTGAGCTCGGGGGTGGGAGCGGTGGCGCGCTCGCGGCGGGAGCCTTGGGGGGCAAGGGCGGGGGAGCGGTTGGAGTGTGGGCATGGACTGGCTCCCGAGATGGAGGAGGGGGGGGAACGGAACCGCGACTCGGGGGTGGCGGGGGCACGTTTCGCTGACCAGTGAAGGGCGGGGGAACAGCATGTCGCTGTGATGGCTCGGCATTCTCGATTGGTGTCTTAGGTGGCCGAGGTGGAGGCGGAGGCCCGGGGGCGGGAGGCGATGGTACAGCACGAGGGGGGTCTGAGCGTGCGTATTTCCCAGCTTCCGCAAGAGGCGGGGGGACGGCGAATCTAGGCCGAGCAGGCGGCGGCGGGGAGTCCCGTGCCGGTGCCGGTGTCGGTGCCGGCTCCGGTTCGAATTTGCCGGACCGCCTCGGCGCTGGGGGCGGGGGTGGTGCTGGTCCGCGTTTTGGGGCCGGGGGCGGCGGAGGCGCAGGGGCTGCCTCGGGAACAGGTCTGGGTGGTGCGGCGGGTGGAGGGGGGGGCGGGGGCGGCGCTCTCAGATTGCCTCCGGGCGGATTGGAAGGGGGTGGAGGAGGCGGGGGAGGTGAGTTCACCTGCTGGTTGGCCTGGGCTGCCTGTTCCTCCTTGAGAAAGTCGACAATGAAAATCCTGGTTGTCGCGGATAAAGTCGTCGTTCAATCCTTTGGCTTTCAAAGTCCTCCCCAAAATGCTCCCTCCACTGGGGGTCGAAAGCATCCAAACTTTGCGAATCTGGGCGGTGCCGCTGGGAGCTCATGGTACCCGTTCACGCTCCCTGACCGGTTGTCTCTTACCGGAGCGGACACTCGCGGCGATTCGGGCGGCGTGGGGGCTGACGAGTGTCGATGTCCTCCGAAAAGGCCCCCAAACAATCCATGGTGCTTGTGGTGGTTCGAGGGTGCCGCTCCTCCGAATGGCGTCTTCAGTGTTGCTTTGCTGGCATTCTTTTCCCGGTCGTTCATCTTCTTCAAGAATTGTTTTGCCTCCTTCTCGTCGACGAAGGATAATCCGGCCAGACATTCTTCCAGTTCGAAGGTGTGAAAGAAGACGCGGTCTTGGTTGTAACTCCAGTTTTCATATATTTCCTGATCCCATATCACGCCCCGGTTTCCGGGCTATCTGCGAGTTAATAAACCATGTCTGGTGATGTATGAGGCTCTGAGCGCAGGGACGTACCGAGATGTCCACCATCTTGACCCAGTAGGTGTTGCCGACAAGGTCATTCGCCAGCACGACAGCACCCTGCAAGCCTGTATATGTCCATTTCGATCGGTTGGGATGGGCTACGTAGAGCCTAGCCACGGCGACGGCATGAATCTTATTGGTTTGCTTCGGTACGAAGCGCTTGACGATCTCGCGGTCGTCGTCACTGAGGATTGACGGCATGGCGGGGGGGAGAAGCCGTCCAGGCGTCGGGTATGCGGCCGCTACTTGTTGCCAAAGGCTTCAGAAGCACAAAGATCAATGACAATGTCTGAAGAGGGCGGCGGGTGCGGGCGCAAGACTGTCGGCCCTGTTGCAACTCGTATGTATTGACAGCCTCCCCAGCAGCGTGCGTCAGCGGCCGGACGAACACCTAGGCAGCGCTAATTGTGGCCAAGTCGGGTCGCATCCAAGATTCGGCGTTATCTTGCCGAAGAGGAGGCCTATCGATGCTCGTCCGATGGATGCGGGAGACTCGCTCGGTGCGCAGTCGCGGGTTGAAAGGGCAATTGGCAATGGCGCGGGAGCCGGAAAGGAGATAGGTATCGGCGAAACTGGGTTCGGAGACGGATTCGCAAACTTACAGCTGGTGGAAGCTTCCTTGACTCAGGCTTGCATCACCAAAGCCACAGGTTCAGGGGACGCCAACTGGCGGGGCGCTTCATTGCTGACCAGCTGAGATTCATTCTGCTGGGGCTCAGCCACAAATGCCAAAGTGGGGGCCGTTTATTACCGTATCTGAGATTCATCAACCAGTTATCGTACTGAGCAAGCACTTGCACGCGACTATGGATCTGTGGCGATTAACATGTTGCATGGTACGACGGACCTGTGGAGACAGTTCCATATAATCAGCTGTCTGTATCTTACTCGGTCACGCAACCATTTCTAGGCCACGCTCCAATTGTGTCGCGCCGTCCTCAGACTCGTAACTTGAAACGACGCCGTACCAATACCATACACCGCATGTGCTTCATACGACAAGTGCTTCCTTCCTCCACCTAATTATTTACTTGTTCAACTCTTCTGCCTTAGCCCGGCGTTCCTCCTTGGTTCCCTCCTCCTTGACATTGAATTCCTTGGGAATGGCTGGACCAGGGTGTGCAGTGTGTGCCTGGAATGCATTCTTCACACTATCGGTTGCCTTCTGCAGCGGGTTACCACCGGTCTGACTCAGTATCAGTATAGGACATCGACAGTAAATTTGACGGAGAGTTGCAGGGCCATTTCTCACCGGCTGGTTGGTGTCTTTTTGCTGTTGGGTTGTCTGGGAAGAGTCCATGGCGTTTGCGATGTGCCCTGGGGGTTTGAATCAATGAAGGTGGATCAGGAATTCGAGATGGAACTTGTTCTTGAGTAACAGTTGTGAGACCCTTTCTGGTGGAGAAGGTATCGAGAGAAATGAAGTGTAAGAGGATAAATTCTAAATTCTAACCCTCTCGAGTTCGTTTGCCTTTTGAACCCAGCCTTGCTGGGGGAGGGTTTGTACGCGCACTTCAGCTGGCGTGTTGGGGTGACAATGACGTCGGTATTGAAGGCCCCACGCGGCCTAAAGCAAGTGTTTTGCTCACAAAGGCAAAGCAGCACACCTGGGCGTGCTCAGCTGGCCGCCAGGGTAGGGTACCTTACTTCGGTACCACCACAATCTTGGCAATCCATCTTCGAGCGGCTAGTCGCCATTCCCCGACAACTGCCAGCAACGAAACACTGTCCCCGCGGCACTCATGTCCCCTTCGAGACCAGACATCGAGCAACGCGCCCCATATGTCGGCTGCCGAGAACACGCAGCCTGTGCAGCCCGTGAAGCTCTCGCTGCCTCTGGTACGTCGGATGCAAAGTCTCTCTTACCTCCAACTGAATCTCACACTCATACCCTCCCCCCTTCCCCTCTTCCAGGTCTACCAACAGAAGCTCTTCGAGGAACTACGAAAGGAGGATGAACTCGTCGTTTTGGCTCGGGGCCTGGGCCTTCTCCGGCTCGTAACCAATCTTCTCCACTCGTACGATGCCGCGGGGAACAACCTGATCGTCGTTTTAGCCGCCGACGACAGGGAAAACGCCTGGATTGGTGAGGCTCTCGCCGAGCATGCCGCCATCAGCATGTCGTCCCGGGCCCGCGGCCTGACCGTGGTAAACACCGACTTCACCAGCGTAGCAGCCCGTGAGAAGATGTACGCCGCTGGGGGCATTTTCAGTATCACCTCCCGCATTCTGGTCGTCGACATGCTTACCGGCCTTCTGAACCCCGAGACTATTACGGGTCTGGTTGTTCTCCACGCCGACAGGATTGTTGCAACATCCTTGGAGGCCTTCATTCTCAGGATCTACCGCCAAAAGAACAAGGTTGGTTTTCTCAAAGCCTTCTCGGACAACCCAGATCCCTTCACTACCGGCTTCTCACCGCTGGCCACTATGATGAGAAACATGTTTCTTCGGAAAGCTTCGCTTTGGCCGCGATTTCACGTGCACGTAGCCGAGGCGCTGGAGGGGAAGAAGAAGGCAGAAGTGATCGAGCTGGAGGTCCCCATGACAGATGCCATGCGTAATATCCAGAATGCCATCATGGAATGCGTCGAAGTCAGCATCCAAGAGCTCAAAAAGGGCAACACCGGGCTAGAAATGGACGATTGGAATCTTGACAGTGCCTTGCTAAAGAATTTCGACGTCATTGTCCGCCGCCAGCTGGATCCTAACTGGCATCGCGTCAGCTGGAAGACGAAGCAGATCGTGGGCGATTTGACTGTTCTGAGGAATATGCTCCACTCAATTCTCGCGCTCGACGCCGTTTCTTTCCTCCAGCAACTCGATACCATCCACGCCGCTCATTCGCCAGCCCCCGGAACGACGAGGCAAACACAGTCCCCGTGGCTGTTCTTGGACGCTGCGCAAGTCATTTTTGATACCGCGAAGAGGCGGGTGTACTCTAGCAGCCAGAGGCAGGGTCCAAACATCACTAACATTGATTCCTTGCGGCCTGTCTTGGAGGAACTACCAAAGTGGGCCGTCCTGGCTGAGGTGTTGGAGGAAATCGACAGGGACCTCTACTTTGAGCCCGCCGCTCGCGATGATTCCAATGGCACCATCTTGATCATGTGCTCTGATACCGACACATGCCGGCAGCTCCGCGACTACCTCCAGACCATGCACGTCAAGCCAAGGACCGAGAAAAAGGTTGAGGAGTTTCACGATCCGGAAGAGGACAAGCCGTCGGCTGCTTTTATGATGAGGAGGAAGTTGCGTAACTATCTCAAGTGGAAGCGGGAATTCGCCCAGGTAAACGCCAATTTGTTTTCAGAGAATCAGAAGGCCCTCACCGGTGCAGTCGATCCCCGCCTAGGTCAGTCTAAGAGTAGGGCTGCCGCGAACAAGAGACGCCGCATCCGTGGTGGCGGAGTGACAGGCGCTGCACCCGGCCGCCTCGACAATGGTAGCGTCGCGCAGTACTTTGAGAAACCGGGGGAGGTGGCCGAGCTGATGGCCGAGGTCCAAATTACCGAAGAAGAAACGAAACAAAAAGAAGACGTCGTCGCAGACCCCCTAGAAGACATGGACGATTACTACCAGTTGTACGAAATGCAAGACCTGGTTGTGGTCCACGCGTACGACGGGGATATTGACGAACACGTCTTGGAGGAAATCAAACCAAAGTATATCATCATGTACCAGCCAGACGCCGCCTTCATCCGGCGGGTCGAAGTCTACCGCTCGTCTCACAACGACCGGAACGTCAGGGTATACTTCCTCTACTACGGCGGGTCAGTTGAGGAACAGCGATACCTCTCCAGCGTCCGCCGCGAGAAGGATTCCTTTACCAGGATGATCAAAGAGCGCGCCGGCATGTCTCTCGTCATGACTGTCGACGCGCACGGCGCCGAAGACCCGCAAGAAGCCTTCCTCCGCACCATCAACACACGCATTGCGGGCGGTGGCAGGCTCGCCGCAACCGCCCAGCCGCCACGGGTTGTGGTGGATGTGCGCGAGTTCCGCTCGTCCCTCCCATCCCTCCTGCACGGCCGCTCCATGATCATCGTGCCCTGCATGCTCACAGTCGGCGATTACATTCTGAGCCCCGCCGTTTGCGTGGAGCGCAAGAGCATCAGCGATCTCATCAGCTCCTTTAAAGACGGCCGACTGTTTGCGCAGTGCGAGGCCATGTTCCAGCACTACCGCAGCCCCATGCTGCTGATCGAGTTCGATCAGAACAAGAGCTTCACGCTTGAGCCCTTCGCCGACTTGTCCGGCAGCCTGGCCAGCGTGAGCGCCTCCAGCGCGGGCGCCCACGACCTGCAGAGCAAGATCGTTCTGCTGACCCTCGCCTTCCCCAAGCTGCGCATTATCTGGTCGTCGTCGCCGTACGAGACGGCCGAGATCTTTGAGCGGCTGAAGGCACAGGAGAACGAGCCGGACCCGATCGCGGCGGTCCGAGCGGGGCTGGACGGCGACAGCGACCCGCAGGCCGAGGAGCAGGTGTTCAACACGGTGCCGCAAGAGATGCTAGGAGCAGTACCCGGCGTTACACAGAAGAATATCATGAACTTGGTGCTGGAGACGGAGAACATCATGGAGGTGGCTAACATGACGGTGGAGGATCTGAAGCCGCTGGTTGGGAAGGAGGCCGCGGGGAAGATTTGTGGCTTCTTTGCGAAGGATTTGTTGGAGGATGAGGAAGGATGAGTATTGAAAGGGTGGAAGCAATGAATGACACACATCATGTCGGTGTACATACATTCCATAACCATGTTGGAATTATTTGCGGATCAAATCAGTAGTGGTTCGCTCTATAAACAATGTGACAGATGATAAATCAGTGGTTATAACCAGCCCGCCTGCTAAAATGCAACTGTTTCCCTTCCCTATAACCCCCCCTCCCCTCCCCCTTTCTCCCTCTCATATTCGCAAAAAGCCTGTCGCTCGGGGTATTGGGGTATCTCATATGATGCATCATATATCGTGATGGCGAAGACGGCAAAAAAAAAAGTCCCGTGCGCCCGCCTACTAAAAGTCTGCAATCCATCCCATCTTTCTTTCCCTACGACGCTCTTAGACGACGTGCCTGCGCCTACCGAAGCCGCGGTGCCTGCCGGTGGTGGTGCCGTGGGTGCGACCCGCGCTGTGGCGGCGGCGCCCGCCGCAGGTGTTGCAGGTCAGGCAGCCGACGATGATGTTGAGGAAGTTGACGATGCCGTTCACGATGGCCATGATGATGCCGCCGATGCCGTTGATGATGGCCATGATGGTCCGCCCGATAGTACGGAAACAGGACTGGATCTGGAAAGGGGAGTGGCGTATTAGTATGGGTGACGTGGAAGAGTTGGTGGGGTTGTGATATGGGTATTCACTTACACAAGAAACGACGGCGCCCATTTTGGTAATGTTTTGCTGAGTTGGGTTGGTGATGTTTTGTTATGGTGGTTTCGTTGTTGTATAGTTGGCTTCGAGGTTTGTATGCTCGACGTTATGGTGTTATGATGATGTTTGTTGGCTTTGTTTTGTTGAATGATGAACTTTTGAAATAAGGACCAGGACGCATTGGCATGATATATGTATTCAGAACGGCATCTAAGGTACCTACTGTGTAACTATTGACTGCTACGTCGTCGCATCATGAAAGTGGGCAAATATCGTGTAAGTGGTCGGTGACGTCACTGACTAAACCATCGGCTTCCGTCCCGCTTGTTCGTTTATTGGCTGCGTATCATTTTGAGTTGATGTTTTCTTCCAAGCCCAACCACTGACATCTTCGGTTCCCCTTGCAGCACTTCGAGGCACATCCAACAAGGCAAGACATTTCGTGTGCGGTTTGTTTCCGCCTTGTTCTCGTGGGACGATGATGACACCGGGCCGGAGAAACAGGACAGATTCTGTGGGGAAATGTAGAGGGTGCATTATCTCGCAGCCAACCCCAGCCAACCCCAGCCAACCAAGCAGCTTTAACGGTGGCCAGCTGCGGTGAAGTCATTGCACACTCTCGACACTCACACTCACACAGTCAGGTCATTCAGCCGCTGGCCTTTGCTCCTCTGGGGGTGGGGTGGTTGCATTGAGTATACAGATTAGTTACTATGACGTCATTACCCGTCGGGTGGGCCACGGGAGGCTTGGCTCCCATCACCATGCCGGGTCCACTCTCAACCGTCGTCACCCCCTACCGATTGCCCGAGCACGGTTGCACGGCCACAGCACGCAACCCATGGAGCCATGCTGCCTTGTCAGCCTGTTTTGTGCCTTGTCTTCAAACTTGAAGTATCTATCCCAATGAGCAACGGGATGCCAGATGCCAAGCGTCTTGGGCATCATCATAACTGAATACTTGGGTATCATCCCTCTCATGTCGCCGTGATCATGAAAACGCCGGGCAACCGTACCATCCCCCACTTTCCCTCCCTCCCTTTTCCTACTCGATTCATTTCGCCTAGATCACCTAGATTCGTTCCATTCCAGATGTCCCTCTTAACGAACCGCCAACCTCCGCTGGATCTTGACAAAGTTCGCAAAATTCATCTTCTCAGTACCCCGACTGTCCACATACTCGCCGCTAACGATGGTGTGCACGCGCATCCGCTCGTCGTACCGCAACCCCGATAACAGCTTGGGCGTGATGAGGAAGTACTGGCTTGTGTGCTCTCGACAGGCGACCTCCACCATGCGCTCGTGTACCATGCGCTCGTTGCGCGGGTCCATGCCCTGGTTGATCTCGTCCACAACGCGGAACGGCGCCTGCGCCATCGACTGCAACGCCATCAGGTAAAAAATTGTCGAAACAGCCCGCTCACCCCCCGACTGGCGGTGTTGGTCTAGGCGTTGGAGAGTCTCGTTTTCGCTGTACCCAACTCGGTTAGTCTTCCTGGGAGTCAATCTCGGTGAGTATCAAACCACATACCGGAATTTTGACTTTGATCTCGATGGCCCACTTCTCAAAGTCTTCATCCTTGTGCACGCCCACTTCACCCGCGCAACTGATCTGCTCAAAATTGTAGCTGAAGGCATCGTTGATCTGGCTGACGAGCTGATCTAATTTGGGCTCCCACTGGCTTTTAACGTTGCGTATGCGTTCATCGAGCTCTGCCATCTTGATGTCGTGATTCGCCTGGTTGACACGTTCTCTCTCGATCCTGACTGCGTATCGTTCGTACTCTTCCAGCGCCGCCGGATTGCTGGCTTGAATGACCTCTAGCTTCGTCTTTTCCACCTGAATCGCTTGGTCGATGTCTTCGACCGTTTTACCCATCGCCTTGTCCCGCAATTCGTCCTTGTTCTCCTCCGTCAAAATGCTGACAGCTTCCTCTTTGGCCTCGGCGGCAATGTTGCGTTGCTGGTTCAGTTCGTCGCCGATCTGCTTGACTGACATTTTGCTTTCCTCTAGTTGCTGGGTGATCTCCAAGTTCTTAGCCTTGAGGACACCCACGTCCGACTCTGCCTCCATGAGAATCACTTGTGCCTCTAACATGGCCTCGCGTGCCTTTCGAATACCCATTATTTTGCGTGTGATGCCCCGAGAACTGCCCTGGGCCCTTTCAAGAGCAATTTGGTCCTGAAACTTTTCAAGCTCCAGTTTGCGGCCTTTGCATTCTTTGAGCTCTTGTTCAGTTTCGCCTGAAGCGCCGTTTTTTCAGATTCTGCATCCATGTCAGTGAGAAGCGTGATGCCGTCTTCAAGTTGAGCAGCCGTACCTTATCTTGTCCGGCAACGTCTGCCACTTTGTGTACTCGCGTTGCAGCTCGCTTTTCGCGGACCGCAATTCCGTCTACTTCACGTCAGCAAAATTCGAACCAAAAGGTGTTAACCGTATGTGAGTAACATACAATCTTGTGCAAGATGTGCTTCTTTTCCGTCCCCGCTTCCACATACTTGGCATCCGTGGCGTCGTAATGCTCTTTCATAGCGGCGAGTTGTGCTCTGAGTTCCTCGATTTCCCGCTGGAGCTCGGTTTTCTCGGCCGCATCCACTGGTTGATCGGCCCAGAAGCGGCCTTTTGCAAACTGGGTAACCCGCGTGGAAACGGCCCCTGGACCATACTCTCTTCTACGCGTGATACGGTACAACTGTCTGCCCGCAGCGAATTGTATGAGCTTTTCCGCCCGCTGGATCTGGTCGAACTGTTCGTCAGTAATATCCCGAATGGACACGGCCGATGCGTGCATCTTTCTTTCGGAGCAAAGCATAGCAAGCACCGGTTCTGGTCCATCGAGATAGTCGCTGACATAACCGTCGAAACCCAGATTCGATAACTCTTCTTTGGGCAGAGGCGGCTTGAAGGAACTATATTGTGTAAAACAGGAGCGGATCGTCACGGAGAGCCCCATCTCGCCGTAGAATTGGTTGCTGAGCTTTTTGTGATCCTCTCTAGTCTGCGCCGTGAAGCATAAGAAGTCGTCTGTTTGGAGGATGGACTGAACAAGGTCGATGTACCGCTTGTCCTTGACAGAACACGTGAGCATCGGAGGGCCAAAAACCTCCTTCTCGAAGCTTTGCTGGTTGTCCTTCAACCACTCCCAACCCTTAGCAACGTCGTTATTGATTCTCTTCAGCTGAGTGAGAAGCTGGCCTTGCTGCGAATCCAGATCTTGAACACTGGATTGCAGTCTTTTCAACTGTTCTCGAGTCTCGGTGGCCTTCATCCGCACTCGCTTCAATTCTTCTGCCGCCTCCTCGGATTCTTTCCCCTTTTCACGAGCTTGATGCTCTTGTTCTCGCTGTACTCGGGCGGTCAGTATGGAGATCCGGTGGGCATCACGGGGAAAAGAAAAACCTACGATTTTCCTATTCCAATCAGCAGCGTCGAACTCTGGAGGTGCCTGGCGATAGCCGGCTTCTAAATCGGTGATATTCTTCCGGAGACGGCCAAGTTCCTGTCTTTTGGCGACAAAATTCGCCTGCTCCGCCTCCTTCCGTCCAGCCAGCTCTTGAGACTTGGTCTGAACGGCTTCGACTTGGCTAATAGCCGCGTTAGCGGCAGCATCGGCCGCCTGTAGCCGACGTTGCCTGTCGGCCACGACCAGCTTGACCTTAGCCTGGTATTCCTGCTTCCTGTTGACGGCCGCAAGCGCAGGCGCAACACTATCGTAGAGTCGCCTGAGAGAACGTTCAGCGTCGGCTTTTCGCACCTTTGCTTCCTTGAATTTGTTTCGGGCATCATAGTACTTGACCACTACCCGCAGCTTGTTGTAATCTTCAATTGCCTCCTGGATCGCTTTCCTTTCCCGCAGCTTTTCGACATCGGCCTGGAGCACCTGCTGGCGGGCCTCCATCTTGCGGAGCTCCTCGCGGATCTTTTCGCCGTTGTGTTCAGTGTCCTTCTGCAGCTTGAAGTGATCCCGAAGCTGGGCTCGCCAACTTATCATTTCTTCCGGCGCGGCCGCATGGAGGGTCTTTTCGAGCAACTCGATCGGCGTGAGGGCGGCGAATTCGGCCACCTTGTCCTGAGGTAAGAACTGGCACAGGTTGTCGATCTGTATCCTGAATGACCGCATGAGCTTCTGGATTTCCCTGTGTGATGCCCTCTGCCCATTGATTGTGAATTTTCGGCTATTATCTTCTCGTCGGATGGTAAGCCCAACGATGGGATTTTCCGAGTGTTCTGGTAGCTTTTGCAGCTCAACCTCGATCCCGGCTTCGTCCTTGCCGTGCTTGACAAACTCCCCAAAAGCGCTCGCCCGACCCAGAACGTTCGAAGAGTAACCCAACCCCAAACAGATGGCGCAAACGAGCGAGCTTTTCCCCGTGCCGTTGGGCCCGATGACCATGTTCAGGTTGGGGCCGAGGAAAAACTCGGCCTCTTCGTATGTGACAAAATTTTCAACCTTGACACGAACGATCGCACCTGGTTGAAACCCAGAAATCCCCGGGCCATTTCGTGGCCGTGATATCGCCGTGCGCCGCGAGGCAGATGCGACATCGTTCTCTACCGAGGATGCCTCATCGTCATCTTGATCGTATCCAAGCGAACCATCGCCGCCTCTCAATCGGAGAAAGCGGAAAGGGTCAGCTCCACCATGTCGACCGGCAGGCTGGTTGGCGGGGGTTCGTAGAGAAGGGACAGGGAGGGGTTCGTCTTCTCGTGACCCGTTGCCAAAGACGCAGTCGGACATCGCGCCAGTCGCTGGAGATCGTATCTCGGATTTAAACGTAGGTTCCAGGTCTTAATTTGCTCATCGGTGAATCTCTGTGGGCGGGGTAGGTCGTAGGGGAACCGACTGGAATTGGTGGAAGTGGCCGAGGATTGGTTTGGGGAAAGACCGTGGGTTAGGAAAACGCGACGCGCCTTCACATTCTGTAAAGTGGTTGCGTATTCGTACAAACCCACGTAAAAGTCGTGTGGGCGGGGTAATCATGCGTACTGTACGGGGTCTGTGACGCGCAAAATACGTGACAAAACATCCCACATAAGATATCAAGGCTGAGATCTTGGATCAGAAGTGTTTTTTGTACAATTATATAAGCTCACAAAATCAATGCTAATTGATATTTGATGGTTCGACTTGGGGCCTTTCCATACTCACAGCATCAGTTGTTGCGAGCCGATACCTTATCATTGCATGGAGTGGTATTAGTCGTACAGATCACACAACGCTTGAGCTGCGCCCCACTCGGCCCATCAACGTCCTCCCTTCCCAGCTCCTCACCTTGGAATACCTATCACACAGTCAGGCATGCGTGCCATGATGGCATGTGGCCGCATACCAGTCACCCTGGCCTCCGATATTTCATACCAGAAATGGAACCTTCTGCCAACCGTGGGCCGTTGCGTCAGTCATGAATATCCTGCCATTCAAGTGTATGAAGGCAACCTACCTCGGCAGGTAGCCAGGTATTCGTGATCGTCCAACGAGCTGTCCGCTCCAGGTCTACTAGGCACTTGGCGATGTGGTGCACATGATGGTTCTGAGCACAGCACTCAACCCGGAGAGTCGGTGATTCGAGGAGATGCCAGTCCACCTAAGCACTTGGGTATGGGGTGAAAGCCGTGGGTGGTCCCCCATTCTGGGAGGATCCGACATCTGCAACATGAACGAGGTAAATGAGGCGAGAGACCTATGCTCTGCGGTGGGTCTATTCTCTATTTGCGCATACAACGAGTGCTGCCATCCTGCCCAAACGGCCGAGACACAACATTCCTGAGTTGGCACTGTTGGCCCCTCCTTCCCAAATATTTACTTTTACACAGTACCTAAGTCCCAAAGTGCCTGCGCCGAGGGTCCCCGCCACTGGAACTCGAAGCAAAAAAAAACATTCCCGCTCCTGAGGTTTCACTCATTTGCTATCGCCAGCCTTCGTCGGTCCTGCACACACCGACAGGCGTGTTGTTGTTGGTCACGTCCGCTCTCTTCCTTCCTCCATTTCCCCTCCCTCCCAACCTCTCTCGTTTACTTGCTTCCTATTACAACTGCAGTAAACGTCGGGAATCTTCCCACCACCCTCCACGCTCGTGGGCGTCGCTCATTTCCCCGCGCAGCTCTGGGTTACCTTATCTTCCGTGTTCACGCCTCAACACTAATAATATCGGCCCTGCCCGCATCAGTTCCACTTGCGTTACAGCTCAGTTGCCTTTTTAACCGTCTTCTCGGTCGACGATGCATTGAGTGATCGCTCGTTGATCTGGACGTCATGGATCACCATAGCACTTCCCGACAGCCGCCCGCCCGCCAGCCATTCGGTGACGCAGCCCAGAGACTCAATTATGCCACTGTCTCCCACGTCAACCGCCGACACCAAGTCGCCGATGTTGAGAATCACGTCTTGTCCAAGATCAAAAACGCCGATCGTAGGCGCTCAAATCCCGTTGTTACCGTCAACTATGCTCCCGCCGAGCAGCGTACTCACCGCATGCCTGCCCCGGCAGTGCAAGTTGAGCCTAGTCTAGCCAACCCCCGCCTCACTGCCATCACCCAGGACACCCAAGATGCTTCCTCTGATGCCCGGCGCGTTTCCCAGTTCTCTAACGTCTCCTCGACCGCGTCTAGCACGCGCCAACTCAAAACTCACATCGGCCCGTGGCAGCTCGGCAAAACGCTGGGCAAGGGATCATCGGCACGGGTCCGCCTAGCCCGCCATCGAGTTTCCCATCAACTGGTGGCAGTCAAGATTGTGGCCAAGAGCACCGCCCACATGACCCAAGCTGGTAGTCTGGCGAACTTGGACCACATCGACTACAGAAAGCCCACCATCGGTGCAGACGGTGGTCTCCGCCGGATGCCGCTGGCTATTGAGCGAGAGGTCGCTATTCTCAAGCTCATTCGCCACCCCAACATCATCGAGCTTCTTGATATCTGGGAAAATCGCTCGGAAATGTAAGCCGTGGATTCGTAATTCTCCGCTTTTGTGCCTTGCTGACGTCTCTCTAGCTACCTAGTCACCGAGTACGTCGAGAAGGGGGACCTCTTCGAGTTTATCAACTGGAATGGCCCGCTCCAGGAGGAAGAAGCCATCTTCTACTTCCGCCAGATCATGACGGCGCTCGAATACTGCCACACCTTCAACATATGCCATCGCGATCTCAAGCCGGAGAACATCCTGCTGAAGGCGAATGGTCAAATCAAGATTGCCGACTTTGGCATGGCAGCCCTGCAGCAGAACCCCAACCACCAGCTCCGAACGGCCTGCGGAAGCCCCCACTATGCTGCGCCTGAACTGCTTCGTCACCAGTACTATAAGGGCTCGGCCGTGGATATCTGGAGCATGGGCGTGATTCTATTTGCAATGTTGGCCGGGCGCCTCCCATTCGACGATGACGACATGGCCGTCATGTTGACCAAGGCGAAGCGTGCAGACTACAAGATGCCCCTGCACCTTACAAGGGAGGCCAAAGACCTCGTCCGGCGAATCCTGGTGGACCAGCCCGCGCACCGCATTACCATGAAGCAAATGTGGCGACACGCACTCATCAAAAAATACGACTATCTTGACGAGTACCAAAGGTGGGATGGACAGTCTCAGGATGCCCTGCGCACCCTGGGTACCGCGCCTACGCCGGAAGAAATTGATATTCAAATCTTGCGTCAGCTGAAAGCTCTTTGGCATACGTACTCGGAATCTGCTCTGCAAGAGAAGCTTCGACAGGAAAAGTAAGTTGTGTTGCCGCACGCGACATACAAGGTTCGATTCTAATCTGGATACTAGGCCAAATGACCAAAAGTTATTCTACTGGCTACTCTACAATCACCGTGAGGCTCAGCTGGAGAATTATAACAACAATGTGCCGATCTCGAAGAGCGACTTCCATCACCTCAAACCACCCAATTGGGGGAAGCGCATTTCGACTTGCCAGTTCACGAAACCCGGTCGCAATGGCCATACCCGGACCGTGTCCCGGTTCACGGTGATCTCCAATGTTGCGGACGTTGACGATGTCGGCACCGTCCGGAGCTACGATCCCTACAATGCATCCCGTGTCCTGCAGCCATGCAGTTCGCAGGTGAGCCATGCCAAAATCATCATCCACCGCAACACCCCTGAGCCGGGAGTTGGGCCGTCTCCGACCAGCGTTTCCCATTCATACCGCTCATACCGATCGGTAAATGGCTCCTTCCGCCAGCGGGGAGGAGCTGGCTCACGGCGGACGAGCACCACCGGTCAGCTAAGATCGCCTCACACCTCGATGAGCTCCATCCGTAGTCAACAGAGCAATCCTCGTGTTCGCGCGAACAACCGATCCAAGCGTTCCGTCGACTTTTCGAGCATTCGCAACAAGGGTAACCATCACCGCCGGAACCGCCATGCGTCACTGGCCGCGCCAGCTAGCACTGCTGGTGACGATGTCGCATACGGCCGTGATACGCTTTCCCCTTCCAACCATACTATTGACTCGGATGCTCATCAAGTCACCACTGCTCGGTCGATGATGGACGTCGGTGACACAACCGACGATACTTTTATCTGGACCGAGGAGCTGGAGCAACTCGGCCACCGTATCGCTCGCGACTGTGACGAGGCTTTCCGGAGCTCCCTCCTCATGTCGGAGTCTGGGGAAGTCGGCGCTGACTCTCGCGAAGCCAGCCCCTTCATGCTCTCTTTGGGGACACTTCCAGTGGTGCAGGAACGCCCGGCTTCTGCGTCAGGTGGCCGTCCCTGGGACAATAGACCGCTACCACCTGTCCCGTCTCAGAAAACCATCTCGCCTCTGTCGATTCGCAAGTGTGATCCGAAAACCGAATCTTCCTCTTTGCTAACGAAATCCTACGAGCCCCACTTGAAACTGGATGTCCCTGTCCCTGAGCGCCGGGCCGTTTCTGAGCCTGTGTACGACCGACGGGGTAAGGATACGAGGCCACTGCCTTCCATTTATGAGAAAACGCTGGATGAACGCGTGAGACGCAACGGCGGTAGGCACGACGTCGCTTCGACCTCTCTGGAGACACCCACCCGTGTTAAGAACAAAGGGTTGGACTTTTTGGCGAGAGCCGAGAATACCATACGTGTGGTTAATTCGCCGTCAGCAATGGGGGGTGACTACCCGGCCAAGATCCCCGAGCCTCTCAATGTTCGCAAAGTCTCTCGAAAAACAGGCGCTACTAAGCCAGCGGCGGTCCCCTCCGCTCAGGACGCTCAGAGACGCGCCTCTCATGGCTCGCAACAAACGAGTCCGCCAACGGACGGAAATGGCACCGACGCCGGCGCACCCAAGAAGAGGGTTTCATCCTGGTTCAAACGCAACTCAAAAGAGAATGCTAGCGGATCGAGCTTTGCAACTGTGACCGATAGCAGCGTCCAATCTCAAGATATCATCGTAGATTCGCAAGCCAGTCAGCCTAATCGCCCGATGCTGCAGACCACGGACGATACCTCACTCCGACATGTGCAAAAAAAGAAGTCGTTTGGATTCGCTTTTTGGAAGGGTGCTAAGGATGAGGCAAAGATGTCGCTTGCGGGTAAGCAGGACCTCCGTGAGAAACCAGGCGCTATCCATCTGCTAATCTAGGAACTAGATTCTGATCCCGACGATGTTCGCAACCGCCCTGAGAAGATAGCAAAAAAAAGGGCCAGTAGAGAACACAGAATTATGAGTGGTACATCGCAGAGCGTCTGGTCTGAAAGCGACGGGGGCATCCGCAAGATTGAAGTGCAGCAGAATTGGCTAGCGCGTCTTTTCCGAGTCAAGCCAGCCATGCGGCACCTCTGCTTCAACATTCTCAAGCGGCGTGCTCGGCAGGAGGTGGCCATCTTGCTTCGCGAGTGGCGTAAGTACGGGGTCAGAGATGTTGAAGTCGACAAGGAACGCAATATCATCTTTGCCCGGGTGGGTGCCAAGAATTGTGGGTTCCGCTCCCCATCACCAAAATTGGCACCGTTGACTAACCTACGCCTAGACTTGAAATTGAAAGAGGTGTCATTTGCTGTAGAGCTAATGACGGTCATTGAGCACGGCAAGCGCAACCAACTCAGCATCGCTCGCTTAACGCAAGAGAAGGGCGCGGCAAGCAGTTTCCACAGGGTCGTGGGCGCCATCAATTCAGCGCTCTGTGCTCGCGCCCTGCTCGTCACGGATAAGCGGAAGATCAATATGATGGTCAAGACGCTCAATTCTTGAGGGCGACAGTGTACTACCCTCGATGTTTTCGTTCTGTATGGGTCCAATGGTCCAATGCGATTCGGCTCGCACCCAGGGACACCTGACATGGCCGCCCGGACCAAAAAAAAAAAAAAAAAAAAACAAAACAAAACAGCCTTCTCAATACCTTTTCATTATTTGGTTCGACTCGGTCCCGAGTCGAAAGGCGGCGCACTCCAATTGCATCTCGTTGATGGTCTTGGTTACCGACATCGAGATTGGCTTGTTGCGGAAGAAGCGGTACATCTAGGGCGGCTTGACTGGCAGGTTAAACGTGGTACGACCTGGAAGTGTGACGGGATGATATTATTTGTGTGCGGACTCGGTAATGGTGTTGGGTTAGGATGGTGTTGACCTATATAGTATCTGAGAGGAGGCACGGGAGGAGCAACCTATTCAGGGGCCAATTTTCAGGGGTTGTAAATATTTATCGGGAGAGTTGCTGCCACTCCTGCAGGCACTGGGTTCTTTTGTACCAAGTATAATTGATAGCTGCAATGGAATTGCGTTGCAATTACGAACCATCGGGCGTTCGTCGCCTTGCTCATCTACTTCGTAACTACCTCTTCTCCGCTGTGTTTTGTTCTTGGTCCGAATTTCAGGGGCTCGTCGTTGCTATGGGAAACTTGCGGTTCGCGATGTGACAGGGGGGTTTGACTTTTGTTGGCTTCCGAACCATGTTGCCGATTCGCGATCGGAATCTTCCGGACCCGGGAACCGGATCAGCCAAAGTTTGTTGGGGACCAGGATCCCGACACCGAGAGAACAAATTGGTCGGCATTGAGGGAAATAAAAAATAAAAAAAGAAGGCGTGCAATTCTTGCGCATCGTCATTAACTTGTCCCATATCACTATCTCTGGGAAATCTTTTGAGTATCATATTACCGAATTTCGCATCACGGGCGCATTTCTGCGGTTTTTAAAGCTCAGATTACCTCCCGCACTCGGTTACAGGCCGACTTTTAGCTTTGACAGAGGAGTCGGGAGACTTCCAGCATGCTTCGATCGGTTCGTGTGTCCGGGCCCGCAATGGGCGGCAGCCTTGGTGTGCCGAGGACAGCCATCAGACCCCTCAGCACATGCCTGAACGCATCATCCCGAGCGCCGGCCTATGCCCCGGTTTCGTCATTTGCAACCCGCCCGGCAATCCCCGCAATTCAGCACCAGCACCAAAGATACTTCCACGGTAGTGCGACAAGGATGGCCGCCCAGACGAGAACCGAGAGCGATGCCTTTGGCGAGGTACAGGTGCAGGCCGACAAGTACTGGGGGGCGCAGACGGAACGCTCGCTCGAGAATTTCCGCATCAACCAGCCCCAGGACCGGATGCCGCCGCCCATCGTCAAGGCGTTCGGCATCCTGAAGGGCGCTGCGGCGACGGTCAATATGCGCTATGGCCTCGGTACGCGCCCTCCATCGCCTGGTGTCTGAGCCCGTCGTCTACGGAAGCTAATCCAACCACCTTCTGATCTTTAGATCCCGCCATTGGCAAGGCCATTCAGCAGGCCGCGAAGGAGGTGGCAGACCTCAAGCTGCTCGACCACTTCCCTCTCGTCGTTTGGCAGACAGGCTCCGGCACGCAGTCCAACATGAACGCCAACGAGGTCATCAGCAACCGGGCGATCGAGATTCTCGGTGGGACCATGGGTTCTAAGAAGCCGGTGCACCCTAACGACCACGTCAACCGCTCCGCCTCGTCCAACGACACCTTCCCGACCGTCATGCATATCGCTGCCGTCCTAGAGATCGAAGGCGAGCTGATCCCGGCGCTGCGCAGCCTGCGGACGGCACTACAGGCCAAGGTGGACGACTTCGAGGCCAAGAAGATCATCAAGATTGGGCGCACCCACCTGCAGGACGCCACCCCCCTGACGCTGGCGCAAGAGTTCAGCGGCTACGTCGCGCAGCTCGACTTCGGCATCAAGCGCGTTGAGAGCTCGCTACCAGACCTGCGTCTCCTGGCGCAGGGCGGCACCGCAGTCGGGACGGGTATCAACACGTTTGAGGGCTTCGCCGAGGGGATCGCGGAGGAGGTCAGCAAGATGACAGGCACCGAGTTTAAGACGGCGCCAAACAAGTTCGAGGCGCTGGCGGCGCACGATGCCATCGTGCAGGCGCACGGCAGCCTCAACACGCTTGCGGCATCGCTCAGCAAGATTGCGCAGGACATCCGCTACCTGGGCAGCGGCCCGCGCTGCGGACTCGGCGAGTTGGTGCTGCCCGAGAACGAGCCTGGGAGCTCCATCATGCCCGGCAAGGTCAACCCGACGCAGTGCGAGGCGCTCACCATGGTGTGCGCGCAGGTCATGGGCAACCACGTGGCGTGCACCATCGGCGGCATGAACGGCCAGTTCGAGCTCAACGTCTATAAGCCGCTGGTGATCCGCAACCTGTTGCACAGCGTCCGGCTGCTATCGGACGGCATGCGTAGCTTTGAGCGCAACCTGGTGGTTGGGCTCCAGGCGAACGAGGAGAAGATTGCTAGCATCATGAAGGAGTCGTAAGTTTCCGTCCTTGGTGAACTATACCCCTTGCCAGGCTGACATCGGTCTACTTTTGCCAGGCTTATGCTGGTTACGTGCCTCAACCCCAAGATCGGCTACGACATGGCCAGCAAGGTGGCCAAGAACGCGCACAAGAAGGGCTTGACGCTCAAAGAGAGCGCCATGGAACTGAAGGCGCTAACTGAGGAGGAGTTTGACACCCTCGTCAAGCCTGAGCTCATGGTCGGCCCCAAGCCGTATAAGGGTTAAACTTGGAGCCCCCGGTGCAATTTTCCAACTAGGACGGTGGAAGCGCCAGCAGCAACCATTTTTGGGGGGAGCTCGGGTTTAAGTTTCAAGACGGCAAGCCGTTGCAAGCGCCGCGCCGCCGTCTTCTGACTAGTAACCTAGTAACACCGCCTCGCGGTTTCACTCATGAACCAAGCCGCAACCGTCCATGGAGCCGTGGCTGGCACCATTGGATCGGATGCCGTTCATCAAGGCAAGAGAAATCAGGAAAACGTAGTAATATGCAAGAAAACAACAAGAAAAAAAAAGGAAACTGTAACCCCATCAATTATCATCCGTCCACTCCCTGCGACATCGCTTGTGGCTCGACCGTCGGGAACTGTCGGCACATTCCAGGCCGGCAATGACTCTCCTCCATGGCTCTCGGCTTTGCTTCAACTGCAAGACCTCGGCTCTGCAGCGGCAGATCGGAGCTTTGAACTGTGGAGTCCCAAGCTCCGGTTCTTGGCGCAAGCATGGTGATCCGTTCTCGTCCCGGACGAGTGGGGCCATGGCATGCTTGCACGGCGAAGGCGCGGGTGAGCGGGGCAATCTCACACCCATGACGCTTCTTATCGCAGCTGCTGGCGTGATTTCGATTTGTTCGATTTTGGGGCAGTCTCGTTCCCTATGTACTGTGTAGATACCCATCCATCTCCTCGTGCGGGGCGCGAGCCTAATGAGATATCTACATTTGGCAAGTAACGACACAGTAAGAAGCGAGGCCCGCGCATGCAAACGGCACCTCAACGGCAATCGGTATTCAACGGCAATCGGCCATCGGCGTCCGGGGTAACGGCGGGGTGAGGTCCTGGGGGGAGTTGATGACCTCACCGCCCACTGTGCCCTTACACAGCGTGCACAGTACTGTACACTGACTTCCGCAGTCCATGCCACCTTGTCACATGCAATTGGAAAGACAAAGCCTGGAACAATACCGCCACGGGCGCCCTTCCCCAGGCCCGAGCGACCTCCCGAATGGGAAGAGAGAGCAGCGAACATGGAGCAGGGGTGGCACCGGCCATGGATGTACTGGCGAACCGCATGTTATATACATTCAACGAGAGTCCTAATCTTTTTCGTCATCCTTTGTGATCCTCCTTCTTTCTCGGCGCATCCGAGACATTTGCCTTCCATCTGAGTTCTACCAATACCGGAAATAGGAAAGAAGAAAAAAAAAACGGCAGAAAGTGAGGATTGGACCGAAATACACTTCATATTCGTGAGTTAAAACCTCGAGGGCATTTTTATCTTGCGTTACGTTACCTTGAGGGCCAATTACAACTCTGTTGTTGTTCGACTTGATGCTTCACGTCTGCGTTCCTTCCCTTCCCCTTCCTACCCTTGTTTTCATTCCTCGCTGTTGTCGTCAATTCTAGCTGTCCGATTTCTCATTGCTTGACTTACAAACTCACAATTCCTTATCTGACCCAAGAGTTAGCAGAGGCCTACTTGCTCCAAGCCTAGCACGTAATTGTTTCTTCAACACGCCAACGACGGAGTCATCATGCCCAGCAACGAGGCCATTCTCCAGGGCGTCAGCGTCCTGGGCCCCATTCAGGAGTCGCACCGCAAGATTCTGACTCCCTCCGCCCTGAGCTTCCTCGCCCTGCTGCACCGCTCCTTCAATCCCACCCGCAAGGCCCTCCTTGAGCGCCGCAAGCTTCGCCAGGCCGAGCTCGACAAGGGCGGCCTCCTGGACTTCTTGCCAGAGACCAAGCACATCCGCGAAGACCCGACATGGAAGGGTGCCCCGCCCGCCCCCGGTCTCGTTGACCGCCGCGTTGAGATCACGGGGCCAACAGACCGCAAGATGGTGGTCAATGCGCTGAACGCCAACGTCTGGACCTACATGGCTGACTTGGAGGGTACGTGGCTAGCGCCTTGGTTCGGGGTCCCAATCGAGGGTTGAGAGTAGCCTCAGCTAATTAGCGTCCCAGACTCGAGCGCCCCGACATGGGACAACATGATCAATGGCCAGGTGAACCTGTACGATGCTGTGCGCCGTCAGGTCGACTTCAAGCAAGGGGCAAAGGAGTACAAGCTCCGGACGGATAGGCCGCTTCCCACCCTCATCGTGCGGCCCCGCGGCTGGCACCTCGAGGAGAAGCATGTCACAGTCGATGGTGAGCCCATGAGCGGCTCTCTCTTTGACTTTGGCCTATACTTCTTCCACAACGCCGCAGAGGCCGTCAAGCGTGGCTTCGGGCCGTACTTCTACCCTACCCAAGATGGAATCGCACCTTGAGGCCCGTCTCTGGAACGATGCCTTCAATCTGGCTCAGGATTACATTGGCATGCGGCGCGGGACCATCCGCGGCACCGTGCTGATCGAGACCATTATGGCTGCCTTTGAGATGGACGAGATCATCTATGAGCTGCGCGACCACAGCTCTGGCCTCAACTGTGGCAGGTGGGACTACATTTTTAGCGTCATCAAGAAGTTCCGCCAGAACTCCAACTTTGTGCTGCCCGACCGCAGCTGCGTCACCATGACGGTGCCCTTCATGGATGCTTATGTGCGTATCTCCTAATCTCGGCTGATCAGAATTCAACTAACATTCTTGACTTTCCTCCCTCCAGGTCAAGTTACTCATTCAGACTTGCCACAAGCGCGGCGTCCATGCCATGGGCGGCATGGCGGCGCAAATCCCTATCAAGGACGACCCGGCCGCCAATGAGAAGGCCATGGCAGGCGTCCGCGCCGACAAGCTGCGAGAGGTGCGCGCCGGCCATGATGGCACGTGGGTCGCCCACCCGGCCCTGGCCGCCATCGCAAGCGATATCTTCAACCAGCACATGCCCACCCCCAACCAGCTCTTTGTCCGCCGCGAGGACGTGACCATCGGCGCCAACGACCTCCTCAACATGAACGTCCCCGGAAAGATCACCGAGGAGGGCATTCGCAAGAACCTCAACATCGGCCTGGGATACATGGAGGCGTGGGTACGCGGTGTTGGCTGTGTGCCTATCAACTACCTCATGTTTGTCCCCCCCGCGAATCACATCCCTGCCCCTATCACGCTAACACAAACCGCCTCTCTAGGGAGGACGCTGCTACCGCTGAGGTCTCGCGCAGTCAGCTCTGGCAATGGGTGCGCCACGGCGTGACAACGGCAGAGGGCAAGCGCGTCGACAAGAGCTACGCCCTCAAGCTGCTAAAGGAGCAGGCCCAGGAGCTCGCCTCCAAGGCCCCCAAAGGAAACAAGTACCAGCTCGCCGCGCAGTACTTTGCGGGCCAGGTTACAGGAGAGGATTATGCCGATTTCTTGACTTCGTGAGTGGTTGATGATTGTCTCTGGCGTGGAAGATCGAGACTAATCCCGTGCGATAGGTTGCTTTATGATGAGATCACGTCGCAGGAGGCCCCCAAGCCAGCTTCTAAGCTTTGAGAGTCGTCCTAGGAACCCGAGGACGGGAATGGAGAGATTCAGATTGATGGCGGGATGCAAGTCCCAGCTTTTCTTTTGGCATTATGGAGGCTGTAACAGGTATTAGGTTTGGTTTGGCTTTAAAGCAGTAGGGGAATGACCCCAGTCTGGGAAATTTGAGGAATCATCAAAGTTTCGCCATGAACCAACGGCCACGAATTCGAAAGTGTGGTTGTGAATGTAAGGCAAGGCATGTGGCACCGGGTTGCCAACCCAACAAGTAACAAAGCCCAACGGGATGCCAGTCGGTCGGGGCAACGTTACTGATGGCCTCCTCGATGGCTAGCTGTTGGTTGTTGGCCATAGGTAGGCTACCTAAACCACTGGGTGCTGCTATCATCGCTGGCCTACCCCGGGACCCACAGCTTATCCTCACCTTGGTTAATCCGCTGTCACCTGCGTTGAGTCGTCGGAGATGGTTCGAGATCGGGGTTGGCTAGAGGAGACGTGCCCAGTCATCCATTCCATCTTTCCCACTTCCTTACATCCCCTAGCTGTTGGTGTCTTTCAACAATACCCCATCACACAAACAATCCCGGCTCAAACAGCCAAATGGCAAACCAGCGAGCTAGCTGTTTTCAACTACCAGCCAGTAGCCACGCCAACACCGTGGTGTTCTCGAGCTTGTTTCTTGAGGTTGTATCACCGAATGCTTATTATATAGCCATTCCCAAGTTAGCTGCATTTTGCACAAGGCTAGGCCGCCACGCACAGAAACTTATTTACTTCCACGACAAAATCGACTGTGCCTATGGACGGCTATTACCCTTTTCAAGTCCGCAGCCTAGAAGGAGGCGGACTACAAGACGGGGGCGGGCCCGGTAGTACTGCAGACGCAACGAGAGAACCCGCTCCCAGCAGCTTTGCGACGACCTTTAGTATGGTCATGATCGTGGTCATGTATTTTGTCGCCATGTTCTTTTTCGGGTTGATCTACTACACAGGTATCAAGATCGACCCCCTTAACTAGTTACATACATTCCGGGGTTTTAAGTGCCTTGTATGTGGACTAAACATCCATGCTGATCTTGTATGTACAGGAGTCCGCCGCCGCCCTGACCTCGGGCGGAACGATGGGTGCTGCACCGTTTTGTGGAAGACCATCAAATTCACCTTCTGCATCCGCTTCATTGAGATATGCTGGGAAAGTTGCGGCTCGAGTGAGGAGGGGGGGAGCGCCCGCCGGGGTGCAGAAACAGGCCGTGACAGGAGCCGAAGCTACAGGGCCCTGGAAGACGAGGAGGAGTTGCATGGCTCGCCCTATATTTCCTCGGCTTCAATTTATTATCATTTTCATAACGCCCCAGGGGAGGTGACACAGCCCATACCTTTAAGAAGTACGAGGGAGCTTTCTCGACGTAACATGGCACGAAACCACCCCGAAAGCGTGGATACATCGGCGCCAGCTAGAACCTGGTCAGGTTCGACATTGAATCCGTCTGACGCGGCGTTACCGGAGCGTCCACCGCATGCACGACTCCCACGTACCATGTTGGAGGCTTCGACTCTCCGGGACGCATGAGGTTGTGAGGTCTGCACATGAGCCCGAGTCTAGACTCGCCAGGGCTGTCTTCGGGGTAAGCTTAGGCGGGTGCTCGCGCGAGATGGTATTTGCAGTTTGGAGTTCCATACGGAATTGAGTTTTGTTGTCACCATCGTTGTGTGGGAGAGGAGGCCAGTCTTGATTCCCCTACCACATAACCCACTGAGTCTCGGCTCTATCGCACCAACCCTCAGAACACCCCAAGCGGGTACGCCGTGTGTATGTTAGCCACGTTCGGCGTAAGAGACGGCACGCTCTCGTATGCCTTGGGCTCTACGGTCCCGTTGACAAACGGCGGCATCTTCCTCACCGGGGCAAGCTCATTGATGTGACTCGCAATATTGAGCAACAAACCTTCGCTCCACGGCCGGCCGAGGATCTCCATGCCAATCGGGACACCAACTGGAGCATGCTCTGAGGGGGCAGAAAATCCCACAGGTACACAAACGACAGGGTGTCCGGTCAGGGCGGCCAAGATGCCGTTCCGCCCACTCTGAGACGGCGAGCCGATCTTAACGACAAGGTTCTTTTGTTCGGGGTAGATGATCGCGTCCAGATTGTTTGCCGTGAATGTGGTTTCGAGGGCGCGCGTTAAATCCTGGATGCGGTTCAGGGTTTCAAGGTAGGGAGCGTCGCGGGTTGATGAATACGACGCTTTCTTGATGAAGTGGTGCTGGGCCGGGATGACTAGGAAGTTGGTGGTGCCAGTGCCAGTATCAGTGTTGTATAGCTCATCAAAGCTCGTCGGGCGGAGGACTTCATGGCCTCTGGAGACCTGGTTGGCAGTTGTTGGCGTGAGGTAAGCGTTAAGCAAGTCCTTGAACTCAAACGCCTGCACGTCCAGTTTTGCGATGGCTAGCGTGTCATAGATGGGGTCCGTAATGTTGATGATTTCAACACCAGTTTCGGTAAGCTTGGACACCATGCTCGCCATGATGTTGTTGACGGGCATTGTCTCGATCGATGTGGTGTGGTCAAAGAAGCCGTCCAGCAGACCAAGGCGCAACCCTGACAGATTGCCACGGTACAGAGACGCAGAGTAATCTTGAGGTGGGACTTGCCTCGGAGCCAAGGCAGTGACGTTGTCCCGAGGATCAAAGCCGACACTTGCCATGACAGACAGTGCCACGGCAAGATCGCTGGGATTGCGCGCCATTGCCCCTACCGTGTCCTGAGTGGAGCTGACCGGAATGACACCAGCCCTCGAGATCAAGCCTCTTGTGGGGCGGAAGCTGAACAACGAGTTCGCGCTTGCCGGGCTGCGGAGGGAGTTGACCGTGTCAGTGCCGGTTGCTAAGACAGCAAAGCTGGCGGCGACTGCAGCACCGCTCCCACCGCTGCTTCCTCCCGGAGTCCGAGTGAGGTCATATGGGTTGACGGTCTGACCACCGAGTGAGGACACAGTCAAGCCTTCGAAAGCCATCTCATGCAGGTTGGTCTTGCCGAGTACGACTGCCCCAGCATCAACCAGGGCCCTGACACTTGGTGCATCTGCCTGAGGTTTGTTGTGGGCCAACCCCCGACACCCGCCTGTGGTGCTCATCCCAACTGCATCAAAGTTGTCCTTGAGAAGGACTGTGACACAAAAAAGGGCGCCTGTAACATTTCCTGCTGCAAGCCTCTGGTCAAGATGATCGGCAATTGAGAGGGCAAGTGGATTCAGTGAAATGACAGCATTGATGCTGGGGTTGAGCTCCTCTATGCGGGCAATGAAGGAGGAGACAATGTTTCGGCATGTTGCGCTGTGGGTGAAGAGAGCATCATGCACGCTGGTGATGGTGGCTTCTCGGACATCAAAGATATGGCTGAGTGCCCAGGCTGCTGTTGACAACCAGACGAGGACCAGGGCGCAGCAGAGCAGAGGCTGCATTATGTTGAGGGAGATGGACAAGTGGTGCTTCATTCGGCCAGAGGAAGAAAACACTTTGTGGTTGTTTCTTGTGCTGTTCCCTATGAATGGTGGCTCTCAATACCATGCGGCAGTTTCAGAACATTGCCGGGCTTGGTGCTTGTTGTACCTGCAATGAGCAACTTGTTAAAAGGGGCAGTAGAGCGGATCGGTTTCACATACAATTTGCGATGCCCGGTTAACAGAGAAGTGTGGCAGTTACTTTGCGAGGGCACAGGTGCTGGCATCTCTAGTTCCAGGGTCCAGGCGGTATTGGCCCTGTGAAAGAGCGGATGAAAGGGCAGAGCTTGAACCAGGAGATAGAAAGAGGGCGCGGTGAAGCAACTTCACAACGTGCAAACATTGCAGAACCCGGAAACTAGATATATTCGCTATAGGATTGCCTGACAAGGTCTGCACGGACCATATCGCACGGTTAATGACATGCTGCATGCTGTGCAGGCTATCGGGGTGTTGTGTGCCCGAGTGCTTGTGTCCCTGGATCTTCATACTGCCAGACATGCCGAGTTGTTGAGTTTGAGCCTTCATCCTGTGCCTGTGGCTTGTTAATTGAATTGTCAGCAGGCAGACTCTCTGTTATTCTGTTCTTTGTTTTGATTTCTCAAGGGAATGGCTGGTTGGGAAGGGTCACAAGGTGATGGTGCAGTGGTGTTGGGGGAAAGGGGTGAAAAATGAGAGCAAAGGGAATAGGGGAGCGAGGAACAAGCTCAAGGTAGAGAGAAATAAACTCTTCCAATCCAACACAAGAAGATAAAAATAAACAAAGTTACTTCTGTCTAAAGTTTGTCAGAGAAGGAAAAAGAAAAAAAAAAGTGAAGATGTGAGAAAAGTGTTCAGGTTATGTCCACAATAATGATAGGACCAGGCAACTAGACTGAGCGTGTCGGCCGCATTTCTAAAGCAAGAGCAAGAGCAGAAAACTCACCTTCGACATCTTAATCATCCTTCAATTCTTAGGTCTTGCGCGGTCTGAATCAGGTCCCGCATGAGCCCTTCGACAGTCCCCAATCCGGTTGCATCTCCAACATCTCCGCCCTCTTGGTCTTCTGGGCTGTCCCCTGACCTGGGTGTCGCCAGGGAAGAAGAACCCAAGTAGCCTGCATTTACAGAAGAATCGTTCCTCGACCAAAACTTATCCCCAGCAACGCCATCTTCCACAACCCCGCAATCCCGCACTCTCCTTGCACCACCAACACCACCAACACCATCATCACCACGAATGGCATCAACATCAACTCTTCTTGATCTGTGACGCTGCTGCTTACTTTCCTTTTCCAAATTACAGTTGCCCAACCGTGTGGGCGTGAACACCCCACCTCTATCGTAATAACTCGGACCTAGCCCTGATGTGCCACTCATCTGCCCAGAACTCCGACTTTGAGACCGAGCCAAGGCACTGGCACCAGAACCAGTACCAGAACTAACCTCGGGATGGTGGTAACCCAACCGCGCACCACCCGCATTTCCCGCAGACAGGGAAGTCGACGTCGACGCCAACTGGCACGAGACCCGTTCGAGGAGCGACGCGACCTTTCTCATACAGTGCGCGTTGGTCTGCTCTAGGGTGTCAATGCGGGCGAGCAGGCCTTCCATCTCGAGGTCGTGGACTCGAATGAGGCTGGTGGTGTAGCGGTAGATGAGGTTGACATCGATGTTGCTGTCTTGTTCCTGTTTGCTTGCGCTTGCGCTTCCGCTTCCGCGTCCGATTTCGCTGTTTCTTTGCTCTTTTCTGCTTTCGTGCCGGCGTGATAAGCGGGGGGAGGTGGGATTAGAAGAGATATTGGTGTGTGATGTGAGGATGCCCGAGTCGGCGGTGTTGGTGAAGTACGGCGTGTTCGTGCCAGGCTCTTCGTTCCAAGATTGGGCAAGGGGCAATGAGGCATGGGAGTCATCCCTGTCGATATCTGGGGCTCGGATGATTAGATGATATCGCTAGTGTGAGCCTTTGGGGTTCTTGTTGGTACCTGAACGGAGAGGCACCTGGTGGGGAGATGATGGTTCCATGTCGGCCACGGCCAGGACGCGAGCTATGTGGGGGGTTTGAGAGGTGTTTGGCAGCGTACGAGATTGATAAAGGGCTCCCGTGGGAGGTGTAGGAACTGACCAGTTGGGTTCAGGCATGCTTGATGTGTGGGATGAACTTGCGTTATATGGCGCCGAAAGTCGCCTTGCGAACTGCCCTCACCAGTACTAACTCCCTTTCCCTTTCGCGTGTCTCGGCCGTAGATGGCTGTGCGCGATTGCGCAGGGTCCGGGGCCGAGTTTTTGCCGGTACCTGTCTCCTCGGCTGGGGTGTTCTGGTAGCCTGGGGGCGCGGGCGAAGGAATGTGGACTGTTACCGCATCAGAAGATATAAGCTCGCTAGTGGTAGTGAAGAAGCTCTCCGACGAAGAACTCTTGCGAACATGTTGGCGGCCTGTCGAGCATCCGGCACTTGCCAGCACCCCTTCTTGAGTGGAACGATCTTGATTGAGCGGTTGGCCTGGGGATTGCCTTTGCTCAGACCATGGATTCGTTAGATATGTATCGGTAGAAGCCGAGCGTTGGAGTCTTTCCGGCTCCCACGCGGATGTAACACCCACGCCGCGAGGGCGGGTTAGATCATCTGGGCCGGTAGGATTCCAGGGCGGGAGACGCAGGTTGTTGTCCGTGATGTAGGGCGTCTCGCTGCGACGTTGCTTCTCAGGGTGCTGGAATCGACCCTCCCTTCCGTCTCCCTGATCAAGCTCGCCGCGCGATCTAGCCGTAGGATTGACTGGCCTTCGGACAGCGGGCTGCAAATATGCAAACTCGGCGGGGATGCATATTGCGACGTAACGATGGCCCTTAGTAGTCGTACCCTCCACCGCCGAGTCCGGCAACCTGATGTTGCCTCTTTGTGGCTTGGATTTTATTTTTGATTCGTGTTTCCTGCGAAATGGCCACAAGAAAAACCGACTATCTCTCTTCTTAGGCCCTTCCTCGGCCATGTCGAGCACGTCAGGCAGGTCAGTTGTGGGCTGGTAGTTTCCTAGCGGCAGTGACCTTTGGCGGAAATGACCGATCAGCTCTTTCACCATACCTCCCTCGCTTGCTTTCTTTCTGCCATGACTCAAACTGTTTGCTTGGGACATGTCGTTGACGAGGCTGTGTGAGCCAGGCAAGCCACGGGACGGCTTGAGGATTGCGCGTTGTTCTTCCATGGGAGTTGAATTGAGGGTGGTCATGATTGTTCAGTTGAGTTGAGTTGGGTCGTTGTTTGCTATGCTAAAGTACAGTGTCCAGTTTGTGTAATGTACAGTTTGTGTAATATGGTAGTATGGTAGTATGGTAGTATGGTAGTATGGTACAGTATGGTAGTATGGTAGTATGGTAGTATGGTAGTATGGTAGTATGGTAGTATGGTAGTATGGTATGGTGCGAATGTTCCGATATGTGCTCGGGATGAAAAGGGGGTTTTAAAAGGAGAAATACAGACCGTAACAGGCACCCACACTTAGGCCCTGTTCTTTTTGAAGGGGGGGGGGGGGGCTGAAAACACTGAATCGAAGCCCCTACATTGCCAGTACGCTTTAGGGGGTCATTGCGCAACATGATCCGATCTTTGGGAATGTTGTCATTTCGAAATGCCCTGGTATCCTTGACATGTATGAGACAGAACGCGAGGAATCGGGAGGGGTAAAGGTCAGCTGATGACTCTCTTGATTCAGTGTTATCAGAACAACCCTCCCCAGACATGGAAGGGTGACGGAGCAGCGGAGAGAATCGGACGAGTGAGCTGTCAGGAATTCGTTCTAGGTCGTCATATCAGTGGCATCGCTGGTGGACTCGGGCTGTTCTCACGTTTGGGCTCAATTCCCTTTCAGACCTAACTGCCTAACTGAAGTTTGTCGGCCAAACCGTTGTAGGTAGTTTTTGAAAAGATACCTAGTTATACGAATATGGGAATATGGAAGACCACTTAGCAAATGACGTTGAGAGAAGAGAACAACCCCCCCCCACCCCCGCTAAAAAAGGACAAGAAAATGGGATAAAAAACAAGAGCTGGCTTGCATCATTCGAGACATCGGAGAATTTCGGCCAATAAAAATCATCTTGCGGTCAATGGACTAAACCCAACGGGGCAGCGTCTAGCAGATCTATGCAGAGGTACCGACACCACCAGTGCTCACACACAGACAAGCCGTGTAACGAACCACGCGACAGACAGGGGAGGCATATGCAGGGGATGATTCGCCTCTGGTGTAACAGCGATGGGAATGGTGCAGCGGTGGAAAGGAGAGCACAATATCTTGCGCAATGGGTATCCTGCACAACGAGGTCTATGGCGCATGGGCCCTGCTTCGAGACTCCTGATAAGGGACCTCGTACTGACTGGTTGATCCTAGTTTGAGGTTGAGATAGGTCCCTTCGTCATGATTCATTCACCCATCATCAGGGAAAGAGGAAGTCCCACAAGTCCCCGGCAGTGTCGCAGACCTCCGTCTTACTAGCACTTCTCCTAGGCAAGGCAGATGGAGCGGGCAGCCGACTGTTTAACCACCATCATGTGGCCGAGGTGAGCATGGGACAGCTACCCGACAGGCCTTAAGCTGCCCGGCAGAGACCTGAAGTCTAGTGTAGGTATGCCAAGTTGGCCACCCCAGGCTGCTCTTTGCGGCCTCGGTCAGTCCTCAGATCACTGCGGGCACTGGCTTAATTTTCGCCACACCAACCTAGGTAGGTGGGTGGCGAAGGGAAAGACGAGAAGGAAAAGGAAAGAAAGCACCCGAGGGTGGTGACTGAAACAGACCCACCCCCGCCTGCTAGGTATTCCAGCGACCGAGCCCCCCAGCCCCCAGAAAACTCCGATGCTCAGCCTGAGTTTAGTCAGGCCGGCTATACCTTAGCCGTCTATCGTTCCTGTTCCCCGGGGGGAAGTGAAATTACCTAGTCTGCATGGCCGTCACGTGAACCCCGCGCCCTGTATCTAGGTTTCTATCCCCCACCATGCATCATCCTGGGGCGAGTAACTATGCACTAAGAAAAGAGGAACCGGAGAGGCAAAAGACAAGAACAAAAAAGAACAAGAAGAGGATGGTCTTTTGCGCCATTAACGCTTGCCCGGCTTCCGTCTAATAAACGGGTCCGCAGCCGGTTTCTTGGGCATCGTCACCGGTCCCTAAACATCGTTCGAGTTAGACAATGTGCCCATGTGGGGATATCACACCCAAGTAGATTCTCGCTCACCTTTGGCGCATTGGGAGCTCCATTGGGCCTAGTTCCACCAGGCGGCCGGATGTGTGGTTGTTGAGCCGGCTGGGATGGTTGGGCAGGCGCACGCGACGGAGGAATCAAACCCAGCACTTCCATCGCCGAGGGATCAGTTGGCGGTTTTGCTTGTTTGTGCTTACCGGGACCTGTTGGGGCCTTCACGGGGCCTCGGTCTGAGCCGGGGTGCGCCTGGATGGGCTATTATCATTAGCTAAGGGTGGCCTGAGCGAGCGCTGGTATTGTCACGGACCTTCTTTGTGCCGGCGCGGCCGTCCTCGTCATCCCGCGGCCGCTTTTTCCCTGCGGCGCCAGCGGTGGACTGAATGACGGGCGCGTTTCCACCCCTGGGTAGCATCGATGTAATCTCCCCTTTCCCATTGAGACCACCGATGCCTGAACCATGGCACGGGAGCGTCGGAGCAGCTGGGACTGCATCCTGGTTATGCGTTCTTGTTGCAGCGGACCATTGTTGGGGAGGTTCGGGCGCATCGGTCATGGCAACGTCGTTTTTCAACTCCATGGGGCCGAGGGGCTGAGATAACTCAGAGGACGACGCAGTAGGCAACGGCAGGGGCACTTGTCGGCCCGGTCGGTCGAGCAGGGTCATGACATTGCCACTTGTGTAGCGATCGCGCTCCTTCGCGTCCTCGATGAGTTTGCCCCAGAACTCGCCCTGCACCAGCGCGCGAGAATCACCCAGGATCCATAGCGAGGACCTGGCGCGGGTCAGGCCGACGTTCATACGACGGATATCCGTCATGAAACCGATACCGCCGGTTGGGCTAGCTCGGACACAAGAGAAGATGATGATCTCGCACTCACGGCCCTGGAAGGCGTCCGTGGTGTTGAATTCGATCTCCTCGGCGATCCCGTCGCCATACTTCTCGGCGAACCGCTGTCGCAGCCGAAACAGCTGAGCCTTGTACGGAGTGATGATGCCGATCTTGCCCTTTAGCTCGACATTGCCGTAGTCAGTGCGGAATCGATGGTAGAGCTGCATGGCAACCTTCAGCTCTTCGTCATTGACTAGTGACTGGTTTCTCGGCCCCCGCGACTGGGAGCCCTTGACGTCAAAGAACCGATAGGGGCCAAGAAGTTCGCTCTGGTGCCACGGCTGCATACGAAGCTGTCCCATATCCGCACCGTCTTGGAGCAAGCCTTCGTAAAATTCCTTGCTAGGGAATTTGCTGATCTCCGGGTGCATACGGTATTGCATATCGAGCAGATGAACGTCCTTAGCATGGTTCTTCTGCATCCGCACAAACAAACTCTGGTCGTAGCCGTACCGAGCAGCAGATTGTGAGAGCACTGTGGGGGGTAGTTGCTTGGGATCTCCGACGAGAATGCATTTGGAACAGCCGTACTTCAAGGGGATGAGAGCGCTCAGCTCCACGCACTGCGCAGCCTCATCGATGATGACCGTTTCAAACTCGACATTGAGATTTTTGAACATCTCGTGGCCGCTGCCGCTCAACGTGGCGCAGAGAACCTGGGCTTTGTCGAGGATATCTTGCTGGATTTGCCGACGCTTGATCTCGACCTCACGCGCGAACGTGTTTCCGTTGCTCTTGTTGGCGTCGATCTTGGCGCCAACGTGAGCCTGGCGGTGCTTTAGATCATCAAACTCCCGTTGCAGCTTCATAATGAACGTGCGGTCACCACTTGCCCGGGCGGCCTCGAGCTGAGGCCGCAGCTCAGTGATCTTCTCCTTAAGCATACCGGCCTCCTGATGTAGTTTTTCGCGATCACTCGGGCCGCTATTATTCATTGCGCTATCCATCCGGGCTTTGACCAATTCATCAAGCGTCACATCTTTGACGGCAGCGTTAATGGCGTCGGTACGACCCAGGCGTATAACCTCGATTTTGTGGGACGCTCCATTCATCGTCTTGACACCAGCCTTCAACCGCAGTACCAGTTCGTCTACAGCCGCGTTGCTGGGCGCGCAGACTAGCAACTTCTTGGAAGGCGCCTGGTTAATGGAGGCGGCACCGGGCCTCACGACGGGGACTGCACCGCTGGACGACTTCAGGACTCCCGTTAAGAGGCAGCCGACCATGGCGACAATGGTTTTTGTTTTACCAGTCCCTGGTGGGCCCTGAACCAAGGTAAAGCCATCGTTCTCCTTAGCATTCAGGATAGCACGAGCTTGGCCGGGGTTGAGTTGGTAATTCTCCATGACCCCCTTAACCGCTTCATTGCCGAACGTTAGCATCGGGGACGGCTGCGCCTTCAGCACCTCGTCCATTAAGTCATAATATTGCAGACTCTCCAACGCCGCATATTCACGTTCAATGGTCGTCATGTTGGTGATTTTGACGACATTAAACTCGGAGCCAGGAAGGAGTGCCGGGAGAATCTGGTTGCCTCTGGCATTGAGGCGGTAGACGACTTCGACGGTGTCCTTTTTATAACTGGTTTTCCAGATACGAGAAAGGCAATGCAACTCCGTCGGCTGATTGAGCGGATCTTCCCCTCTTGAGACAAGGACGATGTCTCCCTCAGATAGACCCCGGTCTTTGCTGATTTGGGCGGGAACTGAGGCGGTAACTTCCATAAACTTATCGACCGTCATGCGGTTAAGAACCTTGATACCGAAAGGCTTGGACGTGGCCTCGTCTTTGGACGTGACAAACGATCGCCAGGCCTCATTGATGAGGAGAGGGAAGAAGGTCTGCTTGTAGCTGTGGGGATCCGAATAGTCGTCCGAAACGCGATCGCACCTGTAGCCGTTGGGGGGGTCGTTGCCTTCGTGGAAAATATCCCACTCCAGAATTGCCTGGTGGAGAACATCCATGGGGGGGATCAAGCGCGCTCGCATATCCTTTGCTGACCGCTGGAGCTTGACCTTCTTTACGGGGCCCCGTTTCTCGGCCAGCATGAGCAACCGGCGGCGCTCAGTGTCAGTGAGGTTCTTGTTCCCCGCTTTCGCTTTTAATGCTATCCGTTCGTCTTCAGAGTCATCTTCCTCTTCCGAGGACGAGCCAACCATGATCTCATCCTTGACGACCGGCGCATGATCCTTGCCCCGGACACCGGCGATGCCTTGGAGGCCAGAACCTTCGCCAGGGACGGTCTTGGGCGGCGCTCGCAAGGCTTTCGCTTTCGCAATTGCCTCGGCATCTCTCCTCGCCTTTTCGGCCTTTTCCCGGGCCCTGGCTTCTTTGATCGATGATTGATTTGCGAGGACGGCTTTTTGATCCAGCTTGGTTGGCTGTTTGGGCTTTGGGCCCTCCTCTTTCAATTTAGCGAGCAGCGCAGACCCGCGTTTCTCGAAGTTAGGGGTGATCTCGGCAAACCGACCTTTGGTGGAAGTGCTCGGAACACCCCTGGAGAAGTCAATCTTGCTCTGCTTCATGGCCCGCTCCTTTTCTTTGGCCTCCCTCTCGCCAGGTTTAGGCCCCATAAACTGTTCCTCGATCACGGCATCTTCCCCAAGGGCCTTGAGCAACTCAATTCGCTGCTCATCGGTCAAGTTGGTCTTCTGAGCGTAGTCTAGTCTTCCACCGGCGAGCTTCCTCCGCCGGAGCATGTTGTGGAGGTGCACAACAGCCTTGTTGGGCAAGACCATGTCGTTCTGTTTTAGTCTTGCCAGAAGCTTCTTGATCACCTCAATGATGCCCGCGATGAGATACTTGTCTCTCAGCTGCAGCATGTCGGCAAGAGAGAACGAATACCTCCTGGGGGGTTCCAGGACGGCTTTCAAAGCCTTCGTCGTCGCATCCCCGTTAGCCTGACCGCCGTCGTCGCCGCTATGCTGGCTCAGAGCCGAGGCCATGACTCCGTCCTGGGCGAACAGCTTGTTGCCCAGCTCCATGACGTCTCGGCAGAAGTCCTCCATGATCTTCTTGTCAACCCTTTCGTGCCATACCCTCATCATAACGAATGAGTGATCAACGACCTGCCACGCACACTCCCACCACCGCTGGACAGCAGCGTGTTCTTCCGAGGTGAGGGTTTTGCGCCTCAGCTGGCCCGAAGAAGGGTCGCAAAGGCCGTTTAGAACGAACTCGCTGCACTTGAGGATTGGCAGCATATGACTCCAGGGGCTAGTTGTGCCATTCTTCGCAGTGACGCTATGCACTGCTTCCGAGAACGCATTCAGGAAGGGGGTGAAATAGTCCTCCAACATCTTGCCCACCGCCTCAGAGGGCAGGCCCTCGCTAGTGATAGCCTTGAGCAGTTCGAAGCCAGCCTCCCGAATAGCATCTTCGCCGTGAATCAATGACGATATGATGGGGTGGATGGTCGGGCTCTGACGCTCCGAGCAAAACTTGACGAGGTCCTCTTGCTTGAAATCGGAAAGCCGGCCGAGCATCCGCCCTATTGCTGTCGTTTGCTGCTGATACCTTGTATTAAACTTTTGTTGCTCCGGCTTAAGTTGCTCCTTGCGCTTAGGCATGAACCGCTCAATGCTTCGAAGCCGCAGTGTAGCCATCAGCATGGCCTTCGCTAGCTCAGCGTGTCCAAGCTGCCCATACCATAGCATCTCGAGGAAGGATTCCCACAGCACCCCAGAGTCCCGATTCACAGCATCCTGTACTGGTATCCCAGTAGTCAACGCTTTCCACTCAATCTCCGTCGCCCTGGCATCCAATGCTAGGGCGGAGTGGATAATGCCCATTGCCGCCTGAGAAATGCCGACGTTGAAGGTGTCTCCGGGTTTGAGACCAGCGGCGGTGATAATCACATCACTGTACTGAATGACGCGGTTGAGCAGCTGGTTCACCATGATGAGCGCAGTGCCCGTGTCAAACGGGGCTTCTTGATGAAGATAGCCATCAAGCGACTCCCTGAGAGTAACCAAACCCGCAAGGGTGCAGGTCGCTTGGGCGGCCCGGTCCGCGGCCGGATCCCGACGAAATGTGTCGAAGAGATGCCGCAGCAATGATTCGCACACGTCCGATCGCTGTATTGTGGGCAAGGACCGTATGAATGCCCCCATCCAAGCCGCCAGGGCCGGTAGTTGATTGTCCCCTTCAGTAACCATCATGTCTGGTGCCAGTGACTTGTTCAGAAAGCGGCGGAATGCGGGGCTCTTGAAAATCTCCTCGACGAGTTGGCTGGGGGTGACTTGGTCAAACGCGGACCAGAACGCGCTTGAGGACTTTTCCATGAGCCCCCGAAGACCCTTCAAAACCACGGCCAGGGCTTCGTCGGAATCAGTGGCCAGGTGCTCCAAGGCAAGAAAGTAGACGCTCGGCGATACCTCCATCGCCCTGAGAGAGTTGATAATCTGCTTCTCGCTCAGAGACCAGAGGATGAGGGAAAACCCATGCCAAAACCTGCAAATTTTGTCCGGCGTCGGCATTCCTCTGGACAGAGACACTCGCAGGATCGCGCTGCTCAAATGAGGGCAGATAGCCCAGTCCCATTCCTGATCCGTGATAGACCCAAGCGCCCGTTTCTCCCAAGCACACTCGGCAAACTTTTGTTTATAAGGGGTAGAAGGTTCGTCGAAGAGAAAGTGGGTCATGGTGGGTATGAGACCTCCTTGCATCCGCAGCGGCCGTTTTTGCTGCGTGTTCTCGAAGACGTAGGTGAAGGCTTCTTTATTCCCAGGGCCGGCGAGATATTCGGTACTGCAGAGGGCCTCAAAAAGAGCGATGACAGCCGACATGTCGTGCTCAACTAGCTTGGCCGTCGTCATGGGTCCCTTCGCCTCGAGAATTGACCTCGCGTTCTGGAGGCCCTTGTCGATACGTAGTTGGTCAAACTCGGCGAGCTTGATCCGCATGTAATCGATCATTTCCGGTGCGAGGTGCCTACGTACCACAACGGGAGATATCAGTCCGAGTAACAGTGCAGCAGGGGGAGGGGGATGTGCTTACAAGCCGCTGAGGTATGGCTGACGGGTTCGATGCCAGTTTCTCACGCACGAGTCGCACCGCGTGAGACAGGCATCGACAGCCTGTGTCCAATTGTCCAGCCATTCGCCGGCAACCTCCCTGCCGAGGCCCATTAGGATGCTGAGATCATAGGTATTCTGAAACCTGCTCTCGTATTCTTCGATTCGGCCTTGCTTTTCTTCGGCTGAAAGCCCGCCTTCGTCAGGAACATTGGGCTCGTCGTAGTTCGCGAAATCTTCTTCGTCGATCTTGGGGCAGCATAGATGCGCATCTGGTGGGCGGTCCTCAAACACACGATGCCACGCAAGAGCAGCCTGCAGAAGAGCATTCGGCTCCATGGCGGCTACGAGTGAAGAACGGAATCGGCTGGTCGCTGCGACTGGGGTTAAGCGAGGAATACACGATCGAAACTTGGGAAAGAGATAGGTTCCCGTTCGACGACCTAGTGTAGTTCTAGCTAGGTCTCAGTGTTCGAAAACCTTGCGGAATGGGCCGAGGACTGGCAGAAGTGTCGCGAAAGGGAGATTGGAAGAATAGGATCGTCTGGGGGACGATCACCCGATGTGAAAGAGCGTGGCCAACACACAAAAGAGGAAGGCACAGGGTTACTCATTGATGCCGGGTGTTATTGCAAAGAAATGCCCGCCAACAAGAGGGTTTTAGGTGTTGGTGTGGCTCAGCAAAGAGCATGTTGCTTCGGGGGTTAAAGAGGTGGGCAGATGCACCTTTTTGGTCGGCAGGCAATCGCGAAGGTGGTTGCACGCCAATGCAGCGCGTTAATTCTTTGTGGGGCCAGCAGGTGGGGCGGCTGGCGGCAATGTAGTGTAAACCCTTGCAGCAGCAGCAGTTTACCTTAGCGGGAAATAGTGGGGCCGAATGAGGCTTGCAAAGGGAGTGGGGACCTTGCACAGGCCGAAATTGACTTGTGTATGGAAAGTCGAAAGTCCCTTACCAGAAAAAAGAGCCTTGTAGGCCAAAAGTAACTACTTGTCACGGTTATGGCCGCATGCAGCCGGCCGGCGGGGTACGCTGGCAATACTCCGAACCAATCATTAAGAGGAAGCACGTAGCCAATAAATAGGCAAGCACCGAGGTGCTCAGGGTGCTCAGGGCCAAGACCCGTGAGCATCAAGAGCACTCTTTGCTCAGGATGCTCAGGGCCAAGACCCATGAGCAACCTGAGCAAAGAAAGTCAGTCAGTATATAGTCACTCGTCCTGGAGAGCCCTGGGGGTTCTCCAGTTAGCAATCACAGCTACAGTTCGCTACAAGCTCGAGAGCCTACTGTTGAGACAAGCCTTTGTTGTGCACCCTTTGGCTGCACCGAACCTAAGCACCCTTGAGAGATTACCTTCGACCAAAGCTGAACCCTAATAGGACAGGGTCCTGAAGTAGGTACGTCACAGTTGCTTGGCATTAACTCGGGGGTACCTTGAATGAAGTACACAGGTACCCTATTGTCGTCATTGTCAATTCGTCATGGAAACTTCAATTTTAACCCCTTAAAAATCTGGCAACCACATAAACTATCTAGGTAGGTAGTTAAACGTGGAATTCGCTGAAGCCATTTGAATTTGCTGGAGCTAGATGCCCTGTCACAAATTGAACGAGATATTCTGCCAAGTTCTGTTAACCCCCGAGCTTCCAGCAACACCAGGTTGGAACTCGAAGATTCTAGCTCTCGAGCCGCTTCCTCGCCCCCGCAGATCAATCATCAAACCAGCCAGAGATTCCCCATGAAATAGAGCCAAACCTCATCCGTCTCTTTCTGGTATGTATGTCTGTATCTTGAGGCAAGATATAGCACCGCGAATAAAGCTTTACTCCTCCTCTTCCGTCCATGCACTCTCGGTTTCCGAATCTTCCGACTCGGAGCTCGTCTCCTCCTTCACATTTTTCGCCTTCTTTACCTCCCTCGGCTTGGACCCAGCTTCATCTTTGCTTCGGACCAACAAATGCTCGAGTGGGCAGTCTGGCGCCTCGTTCCAGTCCTTGGTACCCGGTTTAGTCGCTTTCTTGCACTTGAAGCACGTCTGGCCGTGGCGAATGAACAACTGGTGTAGTCCATACTTGAGATGGTCAGGCACCATGAAGTCCCCGTGCCGAAAGCAGTTGTCGGGATCGGCCTTGTCGGGAACCCAACCCAGCCAGCGGCAGAACTTGTGGACGTGTGTGTCCACAGCAAAGCAGGGCTTCTGCAAGCAGAACAATGTGACGCAGGCCGCTGTCTTGATTCCAATGCCTGGGTAGCTCAGGAATTTAGCCATAGCCTCATCTTTGCTCATGGCACGCATGTGGTCGAGCGAGAGAAGGTGAAGTGCTGTCTTTCCTGCCTCAGCCACTGCTTGGGTTTGGCCTGCTTCTGTCTCGGGGCGTTGCATCTTGGCTCGCTGGACATTCTCCTCATGAACCATGTCGAGGATACGCTTGATATGTTGGCTCCTATTGGGGCCATTGCCAGCGACTTTGATGACTTGTGTGAGCTCAGCATGCGTGGACAGCCTGACTTTCTCCCAATTAATGCTCCCAGCGCTAGTGCCCACTTGGCCGCGGCCATAATATCTGACCAGGTTCTGGATGGCTGTGTTTGCGAGCTCCATGAGGGTGTTTCCGCTGATCAAGGTTCTCAGCAGTGCATCAAGGACGCAAGGAACCTCACCACACCCGGCAACCTCGAGAGAAGCCAGGGGCATTTCCTTGGGCTGCGTCACCTTGTCATGCATCTCCGTCAAGATCCGATGCACTTCCTCGCAAGCTTCAGGCGTAGGAACCCGGCGGTATGGATAAGGCGAGAACCCCGGTGTCAACCCATATGGGTTGTCTTTGCCTCTTTTGACAATGCGCCTGAAGTTGGGATCCAGCACTTGGCTGGCATCGATGACAATCTTGGCTGAGTCAGACTTGGCAACAATGTTGTCCTTGATAGTGATGCCCTTGATAATCAGAACCTTTGGTGTGGGCTGGTCCAGGGCTTTTTTCTCCTCGGCTTTTATCAGCGCAAGTTCCGATGCTGCCTTGTTAGCAACTGGAGCATCGTCCGGCTTATCAGCCCTCAGAGTAGTCCGCACACGTTTGTTCGGCCGGTCGTCTTCCTGCTTGATGGAGGCATCGTCGGGCTTCTCCAATTTCACCGTTGTGGCCTGGGCTTTAGTAACTCGAAGGGATAGGCGGGTTTGTCTAGACTGCTTAAGTGCCTCCTTTTTAGTGCCGATTTTAGGCTGCGAAGTCACGACAGCGCTATTTTGAGCGGGAACATTTTGAGCGGAAACCTTTGGGCCAGAGGTCGCGTCGGCAAGCTCTGACTCCGACACTGGCAATGTGTCTTCAGCGTTCTCAGTGCCCGAAGCATCTGCGCCAGTAACTCTGACACCCATCCCATGAGGCAAAGCCCAACCACCTCTGAGGGGCTGTGACTGCTTCTTCACGCCACGTTTGCGCTTTGTGCTAACTCTGGCGGTTTTGCCAGACGCTTTTGAGTCAGCCATCATTTCTGGGCTGGCGGTTCTCTCTGGTGCTTGTGCTGCCTCGGTCTGTACGCCTGAGATGACAACCGCATCGCTAACTGTGGCAGCAGCAGCAGCATGTTTTGTGGCTGCCCGTGTCTGCATTGTAGGCTGTAATTTAAGCCGTGAATGGGATGAGGGTCTTGAATGAATTGGTCAACTAGGGGGGATTAGCATGATTCAAGCGTGGCTTTCTTAGAAGCTAGAGTGGGTAGTTGAGTGATGGGTAGGTATATAGACGTTGGGCTTGCTCAACAAGCACTACCTTAGGTAGCGCTCAGAGTACCCTGTCAAGCAGTCCCCAAGTAGAGAGAGGATGAACTGTTGCCAGTTTGAAGAACAGGGTGATTAAGGTCACACAATAGGCTTCCATACTTCTTGATGCTGCTTGAAGTAGCTGAGTGCTCCCTGAAAGCTCCTTGGTGTGGGCGACCGATGTAGGTAGGTTCTGAAGTCTATCAGAACAGGTCGGTGATGGAAATGCCAGGTGTTGCTACAGAGCTTGTTACAGCCGGGTTAGTGATAAATCCATATAGTGACAAAGTAGAAAGCTTGAAAGAACTGACTCTAGGTTTCCCGCTGAGCACGAGGCAAATGTGCTGTTGAACTCGCCGTCGAGATGTTTCAGGAAGGATTCGGCCTCCTCCTAAGGCCTCGTGGATGGATGTGGAAAGGTGGCAGAAAAAAAAGTCGAACCACAGCAATAAAGGGTTAAATCAAGGGCTTCGTCCCAAGTAAGCCCTTGAAGAACTGAACCAAGGTTGGTCAAGCAGGGCAAAATGAACGGAACAAAACCAAAATCGGGGAGTAAAAGCACATACGAAACTCCCAAGGAAGGCACGATCATGACAGGCCCGCCCATGACTTTGCAACATTGGCCATCATCTGCCCTGCCTTTGAGCCCGATACTTTCCCAGTTTATCAGCGAAACACACAGGGCAGTTTGGGAGACTGACATACTTGCTATCTACGTACCCAAAAGATGTCTCGCTGTCTTTTTTACCTTCCCGAAGCCAATATGTTCAGGCGGCGTGTAGGTCACGTGGCCATCAGGAGCAAGGCCGTTCCTTCCCCTTTCTAACATTGCGCATATACGGAGACGAGGTCCGTCATATAGATAGACTCAGCAAGAAACAAACAAGGACACTGGTTATACTCAAATGGCTGAGGTCTGTAACGGGTTGTATTTCTGAACTAAGCGATATGTATGTAGGAGTACATGTGATTACCCAGGCAGGCAACCAAACACCAAACGCAGCAACCCAAGACGTGCAGCCACTCTCAAACAGTACAATTCGGCACATAGACTAGCCAGTATTCGATGTGCTGACACGGACACAGTTTGTATGGTAAAAGTAAAAAGCTAAACGAAAGCCACAAAAGGTTAGCCCAGACCGAGAAACCATGTGCTTCTTGAAAAAGTCTGAAGGGTATGGAAAACATCAGAATAATTCTTCTCCTCAGAGACGAGTCTCAGCAGTCAAGGTTTTGTCGAATTTTAAAGTCATCATTAAATCAGAAATATAATACAAGCGTAAATGTTCTTACCTATTCAATGAATTCACAACACCTGGCCGTGCTACCAAACAAGGAGGTTAACTGGATTTCGAAGAAATGAAGAGAAAGAATGAACTGGTTGAGTTGGATGGAAAAAAAGCTGTTGGGGATGTGGACCCATCTCATCCCCAAGCCCGGGCAATTGGACAGCTCGGAACGGAGCAAGCTTCTCCGGGTTGGATGTGGAGGAGCCCTAACCCTCGTTGTCGTTACAACCAATCTCCGAGGCTTTGTTGATGCAAGATCTTAATACCCCTGAAACCCCTTTCCAGCAACCGGACACCTTTTTTTGTTGCTTGCTCAATAGAGCACAGTTATCGAACAATGTGTTTTTATTGTCCTTTCCACTTATAATTCTTAAACAACAGCTCATGACCTTTTAGAAATGCTGCAAATCCCGCACTATCCCAATGCAATGTCATTCTTCGACAATGTTTCGCTTCTAAGACTTATTATGGCGGACTATCACAAGTGAGAATATGCCTTTTCAGCTAGTTTCTTTGTATTGTTACTGTCTTTGGGGTATCGTTATTGATCACTGATGTGTCTCTTTGGGGCCTTTTTATTACCGGACCAGGTGATAACATCACGGAAGCTTGAGTAGTTGGGTTTCTCGGTGCTCTCTTCATCATCAATGCTGCCTCCTTAATCTCAAAATTCTGGTTGGAATACTACCATCACTTATTGTGCCTTCCTGCCTCTGTGGCCTTGCCCAAACATGATATTGTCGGGGCAGCGGCTTCTACCATTGTGATTTCTCCAAGATTTGCTTCTCGCATACTCCTCAAAACCCGCACAGCCATCCCTAACTAACCGTTGGGCTTCTAACTTTTCTCAAAGAAAACCCTCAAGAAAGAACCTCACCGTTCGGAACTCCTCAGCCACCCCAAACTTCTCGCCAGATTAGTCGTCGAATTTACCTTCCCACCCTTTGGCTCCTGCTGGGCTTTTACATATTCGCTGGTACTGTGGCATCATACTTCTTCACTCCCTCAGTTATTGTCGAGTTTCAAGTCATTTGACTCTTTCCCTTCTCAATCCTCACACGCCCTCTGCCGTGCGATATTCACTAGCATCGTGTTTCGCGCATTCCGTGTGCAATCTAGAGCGTCAACGCTCAAGCAACTCAAATATGGGTATGAGATCGCCCAGTTCAGCTGGCCTGGTAACACTTTCTAACTCAATCTAGCTTCCCACTCACGAAGAATACCTCTAAACGATCGGCGTACCTCGCTCGGAGCCCAACACAACCCCCTTGTCATTGACGATGATGACAACCTCGGAGAAATTGCCCATCGGGCTCGGAGAATTGAGGAAGAAGCCCAGACTGGTCGGCGACTTGCCGAATGGGTAGCATCTCACGTCCACCAAACAAGTAGCAGCAGACCCGGGAGCAGCAGCCCACCTGGAGACGACTACCAAGAGCTCCAAATGGAACATGCTTTAGAGGAAGACATTTCCCGATTTGTTGACTTAACTGGCGACGACTCTCGCGCTCAGAGAAGACCCGCAGTGGCTCCGAGGCAGAGCAAACGAGAAATCCCAAACTACCATTTGCCAGATGGGGCTCAGATCCGACCAGGGATGACAGTGGAACTCAAAGACCCGGTAGGAGCGTTCCAGATTGAGTTCCTTAGGATTTCCAGCATTGCCAGGCTTGGATCGGGCCCCGAAGCAGTGATACGGGGATTGGGATTTACCCGTACTCGGCAGCTGGATGGGATGTTGCTCCCCAAGCTCAACGAGGTGGCAATGATTGCCGAGATTCGCGGTTCTAGCGGAAGGCAGTGGAAGGAGGCCATGGTCGAGGTAAAATCGACCGACATCCAACGCGTGAGAATTCTCCGAATCACGAGTGCGCCCTTCCCAGAGCACCGATTTGGGGACGTCGAATACGCCACCAAGGGAAGACGATGGGTGGAGCAAAACTCGGTCCTCGTTTGCAGATACCGGTACGATGTCTGCTACCACGACGGCAACGACAAACCGCACGAATGGGCCCTGCAGAGGATTTGTGAGGAAGATGCGGATCCGGATTTCAAAATGTCTAACGCCAATAACCTGAATCGATGGCGTGGTGGCAAGGTTCTGGGAGGATCATATAACCCCCGCGGATCAAGCCATCCGGTGCTAGACCTGGAATCAGGCTCATCGGGCCACGTCCGTCCCACAAATCTCTCTCCCGGTCAACGCTATACGGCGGGCGATGTGTTTTCTGGCGCAGGAGGGGCCTCACGAGGCATCGAGCGCGCAGGGGTTCAATTGCTCTTTGCAGTAGACCACTGGGCGCCAGCTGTGGAGTCCTTGAAGAGCAACTTCCGTGAAAGCCGAATCTACGATATGGATGTCGCGAGTTTCATCACCTCGAGCGATACCCATTGGCGAGTCGACATTTTGCACCTCTCGCCGCCATGTCAATTCTGGTCGCCAGCACACACTGTGGCAGGGAAAAACGACGCACACAACATCGCCGTCTTGTTCTCGGCTACACACCTGGTGGAAAACCACAAACCGAGGGTATTTACCGTTGAGCAGACGTTCGGAATCCTGAGTCCCAAGTTTAAAGAATTCTTTAATACCTTTCTTCACGGCTTCACCAAACTCGGGTACTCGGTCAGATGGAAGATCGTGCCACTTGCCAGTTACGGCGTACCACAGTTGCGAAAGCGACTAATCATGATCGGCTCAGCCCCCGGGGAACGGCTCCCCCCCCTCCCGCCCCCAACCCACAACAAGGACGGTACTTGTGGGTTGAAGCCCTGGGCAACTCCAAAATCAGTACTGTCCTCAATCTCGCCAACCCTCATTCATAAACTCCACGAACCCCATCTCAGCAAAAGGTTCGACCCGCCAAAGGTGCCTTGGGATGCAACAAAGCTTGCAAAAACCATCACCACAAACGGTGGTCAGAACTACCACTGGGATGGTGAGCGGGATTTCACCCTTCTCGAGTATGCAGTGCTCCAGGGCTTCCCGACCTGGCACAAGTTTGAGGGGGCTTATATAAAGAAGCAAATCGGCAACGCCTTCGCCCCTTCCGTTGTAAAAGTCTTGTACGACCACCTTGTCGATTGGTTGTTGGTTCAAGACGGGTTCGACCCTTCCGTCCGTCGCAACCCTTTCGCCGGGGTACCCAGCGATGTCTCTCCTGAGAGGTACATCTGTCTTGATGACAGTAACAATACGCACAACACCAGCAACCCCTCCGCCCATAGACTAAGCGATGTCGTCCAGCAGTTGAACCAAGCCGCCAAGGATGAGAACCGGGACTACGACATGATGGATTTGGACGAGCTTTCGGACACGGAGACGTTGCGCGGCGATGAGGAGGGTGGGCAGGACACTGCGATGGGAACTAAACTAGCCATTGATTTGACAATGGAGGGGTGGGGTCGGGGAACAGCAGTTGACCCGTTTGTGCTAGCGGATTAAGTGAGGGAGAAATGTGGCGACGATGGCTATAATTGCCGTGGGCTAGGGGCTCCGGTGAAGGGTTCTGGTACCGCCACCGGGGCGGCGTTGTGGATCAATGCTTGAGTAGAAGCCCGAGGGTGTGTGTTAGGAATATCTCATAAGATTTTGTGTGAATCGTGGAGGACGTTATCATAACCCATCTAGATAGGTATCGCCGTTGATGTTATGTTGGGCATGGAGGCCGGGGAGTAATTTTCTGCATTAGGACTTTCTCTCTAGAACTCCTAGACCGCTTCCTTTGTCCTCTGTCCACTTCCGCTCTGCCTAAAATGCTAATATCGACAAGATACACTGCCCCAAATATCAGGGGAAACGTAAAAGGCTCGGCGGGAAGCGTTGTAAAAAATACGGCAGGAATGGGGCATCGGTCACGACGGAGAGCAAATGGCAGTGGCTGGTGTCATCACTGGTATCCTTTTCCAGATGCAACTACTATCATCAATATATTATCTATGTAACGCAACAATTGAGCTACGATATTTCCAAGAGAAACCATACCTTGTCAAACAAACTGAAGTCTATCAAACTTGAGATCAAGTGGTATCCTGGCACGCCTGCTAACTCCATTTAGTCGCAAAACAAAAAACAAAGGCACGAATAGACCGCCGCCAACACTATTGCCAGCTATGCTATTTTCCTTGAACAGGTCCGAGTGTTTCGGCAGAAACCAATGGTACTGACCGTCGTACCAGCCGATATAAACCGCAACGCCATACATGCTAATCCTAGAGATATGAAAAAAAGGCAGAAAGTAGAGAAGACGGTTGGTAGATGCCGTTGAAACGAACCTCACTCCTCCTCGCTCACTGAACTATCGCTCTCATGGCCACCTTCGGCCTGCTCAAACTCTCTCATCAGCGCTGCCTCGAGATCCCCAATGTCCTGCTCCAAAGCATCGTCGCCGTCCTCGTCTTCGTCCTCATCCCCATCATCGAACGTGTACCGGTCCGGTTCGACGGCGGCGGGCATCTCCAACTGGAAAAGGCCTGGCGGGGCTCGCCGGTCGGCGCGACGGTTCTTCCTCGTCCTCTTCCTCGTACTCGTCCCCTGCGTATCCTTCCTCCTCAGGCAACCCGGCGTCATACCCGCCCGCCATAGTGGTATCAAAATCGTCGTCGTCCGACTCCCTCTCGTTGGCGAACTCGGAAAACCGCCTCGTCACAGAAGGGAAAGTCGGAATGTATTGGCTGGGGGCGCGGAACGCGGCTGGGTTGCCCTCGGGGTACTCGACCGTTAGGCCACCGTCGTCGTCATCATCGTCTTCTTCCGACTCGACCGGGGACAGAGCAGGGCGCTTGGGTTTCTTTTCTTGTCCTGGCTGAGATGCCGATGGCTGCTTCTTAGGATTGGCAGCCGCCGCGCTGAGATCGGGAAGTGTCAGTTCCAGCGTCTTATTCTTTTCCGGTTGACCGCTCGCTTTCGATTTTGGCGTGTCTCCGGCGGCGAGGTTCCTCCCGCCCTTGGATTTCGTGGGAGCGGCCTTGGCCGTGTTCGGCCGGCTGTTGCTAGCCTTCTCTGCGACTTTCCCTCTTGGCTTCCTGGTTGAGTCGGCGGTCTTGACTTCGAGCTGAGGAAACTGTTGGCGCAGGCTTTCGGCGTTGTTGTCGGTCGGCATGCGGGTAATGTTCATGTGGAAGGTCGAGTCAACTCGGTGCAATACAAAGGCTTTGCGAGCAGGGTCGAAAATTAGGACGTAGTTGCCATCGTCGGTGGTACGGACACCATTGTATTGGTACTTGTCTCCTTGGTCGTCGAACCCGATGTTGTAAGAGTCGTCCTTGGCGGATTTCTTGAGGCGCGCTGTGTTGGGCGCGGTATCAGATGAGAGTGTTGGTCGGTGGTTGTCTACGAGGGAGCGGAAAGTCAGCGCTTGCTAGGGAGTGCGAAAAGAAGCCCTCGGAGCGATGGTCGGCGAGGCGGAACTCACATCTTATTCCTGTGTAGGTCTCCTTGGATGGCTTGCCCAGCAAGGCGTCGCTGAGAATAACAGGATATTGACCGGCCTTGGTCGGATCCAGAACTCCTGGAGCTGCCATTCTTTCGAGGAACCTCGTTGCGTCGTTGGGATGTTGCAGCGCTCTGAGCGAGAAGTCGAGGCGGATGTTGGAGAGACAGGGAATTGAACCAGTCTGGTGACGGGAGTCTGGGCAGGCAACCGAAAGTGGGCCAGGGATCGACCAAAGGAACCCCCGAAGACTGGCACTTGACGGGTGATGTTACGTAAGTTTCTTGGCTCAACGCCTTGTGGATCTCAAGAACTGGCTAGCAAGGATCAGCACAATGGATCGATGGGGCGCCTTTTCCCCGGATCTCCAAGCGCGCTTGGCAGGTGCAAGCTAGCATTGCAAGGGCTGTTTCCAACAACAAAGAAGTTGAAAGCGGAAGCATGGAATCCAAGAAGAAAAGAGGTAGGTACCTACCTCATCGAGGGACTGTGAAAGTGCTTTGGAATGACTTCGCAGTCTCGGCGGGTGGCTTGTAATTTACCGACTTGTTACCTAGGTAGTCAGTTTATTTAATTATTTAACTAATAACTAACTAGCATCCATTGTTAGTTATGCCATTTTTGTCTGAACTTCCAACAAAGCTCGTTCCACTGGGCAACTCAGAACCCGACATGGATGTGCAATCATGGCCATTGCCAGCGCTTTCCCGCAACTGGCTTGTGTTGCGTAATTACATAGATAATTTAATGGCCATCCTCCATATGATGGGATGGTATATTTCTATTTTTTTCTCCTTCTCTCTCGCCATATTGACGGCTGCTCGACAGCCCATGTCATCGCTCTTGTTAGTCTCCAATCTTGCTCATGTTTCTCAGTACCAGAACCTCCTACGTCGGTCGTTATGGGAAGCGCTGCAAAACCATACGAGGATGGCGAGGGTTCCTGGCATCAGCCCTACTGGTTAATGGTTGGCTCGCAGAAGCGTACAAACTTGACTTGAACTCAAAAGGTGAGATATCACAATTTGGGCACGATAGAAGGTCCTACAAAATAAAAATACATCATTGACGACTGCAGATTCCATGGCGACCATTGCGGGTTCAATGGTCGAAGACATGATGTCATTGTATACAGGGAATGATCTAGGGGGAGTCCCTGGTCTCTTGCCCAAGCCATACTATTGTAAGCCAGAAGATGATGAAGCTCTCCCGGCTTTGCTGACCATCGTTCGTGCTTAGGGTGGGAAGCGGGCGCTCTGATGGGTTCGTTGGTAGACTACTGGTATGTTCCCGGCCTCAAAAGCCTCGCCATTTACACCAATCTGGGCAAAACAACCCGCACGCCCTGAATAGACCTCGCCCTGACAATCCTCGACGGGGCTAATATTGGCTCGGAACTTGAAGGTACTACACAGGCGACACACGATGGAACGACGTTGCTGAAGAAGGATTGCTTTTCCAAGTCGGGCCGAACAACGATTACATGCCGCCGAATCAGACCATGACCGAGGGAAATGATGACCAGGGGTTTTGGGGCATGGCGGCACTGACAGCAGCAGAAAACAACTTCCAAAACCCGCCGCCGGGGAAACCTCAATGGTTGGCCCTCGCTCAAGCCGTCTTCAACACGCAAGCTGCCCGTTGGGAGAACCAGGACTGTGGCGGCGGCCTGCGATGGCAGATCTTCCCCTGGAACAACGGATACAATTACAAGAATTCCATCTCCCAAGCCTGCTTCTTCAACATTGCCGCACGCCTCGCTCGGTACACCGGGAACCAGTCGTACGCGGACTGGGCCGATCGGACCTGGGATTGGATGGCTGCCACGCAGCTTCTGGATTCAAGAACATACTCCATCTACGACGGTATGCACGTCGAGGACTGTTCCGTGATCACTCCCTACCAATGGACCTACAACGCTGGAGCCTTCCTGTTAGGAGCTGCCGCTATGCACAACTACAGCACCAGCCCTGCCCAAGCCGAGACCTGGCGCAAGCGGATCGATGGCCTTCTCAACGGCACCCAGGTATTTTTCACAGGAAATGACAAGAGCATCATGACCGAGGTGGCCTGCGAGCCCGTTGATCTATGCGATCTCGACCAGCAGAGCTTCAAGGCCTACCTCTCCCGTTGGATGGCGGCGACCACCAAGTGGGCGCCCTGGACATACGACCGCATAAAGCCCCTACTGGAGTCGTCGGCCATCGCGGCTGTCTCGACTTGCACCGGCGGTGGCAACGGGCGCATGTGCGGTCTGAAGTGGGACACAGGGAAATGGGACAACAGCACGGGCGTCGGCCAGCAAATGGCGGCCATGGAAGTCGTCCTAGCTAACACGATTCAGCACTCCCCGTCACCGGTGACGGACTGGGACGGCGGGACGAGTGTGGGCGACCCCGGCGCGGGTGGCGCCGATGTCGGGCGGAAGAACCGGGCATTTCCGCCCGTTTCAACCGCCGAGAGGGCTGGAGCGTATGTTCTCACAATCTTAGCCATTTTAGGGCTGGTTGCGGGGAGCTTCTTTGTCCTGATAGATGAGAATGACCGCTCGTCGCCCTCAGAACGACTTGCAAGGCTTCGAATAACACTGGCCAAGGCCGGCAGTTGGAGCCGTAGTCTGCTAACACTGCGGCGGCAGAGTAGCAGTCAATCAAAAGAGAAAGGTGTGGACCGGTCTTACGGCGGCGAGGCGAGGCAATACCAACAACAACAAGAAGAGTCCGGAAATGGGGAAGATCTGACAATGCATTACTGTGCTCGTACGACGCAACTCAGTCAGCACCCCGTCCCAAAAGTGCATCATGATTGGAGGCGTACGCGGTCCGGGCCGTCAGTTGTGGAAGCTGCACACCCAAGCGGCACGGTTTTAGATTTCAACAATGCCTGGCAGAGCTACTCATATCCCCGACTCATTACTACCTTTCCTAGAGAAACGCCACCCCGTGTGGGGAGCAGGAGTAGGGCCGCAGGTCGGGTCCATTGCATGGAAACCTCGTGGGAAGAGGATGAGATGTTCTAAGATTTTCAACTTCAAGTTGAACAGTGTGGTATGTAGCAATATTTTGTTCAGCGCAGTCATCAAACCCAAGGTCTCATACAATCTAGTTAGGTATGTGGGCACATGCCACTCGTCTGAAGTAACTGCCTCGGCAACAACTCAATACCTTAAGTACCGAGGTGGTGTCTATTTAGGTAGGTACCTAAGTCTGCGTACAGTGCAAGGTAGCTCGATACGCACCTACAAGTTAATGGCGGGGTTGGATAAGTACCGAAGGTAGGTATGGTGAGGTGGCAGTCTAAGTCATCCGAAAACAATTGCCTGCGTCACATCCGATGTCCCCAGCGAACTCAGGCAGCAGTAATAACAGGGGTAAAATTTATCACTGGCACTCAACCTTCCCATCGAGGTAACTTGATGGAGGGATGCACAGTGACGGTGACGGTGACAGTGCAGTCAACGAAACGTCACACACCAGACGACCCCGTGATGATCAGCCACATGCAAACAAGGTCTCAGGTCAAATGGGGAGGCCAAAGAGGGGGGGGCAAAGCGGGCCTAAACAAGGAATACTTAACTAAAACAGCGTCTCAACACCAGGCGTCGCCCTCACCCTTCCCTTTGAACAAGAAAGACCAGCTCGAGGCCAATAATCACATAAGACACTCATCCTCTGAAACATGGGCCCCTTTGCGTTGGCTTCTCTCAGCCTGCCGCTCTCGACCTGGCTACTGTTGCGTTCCTACTCCTGGCTCATCATCGAGAATCACAACCTTAAATTATCTTCTTGTCTTCTCTTTGCTGTTCTGGTTATCCTTATTCTCAAGATAAACCTATCGCTAATCAACAAGTATCGGTTTGAATACCGTGCGCGCGCCTTGGGCTGTGGGCAGGTGGCGGCCTACCCGCACAAGGACCCAATATTCGGGCTGGATGCTTTTTTTGAGGCGCTACATGCTCTAAGCAACCACACGCTTCTGGACCTTTACTCCAGCCGTTTCGCATCATGCGGGACCACTCATTCCACTCTCCTCCTGGGAAAGTGGCTGCTTATGACCAACGAAGCCGAGAATATCAAGACAATCCTCGGCACCAAGATGGAAGATTGGCCCATCGACGGACCTCGACTCCTCTCTACACTTCCAGTCCTCGGCCCGGATAGCATCTTCACTAGCAACGGCGAACCGTGGCATAAGGCACGGTCTATGCTAAAGCCTTCGTTTGTTCGGGATCAGGTCGCCGACCTCCATTGCTTCGATCGGCATATTAGGAACATGCTGGCTGCAATCTCCGCTGAGGGTACCACTTTCGACATTCAGAGCCTTCTATTTGACATGACCATGGACTCATCCACGGATTTCCTGCTCGGTTACTCGACCAACCTACTGACTAAGGCTTCGCCAGAGGCCCAGAAGTTTGTCCGGGATTTCGAATACGCGGGCCGGGAGAGCGCTAAGAAGGCCCGTCTCGGACCCATTCTGTACCACCTGCCGCACCGAAAACTTCGAAAAGCGGTTCGGGGATTGCGGGAGTACGTCCGGTTCTACCTAGAAAGAGCAATTGCCGAGAAAGAGGGAGAGGGAGGCCAGGTGAGAGACCGAAGTTATGTCTTTCTCGACGAACTTCTCAAGGCCGAGCCCCCCGAGGACTACACGGTTGACCAAATTCTTTCCATCCTCATTGCCGGACGGGATACCACCGCGACCGCCATGTCATCCGTGTTTTACTTCTTGGCACGAAATCCTCGCGTAGTAGAGAAACTGAGGATGGAAATAGGGAGTGTGGGCGAGGAGACGCCAACATGGGAGCAACTCAAGCACATGAAGTACCTAAACAACGTGATCAAAGAGGGTAAGCCTTGGGTGCCCCTTTCCCGACCCCACTCCCAAACTAACCCTCGATATCTCGTGCTTAGCGCTACGTCTCTTCAGCCCCGTAGCAACGAACTCTAGGACGGCAAACAAGGAGACCATCTTACCACGGGGCGGTGGTAAAGACGGCAGCCAACCGATACTTATTGCGAAAGGTACTCCGGTGCGGTGGTCAAGTCACGGACTGCACCGGAACAAGGACGTGTTCGGGCCAGATGCTGACGAGTTCCGCCCGGAGCGATGGGAGTCCGATCTTCGCGCCAGGTACAGATCCCCTCCCCCTCCGTCCGTTCGCCTCCATGCGAAATATATGCCCCGGCTGCTGACTGTAAGCTTCAGTTGGGAGTACATCCCGTTTAGTGGTGGGCCGCGGATCTGTCTTGGCCAGCAATTCGCCCTTACTCAGATTGCCTACACCCTGTTCAGGTTCTTTAGGACTTTTCGCGCGATCGAGGCTCGAGACTCTGGGCCGTACCTGCTGCAAACCAACCTTACCATTTCATTCCCTTATGGTTGTTTGGTGAGTGTGACGCGAGCTTGACTGGCCGAGGGTGTGCAGGGGTTGCATATTCTTGTCGTCATGACTAGGTAAGAAAGCACCAAACTTTCTAAAAGAAAAAAAAAAAAAAGAATACAAAAATACACTTCTTCCCAAGATTCCCTTTGCACGTTACGAGAACAAGAAGAACGGAATGAGAAAGCATGGGAAAATGGGAGCACGGAAAAGCAGAGTGATCCATCCCCATTCTTCACCACAGAACCCTCCCGAATGATCATCGAAGCGCTAGAAGTAATGCGTAAAGCCGAGCTTAGCCATCCTGTTCACTGGCTTCGGTCGTAAGAACAGAATAGAGATTCCGAGCCACAGTCCGTGTAATACAGTCCAATGAGCAAAGCAACTTACAATACACTATAACTCGCGGGCCATACCAAAAGCGCCTAACATCTTTCCCAAGAAAGCAAACCAGAAAACACCACGCTAGACTCCACGGCTCGTCGCTTTCCAAGAATAAGTCATTCAATTACGGTTGTGTTGGCGGGGCTTTTATTGTCGATTCGGGTTGGGTAAGTACCGGCTCCTGAAGGCGTGCCCGATGGTGCCTCCGATGACACTCATCCGGCTACCAATCGTGCCATCCTGCATACGGCTAGCCAGGGCTTCCTCAAGTGCCGATTGTGTGACCGAAGCATCTACTAAGCTGTTAGCGGCCACCATTGTCCCTCCAAAACAACTACAAGACGCCAGAGAGCACTCACCATCCAAATCACTAAAACTGCTCCCCATACTGGGCGTTCCATCACTCCCCTCCCTGGAGGCTCCCTTCGCCCGACTGCCTCCCTGGCGTCCCGACGCAGCTAACTCGGCCGTCCGTCGCGGCGAGAGTGGGCCCTGCTGGTGGGCAGCGGCCGGTACTCGTCGTCCATCAGCAGTCGGCCCCGCTGTCGCTGGCCTTCGGGGGACTTGAATTACAGCTGCCGACCCAATCGATGAGTCCGATGTTTGGGATTGCGACTGGCTGGCATCGTCGCTTACTGTTCCTGCTGCCGCCTGACGTCCCCGCCCGGCAAGGTCGCGCATGGTGTTGTTCCCGCGCAGCGTAGCCCCTAGGTCTTGGCCGCTGCTGCTTCCCGCACCGTTGGTTGAGGGGCCTCCCTGGGGGTTGTATGGGAGAAAGGCGAGCTCACCGTCGTCGTCGTCGTCATCGTTGTCATCATCGTCGCCGGCCCCGAACGGATTGTTGCCACCGGTCCGGGGGTCTTTGGATTGGAAGCGTGGCGGGCGGCGGATGATGCGGCTTTCGACGGGGCTGTCTGAAGAGATCGAAGAGGATGGCGATGAGGGTGAGGGCGAGGCTACTGGGCTTTGTGGGGGAATCTCGGTGTCGTTTTCCTCCTGTGGTCGTTGTTGTGGTGATTGCTGGGCTTGAGGAGTCGAGAGGTATGAAAGCCGGTGTCTCTGTGGGTCACTTAGCCGGGTGGCTGTCCCCGGCCTACCGGCTAGCTGGCTCGGTTGGGTATGGGAGGACGGGACTGTGGTGTTAGAGGACGAGTTTCGAGAACTTTCAGGCCGAGCGGGGAAAGCGGTCTTGACGGAGAGCCCAGCGGCAGCAACACCGGCAGCGCCGTGCTCCTCTTCATTCTTCGAAGTCGGCATGGCCGTATCCTTGCGCATCGAAAGAGCTGAAGGAGCGCGACCGGTTCCCAGACTGCCGCGTCTCATGGGTTCTACAGCGATCTGATAACTCCCCGAGGGCTCGGCGCCAGGCACCGGCGATGGGGCGTTAGAACCCCTGGCAGCGGCAGCCTTCAACATGTGTGCTCGGAGTTGAGAAGTATGCCGCTCCGTCAGGTAGGTGGCCATCTGAAGGAGAAAATCAACAGTCACGTCGAACTCGCCGGCGCTGGCACTGTGTCAGTATTGAGGTATGCGATGACAAACCGAGAAGCCTCACAGTTTGGTCCCTGGGCAAGACGATCAGCAACCCAGCAATGTATTCGATGAGACATGACCTACAGTCGACATTATCAGACAGGGACTCAGACAAAATGCTCCACAACGTCTCGGACTTCTTCTCGCTCCAGTTCACCTTTTGACGAACAAGTCAGTCAAGGAGCCGAGCCTGTCAAGGAACACAGTGCGAAGCTCACCGTTCCTGGGTCGACGAAGTCGCCACGGTCGAAGGGCAGCCGAATGTAAACATGGTATCTGGGCTCTGGGCGTTCCTCGGCAGGTTGTTCAAGCTTCTTCCGTCTGTCGGCCGCTGTGGGCTGATCCGCCTTTTGTCTGGAATCCATGGGTTGTTGTTGATGAAAGGAAGGCTGCTGGGAGGCCTGCTGTGTAAACCAAACGGGAAAGGTCAAGCCAGGATGAGCTGGGGTGAGCAGCAAGGGTTTTGTTACATAACCCCTGGTCTGGTTTATTCGATGCAGTTAAGCGGGCGGGGTTTCAGCCAGGTCTCGGCATTGTGGCTCCAGGTACCTAACCAACCTGGGTAGGTAGGTAGGTACGGATGTAGTTACTGTGCAGGCTGTGTTAGCTTCCGCTGTTGCCCAGCAGGTTTGCATGGATCCAGTGCACGTCAAACCAGAGAAACCAAAAAATCGCGTCGCATTCATGTCGGGCAACCCTCACATCGAAACACGCCCAATTCGCCGAACGCTGCTGTTCGCAACCTAGCCTATCCATTTTCCGCAAAGGCGATTGAATTTCCATTGGATCGTAATCTCCCCTTTTGCATTTCCGTTTGCAGCAACCCGACCATGGCCCCATTAATTCTACACAACGTACCCGACGAGGAGCTCTATGTGGGCGACGACGGCATTCAAAGACCCTACGCAATGGTCTTTCCACAGTAAGGATCTACTGGGTTACCTCTGTATTGGCGGGAATTCTAACCGGTTTGCGCATACAGGCAGGACGGATCGCTCCGGTCGAGAAAGGTGACCCACGAAACGGGTTCCTTCGGCAAGTCAACGCGCCGAACGAGGTCTAAGACGGCGACGCCAGCTAGGCGAGAAGACCCGACGATAGCAGCGGCAGACAAAGTTTTTGGCAGTTGGCTAGCGGCTCAGAACCAGAATGCGACACAAACAAGCGCGCCGGCGACAGGGCAACGAAGACCGACCCTCATACCGTCCACCTCTTCCCAGAACATCCCCCAAGCTCAGGAAGAGAACACAGCGCCGTCACAGACCCGGTTTATCAAACAGCAGGTGCCTACCGAAGTAATACTGCGCGGGTACCGCTCGGCGCAACAACAGTATGCCGCTCTCAACCACTACGAGCAGCTGGCCGGCCGGGTATGCGAAGACTACTCGCGCGAACCCCCCGTAGAGAGCCGGCGCTACAAGTCGGAGCTGCGCGACCCAGCATTTACCCGCCGGCGCGCCCTGACTCCCGAAGAGCGCGCCAAGGTCAACAAAGCAGACAGCGGGCAGCACTGGGTGAAAGTGACGTTTGAGTCCAGCGAAGCGGCCGATGCGGCCATCTATGCCTCGCCACAGAAGATCCTGGGTCATCTCGTGTACGCCGAGCCGTACCACGGCATCCCCCCTCTGCGAGACGAGGCTATCCCCGACCCCTCCACGATGGGCAGCGTGCCGCAACGAACAGCCTCCAATATGCAACACCCTCGAGCCCAGTTCGGCTTGGGCACGCAACAATCCGGTGGCTTCGAATGGTCCCCTCCGCAATCGCAGATTTCGTCCTCACTCACGGCGGATACCAGGACCGTGGCCTCCTCCGTCGACACCACCGCTTCCTCCAGCACGGTCAAGGGGAGAGCGCCAGGTCCGAGTGACGATAGCGGCGCAGGACTCACGCCAGCAACGCAAGAAAACCCCAACGACGCATTCTGCAGGGCCATCCCCACTGTGCGCAAGGCTAAGCTCCTGCCCATGGAACAGGCCCTGCTGCCCGCCCCGTCGTTCGCGCAGCGCATCGGAAACCACATCCCCTTCCTCCAGTGGTTTAACGGCGCCATGATTGGGAGCGAGGTGCCCCGCACGGAGCTGGGCGAATTTGACTGGAACAAGGCCAGTTTGTACTGGAAGTTGATGTGGTGGCTGGACTTCTTGCTGGGTTTGTTCGGAGGGGAAATCCGGGATGCTGACAAGGATGACTGAAAACAAGCATACTATTGTTGTCTTGTAGGAAATGGCGATGGCTGACTTTTGGGGTGGCGGCATAATTTGATGGATTGCGGGCGTTTTCCAGCATTTTCAAGGTGTGCATTTTCTGTAGTCCTCGAGTGACGGGTGGGTAGATGTTCATGAAGTGTCTTCGCACCTGTCTTTAACGGCTACGGTGCCTGAGCAAATATCCTTTTCCTTCCTCAACCGCGTTGTGTATGTACAGTGGTGTTGTTGCAACCGGGGTATCCGTCAATTCAAACCCAACTCTCCTCGGCGGTTTCGAGGTCTTTCCAATTCCACAGTCATGTACTGTCATTTGTATCACTCCACGTTCCCTCCCGCTGTTGCGGATCCCCTAGGCTTACGCCAACTGCGTCTTTGGTTTCGTCATCTGTCGAGTCCCGTCGTAACCCCTCGTTCCGCCATGGATGGACCTCCTCGTCGTCCTGGTCCTCGTGGTCATCCTCAACCGCACACTCCTCATCGCCTTCCTCTATGCCGTCGTGCTCACGCCCTCGCCCTTGCCCCAAACTAGATGACCCCTCAACAGCAGCAGGCTCAATGCCGCCGAGCAAGTCCTCCGGGTTCAGTTTCAACGGCTGCGGTTGCGGAGAGAATGGGCGCACGTTCCTCGATCGGTTAAACTCGGAAAAGACACTGTCGGTATCGCGGTCCCTCCCCCTCCCTAGGTCTGAAGCGGTCACGGCCCCGGTCAAGCTTTGGTACCGGTCCGTATCCACCAGCAGGCTATCGGAGCGCGTACCCTTTGCCCCTCGCATTGTGTCAGCACCCGATGTGTCCGCTAATATGCTCTTAGGTGGCAGGATACTGAACAGCGTGGCACCTTCTCCCGAGGAACCCACCCCAGCACCTCCGTCACCACCACCACCACCTCCCTTGCCCGTCCCACCCAGCGGATCCATCTCGGCCGCGAACAAATCCACTCCCTTCTCCAACACCTCCTCCAACCCGCCGCCCGTCCACCCTTTCCTCGCCAGACTCTCAAAGATATCCACCTCGGCCCGGACCAAGCTACAACTCGCCTCCACAATCCGCCCGCTCGCCTCCTGGCTCTCCCCCAACAGGGTACGCGCATGGTCGCCATGCAGCACAGTCAAGGCATCAAGCTTCCCCGTCAGCTCGACGAGGTGGCTGCGTAGCTGGCCGACGTCGCGGCGGCGCTGGCGGTGCATCTTGACGCCTTCCTTCTCGAGGCGGCGGATCTCCCTGCTCTGGGCTTCGAGGGCGCGGGCGTAGCCTTCCTCCTCGTCATCAACGGCGGCGCGCCACCGGTCTAGGTCGTGTAGCAGCGGCACCTCGAAGGCGCGGTAGACGGTTTCTGAGAGGATGTGCTGATGGTTCGCGACTAGGTGCTGCAGGCCAGCGGCCGCGAGGAGGGTATCGGCGGTGCAGGCGGCGCCGCGGTTGGCAGCAGTCGTGAAGCTGTTGCTGAGTGGGGCGCCTGGCGGTGGTCCGGCGGCGGACAGCTCGGCGCGGGCTTCTTTGAGGCGGGCGCAGGCCTCGAGGGCCGAGCCGAAGGTGGAAGCGGCGGTGGAGAGGGAGGCGAGGGCGAGGCGGTAGGCTTTTGCGCTGGCGAGTAGATCGGCGTAGGCGGCTTGTGAGTGGGCCAGGTCGGCTTTGGTCAGGACGGCGTGGGCCGGGCGCGGAGGTGGTGGTGGTGGGAGGTTGTATTGAGATATGGGGTTCGCGGTCGAGGCGTAGGAATAGGTTGGACTCGCGGGGACGGGGGGAAGTTGGGACGGGCTCGGTGATGGTGGCGAATTCGCAGACATGGTTGATGGATTTTGGTGCCGTCGAGAAGGGGAGACGAGGGAGATGGCCCGGTTGCGATGGACGGCTTGGTCGAAGACGGGAGAGTGAGTTTGTTTACTTTGGCTCTTTGGGTTCGTCGGGCTTGAAGCTAACGACGGGCCCACATAGTCTTGGTCGGGCAACAGCGTCTGACAACTGTAGATTTAGTCAATACTCGAATGAAAATCAGGGAAATTCCTGAAATCAACCCCCGGAGACACCACTTCAGCAATGCTCGATGATGACAGGAGCAGGAAATGGTGCATGACAATTGTGCATGACACTTGCCTGAACTGCCTGCCGGGTGCGCATGTGATGATGCAGCTGGGCCAACAGCGGGCCGCGCGGTAGCAGGGGGGGTTGATAAGATAGGCTTCTTGGTGGGGTCGGCAGTAGAATGAAACACCTCTGGAAGCCGGCACTGACCGGGCACTTTGGCCAGCGGGGGCTGCCTGAGAAACCAAAATCATCAGACGACATAGTTAAAATCAAGGAGGTATCTAGTCTCGCTAGTGTATGTATATGGTCTAGCATCAACGCCCAATTCGCCCCGCCAGGTAATAAGTAACATTACCTCCCCAGTCCCCAACAAGTTCCCTTCAACCAAGCCATGGACCACGGAAAAAGAAGCTGCTAGAGCTCAGACTTGCCCTCGTTCCCCAACGCCGGAAGCCGTTCTGTCAGGAAGGCCTCGACGTCGTCCCATTCCTCCACGCAAGCCGAGTGCCCCATGTTCCTTGAGATCTCGGTCAGCAGCAAGCACAAACTGTGCGGGCCCTCGATATTGACTCACTCGTAAATCTTCAACGTGGCATTGTATCCCAAATCCTTCAATAGGTCGTACGACTTCTTCCCGAGCGCCGTGTTAACGACCTGGTCCGAGTCACCGTGGCCCATGAAGATGGGCGTGTCCTTGTTCGACTCGGGCTTGGGTACTAGCTCGGCAAACTTGAGACTCAGCAGCAGGTAGGACGAGAGCGCCACGATACCAGCCAGCTTCACCTTCGAGGTAAGACCGCTGAACAAGCTCATGGCGCCGCCCTGGCTGAAACCTCCGACTACAATGCGGTCGGCGGGGATGCCAGCGTCAATCTCCTTTTGGATGAGGTCGTGGAAATACGCCTGGCTCAGCAGGATGCCAGCCTCGTCCTCGTTGCGGCGAATGGACTCGACGTTGCCGTCGATAGTGTGCTGGTGGTGTAAGCAATCTTTGCTCATTATGAGCGAAACGAAGCACAGCGAAGGACTCACAATATCATACCACCCAGGCATTCTCATGCCCATGTTGCAGGTGATTGGAATCGACGGGGCATGGGGCAGGATGAATTTGACCTCATCAAGGCGCTGCCGCCGGCGCCAGTTCTCAACGGCGCCCGCCCAGCCATGACCTGTGTCGCCCAGACCGTGGACGAAGATGACAGTCGCAGTGTGCCGCGATGTTGCGGGGAACAGCAGGGATGGTGCCCGAACGATTGACGCCATGATTTGCTTGAATCAGCTCCTAATCGTAGCGACTGAGACTTGTGCAGGGTGTGCAGGGGAATGTCGAAGTCGTGTCGACGATGGGTCCGACCCGGAATCCTAAAACAACCTAGGTCTCTCCTGTGTAAGGTACCTCGGCGGGGCGGGGCGGGCCTGAGGCAGATGCCGATCCCGTCACTTCCAGGTTGTTCGGGGTTACCAAGTCGAACAGGTCAGGGTTAGGAGCAATCACCCGCGCGGGTTCCGCATCGGGATGACAAGATCCCAGCAGGAATTAGTAAATGCTTACCAAAACAGGCAAGTACCCAGGCAACAAAGGAAATGCCCGAAAACGCGAGATCGCGAGCGAGTTTCCAGACAATATTCGAGTGTATCAATCAGTTCTATGAATATTCGGGTTGGTAAGCTGTAGGCTAGGGAGCGAGACCATCGTTCGAATACAAATCGAGCCATTGAACATCTCTCCAGTGCCGCGAGTGCTCTGCATGTCCCAGGTCATGTTTAGGAACCCCATCTTCAGGTTGTTCCTTCTATCAACCCCAATCCTCATCCTGGCTCTCTTTTTGCCTTCATCAGCATCAACCCCATTGGCACATATGATACTACCCTCCTTGACTAAGATCAAGAACTATTCTACCTCGTTGTTCAAGCCAACACAGCCGTCTTCCAAAATGCCGAAAGCACCGGTATATTTCTTCAGCCATGGAGGAGTAAGTATCAATACACCAACACCCTAATTTATTTATATCCAAGGTATAGAGGGAGAGGGAGAGGGAGAGGGAGAGAGAGAGAGAGAGATCATTGTGCAATATTAACAGTTGACCCTCGTAGCCGAATGTCCAATACGACACCGAACACCCCGCCTACTCTGTTCTCCAAGCCATCGGCAAGGAGATCACTCAGAAGGTCAAACCCAAGGCGCTTGTAGTATTCTCGGCTCACTGGCAGGCCGAGCCCAACGAGATCAACCTCAACAACGCCGAGGACACCGACCTTATTTATGAGTATGTTGACGCCTCCCTTTCCTTTCCTTCGCTCAAGCCAAACGCACCCCCAAACATTACTAACAAACTCCCCCCTTAGCTTCTACGGCTTCCCACCAAAGTTCTATGAAGCCACCTTCCCCAGCAAAGGCAGTCCCGCGCTGGCCTCACGGATCCTCACCCTACTCTCCGACGCGGGAATCCAGGCCAAGGGTCTGAAGCGTGGCCTCGATCATGGCGTCTTCTCGGGCTTCAACGTCGCCTTCAGCCCCGCAGAGAACCCGCTCACCGTCCCGCTGGTCCAGGTCTCGCTCTTCAACAACGAAGACCCGGACGCCCACTACCGCCTCGGACAGGCCGTCGCCTCGCTCCGAGACGAGAACATCGTCATCATCGGCACCGGCATGACGGTGCACAACCTCCGCGACTTCCGCATTGCTCGTGGCCAATCCACGCCTCTGCCCTACGTGGCGTCGTTCGACAACGCTCTGAAGGAGGCTGTCGAGGCGGATCCAGGCGTTAGACAGGAGAGGATGGCGGCCGTGTCCAAAAGGCCGGATGCCAGGCAAGCACACCCATGGATGGATCATCTCATGCCGGTGTATGTGGCGGCCGGCGCGGCAGGAGAGGATAAGGGAACGCAGACCTGGACGATGCACGAGGCATGCATGGCGTGGGCGCAATACCGATTTGGGGACGTTCCTGCGTGAGGCCAGGTGCTCTATCCACACTGACATAGCATTGTGAACTTGAGTGGTGACAACTATCAAGTCATCTTTTATTTTTCCTTGTCTGAACTTTATGTGCGGTATTACCAAGCTAGAACCGCTTTGCAAATACACCCACCACCAGACCACAACATACCTCCTTTTCTTCTAGACCGTGACCAGCTTCCTGCCGTTCGATTACCACAGCACATGACCACCACTCACCCAGCCACCGTGGATGTGTGCAAGCAAATCTACCCAGCAAAATGCCCCTCCCGTCTATCCACACAGCCACCAGCTGCCTCCCTCCGTTCACTCTCCTAGACAGCCGATCACCCTCACCAATGACCCTGCCCACACCCCATTTTCAGCACCATGGCCGCGGATTCTTCCTTCTTCGGCAACCACGGGCCCCGTGGCGCTTACATGGCGGCGACGATGGTATCATCCACCATCTCGGAGATGTCGCCCAGAAACAGGCTGGCAACAACCGCCGCGCCGCCAAAGGCAGCGCTGCAGTAATAGACCCAGGGGTACGCATTCGCGTACGCCTGTTGACCAGCCGCCATGATAGCCAGCCAGGCGGCATCATCAACGCCCGGCAGACCACGGATCTCCTTGACGAGCGAGACCGAAGTCAGCTCGATGATCTCGCGGATGACGGCCGGGTCGGTGACGCCGGCGCGCGCACAGGCCGGGCCCACGAGGGCGGCCAGCTCGGGCACGAGGCGCTGCACAAAAACGTTGAAGTAGACGGCGTAGCCGACGGCGCCACCCACGATGCGAACCGCAATGGTCAGCGCTGTCACCGTCGCGATCACGTCGCCCGCGCAGATAATGGTTGCGACTGTCGAGACCGGGATCGTGATGCCGCCGACGCCGACGCCGGCAACAAAGAGGATGCCATACACGGCGTGCATGTTGCTGGGCGTGGCGAGGGCCAGGCAGCCGCAGCCGATTGTCATGAGAACCGAGGCGCCGAGGATCAAGTACCGGATTTGGCTGCCGCGGAAGTGGGAAAGCAGCGCCAGCGAGACGATGCAGCCGGTAAAGACACCAAATGCGAAGGGCATGCCGCGGAGGCCGACACCAATGGGCCTAAGGGGCGGAGAGAGCAGGTTAATAAACGAGTGGCCCAGAGCAAAGGGGGACACAGGAAGGTGGAAGGTTGGAGACTTACTCATGGCCGTAGACATTGTAAGCCTCAGGGGGCCACAGCAGCAACACCGAGAAGAAGTTGGCACCTGAGATAAAGGTGATGATCATGGTGAGAGCCAGTGTCCGGGGAGCTTTGCTGAGGTTGCGGGGGACCATCGGGGTGGCAGTGCCCCGGAACTCCCAGACCACGAACGCGGCCAGCGCGCAGACGCCGATGATCAGAGGAGCCAGGGTACGGGCGCTCGTCCACGGAAACTGCATCACCACCCCGTCAGCAATGCTGCCTGCTATCATATGTTTGACCCAACAGCGACTTACCTGGTATCCACCGGCGAGAATGCCAACCTCAAACCCAGCCAGCCCAATAATAGACAAAAGTCCGCCGATGAAGTCCGTCCGGTTTAGTAGGGCTAGTCTTTCCTTCCAGCCCTGGACTCGGGCACGGGGCGGGGGGAAGTAGAAGAAAATGGTCAAGACGATACCGGCAAAAGCCCAACCCGTTGTCACGATCGAGATGTAGCGCCAGTTTGAGTAGGCCGCAATCAGCTGGGCATACATGGCAGACGGCAGGAACGGAAGAACGGTCAGAACCATGCCGGCGATGTAGTAACCACGGTGAGACAGCGGAACCAGCTCGGCGGTGCCGGCCAGGGCCGTAAGCTCGTTGATGCCCGTACCGATGCCTGTCAGGGCCATGCCAGCTTGAGAAGGGATGCAGGTTAGCCTAGGTCTTGCCACTTTTGACATGATCTCGCTATTATGCCGGGAGGACTTACCGATGAACATGCCCATGTTAGTCGAGGTCCCGCAGATGATCTGACCCAGAATGATGATGGCGCTTCCGATAATGGCGACATAGCGGCGGCCCGCAAGATCCGAGAGAGCACCAACAAAGGGGGATATGGCTGCGGTGGCTAGGAGGTTCGCAGTGATAAACCAGACCCAATAGTTGAGACCACCGAGGTCGCGGTAAATGTAAACCGGGGCACCGGCTGTTGCAAGCAAGAGAGATTTCTGGTTAGTGATTGAACAGCAGAAAGTGGTAACAACCCGATGATGAAGATGTGAGTGAAGGTGAAAGGAAGAGAAAAACAGCAAAAGAAAAAAGCATACCAAACAAGTACAGCGGAGCCTGAGCACTCGTCCACATAAAGGCCAGGGCAGTCAGAGCCAGCCAGCGGGTTTGAATTGGTTTTGCGCTGGATAAAGGTCAGATCGTAGCGACTCCAAGAAACCAGAAACATGGAACATCGGAAAAACACAAACCGTGAGGTGAACCGTCGTCCTCAGATGATGTCGGGCTCGCGCACAACCATGACACCTGTCATTCTAGTGCTGAGTTCCCAGGCGCTGCCATATCGAACCTCCTCAGAGACATTGATCTCCTTCGGAGGAGGGCGAGGCAGCGACATTGTGAGGCACTACTCTCTTCTTTCTTTTCTGTTCCTGCACGGCCGTAAGCTTTTCTGGATCTTGTACCATGTTTAAAGGTGTATGAATTCGGGGGGTGTACCTGTAATAAGACAAGTAACAAGGGCAAGGGAGAGAAGGAGAGAATAGATTGGTTTGCTGTTGTGTAATGGTCTGGGGAGCGCCACTTCGTGTTTTGTGCTTCGCTCTTCTGTTCCGAGAGCTGCGGGTGAAAAGAAAGAGGAAGCAAACACGGCACAGCAGGAAGGAAGAGATTTTTTATACCTGAAATAAGAGGACCCCAAGGTTCTCTCTCCCCTCCTCTTCATGGCATATCGTCTGGTTTCGTGACTTCCCCTAAGTGGCCGTGTGGGAAGCCGAAGCGTTCACTGTGCTGTTCTAAACCAAGGTACCATCGAGATGAGCAAACGTTGTCGGCACAGGGACATGCCCTGGAAAGAGCCGCATTCCGATGTTGTGTTCGGACCCGAGAGTGATACTCTGGAAGGAGAGTATGTGGTCGGGCTGGATCCAGAACCTCAGAACCTGTGCATGGGAAAGAGAGGGCCAGGGGTCAGCTTCAGGGTTCATGGCAGCAAGTTGGCCCCAAGTCTCGAGCTGCCATGGTCAAAACGGATGCCTCCCGCTGGCGGTCCCTTACAGGCCGTGCATCCTGTACGATGAGAGGTTGGACTGAGCGGTATTCTCCGCCCCGTTGGTATCTCTACACACCAACATCAGCGGCGAACTCCGCGAGGAATGGCACATGCATCGTCCCTATGTTTGCTGCCTCCGTGCCCCGAGGACTAGCCTTGACGAGCTGATGACGCCATCTAGAATCATATGCATCCTCGAGTCAGGATACCTTGTCGCCGAAACAGTTCCAAATAGGACCATATGGCCGTGTCTCAGCCTTCCCATCCCACGCGTCCAGTGTGGGCTGCAAGAATATCACAACCACATCGCCAGGGGGCCCAACAACGAGATCACCAATTCGGCGTGTTCTCCGATCTAGGGATGAAAAACGCGCAGCCCGGGCCCTGATGCCATATGCTCCAATTTCTTGGGGAGATGGGTGGATAGTGAGGGAATAGGGCACCTAATCTTGCCGTGAATGTAGCCAGCCGTCTTGCAGTTCAGCAGCAGCAGCAGCGGCGGCGGCAACAGGAGGTCATTATTGTGATACAAGGGCTCGCCAAACCGAATCTCCATGCTCTCGGTGATACTGAAGAGCCCAAAAAAAAAGCCGGTACGTGCGAGAAAGGACCCGGAATTTGGGATCCAATTTCTCGGTTGGATTGCCAGATTGATTCGGCTGGGAAGTGAGCCGGGAGGAGAGCCATCGGGGTCCTCATGCAGTCGTTCTGTTTGTTGCCTGGCTCCCACGTAAGTGTCGGGGCCGTGTTGGTATTTCCTCGGCCGATGCTCGTTGAGGAAGCAGCTGGTGCAAGAAGGTGATTTGAAAAAAGTTTGAGTCACGGCGAGGAAGACGGAAGTGAGTTGTTGAACCGCAAAGAGACCGAGACAGGGCGGGCTGCATATGGTAGTATCCCTGCTCCTTGCAACCCAACTGCCCACCTACCTAAGGTTGCTAACCGCGAAAGAGCGAAAGAGCGATGGTTATCGGGGTGGTAGTGAAGACTCTGAGCCATGACGATGAAGGCTCATGCTGCCCTGACTGCACATGGCACCATCACCTTGTGCTCTTCCGGGGATTTCAACCGTGACACACAAGAGCATTTATGGCTTGTACCACGGTGCTCATGCTTCGCATATTAGAGGCAACCTCCCTCAACCAGGCTGACGGACTTCGTGATCTCGTCTAGCTTGACCAGTCTGTCGCTGATGAGTTGACTCCATGCCCAAATCACGAACTCTCCCTAGCAAACCCCCAGCAACCCACGGATGCTGGCACTTTGATCCATATCCGAGTCGAATCCCTCTTCCGATCCTCCACCTCGAGAGTGTTTGCAGTGTCATGCCGCATCCGTCCTCCTTCTCCGCTCTGTCACCATATCAATACTGCCATAACCCGGGCTCCCACCGGAGAGACTTACAAAAAGGGAACATCCGCGCAGGGCCTAGGTCGATCCGCACAGCCTCGCCCAGGTTGCCTAGGGCACGAGATATCGGGCCCGATCTGCATGCATGGTGGACCTGGCACCGGCCTGAGCATGCATGTCATCGAATTTGGCCGTTTTAGAAATAAGGTTACGTGTGTTGGATTCGGCGTATTGTCTGCGTATGGAGGGGCATGGTTGGGACCCCCAACATGCATGAGCAAGAAGAAAGGGGCCGAAGAGGGGTTATGAGAAACGGTGGGAACGGGGACAATAACCTTTCCGAGCTGTTGGTTCCGGAGTCCTGTTGGTTCCGCTCATCGTCGCCCGGTTGATCCACTGCCTTGGCCCCCCCCCCGTCCTCCGGGCCCGGTCCCGGGTACCCAAACGGTCGTCCAATCTCGGACACCATGGCGCAAACTTTTCAGGGAGACTGAAGCAATTTGATAGCTGACGGGGGAGATGGCTCAACCGTGATGTTACTCCGGTACTGAATGATGGGTTCGCGGAGACCGGCGCTGACCGGTCACTCATTCACTCACTCACTCCACCACCCATCTCCACAACACGCTTCCAACGGCGCCAAAAATAAGACATACAACACCAGACATTCGCTGGTCGTCTCCGACCCAACTACTACCCTGGCGGTTGCTGGTTTGTCATGAGGAGAGCGGACGGGATCCCGAACTTTTCAGCACCTATGGTCGTATGTATTAGGAGTTGGCAGTGCTGCGGTTTGTCAACAGCATGCTGACCGTTGTGTCACTGATGGGGGGAAGCCACTGGCGTGACGTAGAGTGATGATAATGTGAATTAGGTAGAGCATGTCGCCCGAGTGCCAGGTCCCAAAAAAAGAAGGAGGCCAGACCGTGATCTGCAGCCGAGCCTCCTTTGGCAGGACACAAAACGTAAGCAAAAAGAGACGCGCGCGTACCGAAGGCGCAGGTTCGCTCCATCGAGCGATGGTATCCAAGCAGTTGGTACATCCATCCCAATCCAGTCCGATCCCCCGTGGTATCGCCGAACGCCGTCCTGACCAGTCCCCCTATACCAATTTTCCTCCCCTCTCCTACCCACTCACTCCCCTTCCAACCCAGCTCTCCTGGGAATCCTTCGTTCTGTACATACATACACCCTCTTTCACAAAGCATAATTCTCGGTATGCAAAAAGATCTCCTCAAGCATATCATCCCCCCAAATTTCCGCCTGCAGCCGGGCGACCGTATTCGCGACGCCGACGCGCATCGACGGAGGGCCGCACACGAACACGGCCGTCCGGCGCCCAAGGATCCCCCGCCCGTCGGGCCCGCCCGTAGCCCACTCCTTGAGCATGTAGCCTAGGTCTGGCCGCCCATACTCGACGCTCCACCCGCCGTCGATCTCGTGCGGGATCGGGAACGCGAACCGCATCAACGACCGCTGGAACTCGGTCGGCGTCTCGGGGAACCCGAAATCGAACCCCGAAGGCGGGCCGATGGTGCTCGTCGGCCGCGCTCGTGAGAACCCGCCCACGTCGGTGCGTAGGTGCGCGAGTTCAGGCGGGTGGACTGGTGCCGAGCCGCCGCCGCTCCCTTCGGCAGCGCCTTGGTAATGTTGTTTGGTATCGCCCGGGGCCTCGCTGCCGCCCGCTTGGCTGAGGCGAGGGTCTGCCTCGGCGAGGATCTGGCTGTAGCGCTGTCTCCCTGCTGGCGGGGCGTAATTAAAGTAAGGGGCGCCGTCGCTGCGGGCCGCTTTTAGTGGCGGGAAGTGGAATTCCCCGTCGTTCTTCTTGTGTTGGTTGCTGGCGCCGGAATGTCCCTCCGAGGCGGGCGGCTCGAGGCTCTTCCCCTCGCTGTCGCGGCCCTCAAGCCTGCGCAGCGTCTCTTCCGCTGGGGACAGCCCGCTCATGTTAGGAGGCGGGCCGGGCGGTGGTGGGGGGAAGCTGTGGGGTTGGAGGTATTTTTGTTGTGGCAAAGCCGTAATGCGGTCTTCATCCTCGCGCCGCAGTTCGCGCTCTCTCTCCGGATCCCCCTGAGCCTCAGACGTGATAAGGGCGCTGTTGCGCTTACTCGCAATGCCTGCGACGAAACCGTCGAGCTTGTCATGGAACATGTTGCTCAGAGGCCTAGGCGCGCGGCTGTGAAGAGCGGTTGCATTGGCCTTCTGTCGAACTGACGCAGTGACGAAAAACTTGCAGGTAACACTCTCTGGCGGCGCGGCCTCGCGGCAAATCCGAAGCTCCTCGCGGAACCAGTCCATGGCTTCCAGCCGCTTGAGCGACCATACCACCACAATCTTCTTGGTGATAGCTTTCCCGTCGCGCATTCGTTTGATCAGGTTCAAGAGTTGCGACATCAGGGACGTGATACCGCTCCCACCGGCGATCAGGATGCAGGTATCAAACGCCGCTAACTCGCGGCGCATTCCACCATAAGGACCGTCGAGGAAGGCGCGGTAGGTGTGGAAAGGCCCCTTGCTGATGGCGGTGTCGAGCACCTTGCGCGTAAAGCCGCCGTACGGGCGGAAGACGAGCACGCAGTCTCGGAATTCCTCACCGTACTCGGACGGAAAGTCCTCGCTGCAGAGGGAGGAAATAGTAAATGGGTGGTTCTCCAATACAGAGATACCCGGCATGCGGAGGTAAACGTATTGACCAGGCTTCCACCGCATCTGTGTCGGGATGGTGATTTTGATGGCGTTCTCCGTCATGATGTTGATGGCGGCCTCATCTCCCACAAGCCACGCCATGCGCCACGGCCTCGCCCAGTTCAACTTGAAGAGGCGGAGGATATTGCAGACGACGATGATGGCGGCCGACGCGATAAGGTAGCCCCACGACATGAGGAAATTCTTGGTGTGCCAAAAGAGGACCGCGACGTAGATATAGCCGACGGGGGCGTGCAGCAACGAGAAGATCTCGTACGCTGTCCTGCGAATGATGGGCAGCGAGCCCACACAGAGCCAGCAGAGTGGGACGATGCAGGCAATACCGGAACCATAGATGATCCCGCTCCCAGGAGGGAAAAGGGTGTCGAAGACCCGCATTCCACCGTCTTCCCAGACCGGCTGGATATAGAAGGGGATCATGTGAACCAGCGACATGAACAGGCAGAGATATCCCAGCCAGCGGTGGAAGACGTTGAGGCGCTCGGGGCCGATGCCAGTGATGATGGTAAGGATGTTTGTTTTGGTGCTCGTGGCGATGATCCAAGGCGTCATGGCGACGGCAATCATGCCGGACCGAATGGCGAGCGGGGGGGAGCCGAACCGGATGCTCTGCCAGTAGAGGGGCTGCTGCAGAAAGCAGAATATGGTCACAAACGCGACGGAGATGAAGGCACAGCCCAGCACGGCGAGGGAGCTGAAGGTGAACCGGTGTTTCCCGAACACGATATCCGGGATTGGGCGGTAAAAGACCCATCTGAACAGAGCCAGGGTATCGTTGAAGAAGCCGACAGACGAGAAATGCGCTTTCGGTTTGAACTTCTTCTCTTCAACTTGCGGCTCTTCCGGGAAGAAATGCCGCCCTGATTCCGAGGCCGTCACGCCTGTTGCGAGAGCAGCCGACCTATCCCACCCGGGATCCATCGAGTACAAGTTCTGAAAATGTTGCTCCATCTCCTGCTTGTAGATGGCTTGCCGGATCTTGTCCTGCCAGTAATGCCATATCCTCATAAACACGGCTAGCCCCCCAATGGCAAGCGCGAAATATGTCCACCCCAACCCATACTTGCCAGACTGCGACCACGGATCTACCGTGAGGGCCTGTACCAAGCCGGGTGGGCTGTTTGGCGCAAGCGGTATATTGATGCGCTTCGCGAGCTCGGCCAGAGTTTCCGGAGTAGCGCCAGCGGCGCTTCGCAGCGCCGATTGGAGTTGTGTAGCCATATGTTGTGTTTCCCTGTGCCAGAGCCTCGATGAACGGTCCCACCGGGACACCAGCCCTCCTTACTGTACTCTCTTTCTATGATGCCGCAGGACCCGAGCCGCAACGGGGAGCCTCCGCCAAGATTGTTGGTATTGGTATTGATATTGTCGTCGATGATGAGGCGAGGGACGCCGGGGGAATGCCGGGTCGCCTGATTTAGCTGAGATCGTAGAACGTCGGGACATCCATCGAAAGAAGAGAATGGGATGCGCAAGCGGGAAGGATCCGGAAAGGTAGATGTGCCGCCAGCGCAGGAGAGGGGCACAGTGATATACAAGTACACTAATAAACGCTACCCTGTTGACGCAGAGGTGTGGTGTGCCCAGGAGCGTGGCTTGATCTCGACCCAATCCCAATCCACCAGTTGATCCAGTTGAATGCGCAAGCCGAAGCAGTGCTAGTATCGAACGTGAAGAACCTCTTGGCGCGAATCGAACTAAGCTTGTCCGGACGAGGAAGCGTCTTAGGCGGGCCGGGTTGCAGGATGGAGATTTGCGAGCATGGAAAAGGCACACACCAGCAGTTTCCAGCGGTTGCGTGGGTTTTTAATATTGGACACCAGTCCTGCACGGCTGCATGGGTATCACACGGGAAGTGAGATAGCTCCTCCGCGGGATAAGTTGGCGGTATCTTGTCGACCGACAGTCCTCGGCAGAGCTGCACAGGCGGGCGCTAGTCTTCGAGGTTCGGGCCTTGCAGGTTCGGGGGGAGAAAGCGAGCGGGTTTGTCAACCCCGAGTGGCCGATTCTGCTCCGTCGCAGTAGTGATCTGCGAGTCTTTCTCTTGGTCGCTGTCACTTCGCGGTGTTGTTGCACAAGCGGGCGGGAGGACACGCGCAGTCAGCAACGTGCGCACATGGGAACCGGATGCTGTGCCCGTGTGTCGAGGGACGACGGGAGAGGTGGAAACAGCTTGTTAATATCAAGTAGACCGTAGCTCTCACCGGGAACGTGGGGACAGGGCACTGTGCAGGAGAAGAAGACCCCCCGGACCGCTGTCATCTCAGTGTCCTGGGGACCTCGTCCAGTGAGAAAGAGAAAAGCCGGGATGTTATCAGCAAGGTCGGCCGCAATGTGACCGTATGCTCGACTTGCTTGCAGCAGCACCAGCAGCACCAGCAGCAGCGGGACGCGAATTGGAATTGCGCATCATCCCCTCCCCCACAGCCCATTGCTGCGACCGCTCAGTGCCACCCCTTGGCCCCCCGGCCAAGCTTGAAGATTTCATGCAAGCCCGCATTGTGATTCCTCGGGCCCCCAATACAGGCGTCGAATGACGTTCGAGTATTGAGGTGACGATTGAACGAGAACCCAGCGAATGGGAAGCAAGCGACAGCGAGTGAGAAGCCGTTGTTGGATGTTCTGGGGAAGACGGCGGGCCAGTGTGGGGATCGCGAAGAACGGTGACAGGGGGTGTTTGCAGGCCTGGGCGGTAAGACCGATTTTCTGATTGGCTGCCGGTCCCTTCCGTTGCCGTGCAGTGCACGCTGGAATCAATGATTGCTGCAGGGGTTCTCAGGTACAGGAAGCAGCCTCCACTGCCTCGGAAGCGGGGAAGCGATGACGGTGTCACTTATCTGTGCTTCGTACATACATCTTTCGTACATAGAATGCAACGCCTTGCTGCTTCTCTGTGGATTGTGAAAATTCGAGTGCCATGCAGGACACCAAGCGATTGTCCTATCAAGCAGATGGACGGGGGACGAATGGTTCCTACCTGCTCCGGCACACTGGGTCGGCCGTGTTTCGTAGCCGCCTGAGACGGTGATGTGAAAGCAATAGATTGTGCTAGGGTGCTAGGGCGCCAGGGCGCTCGGGTGTGAGAGAACGCCCAGATCTGCTCACATCCCGATCCGGCCTCACAAACACACATCGCCCCTTTCCAGATTGCCGGCATCGCCATGGAACGGAAGAGCCTCCCGGTGAGGCATCCCAACGTCATAAAATCCGTCCAGGTTATCTATCCTTCATGAAACTCGTTAGAGAGCGGCGACCCCATCATGTCCGTTTAATTCGCATATAGCTCCCTCATCCTGTCGCCATCAAAAGCCAATCCGCTCACATCCACGCTGGTCTCCCGTCCCTGAACCATCTCGGCCAACACCACACCTGTACCAAGACTCATGGCAATACCCCACGGTCCGTGACCGGCCGCAACAAACACCCCACCTTCGGCCCCTGGCCTTGTCGCCGTACTAACACCCAAGTCCTCGTCCCGAAATCTAGAAATAATCGGTGTGCCCCAGGGGGTGATGGGCCGGAAGCACAACCCTTCCCGAACAATCTCCAAATCATCCTCAATCGTTCCCGACCCGAGGATGTCCCTGGCAACTTGTCGGAGCTGCACGAGGTTTTCGGCGTACGGCGTTGCCTTCCCCTCCGCCGCGTCCGGGAGCGGCAGTGTCGACGAGTTGAGACCTGCAAAGTAGATATGACCCCCGATCCGGGAGAACATTTCCGGGCAGAACCCCTCGTTGTGCGCGGTGAAAATGGCGTGGCACCCGTTGTTCTCGAGCCCGGCATGCCACCGCGGCGACTTTAGAACCAGCGAATGCCCGGCCAAACTCTTGATGGGAACCTCAAGCTTCGATTGAGGAAACAGTATCTGGAATACCTGTCCCGTCCATGATCCGGCCGTGATGACCAGTCGTGTGCAGGGCAGCTTCGATTCCGTGAAAGACTTGGTGTCAGTGATGCGGATACCGGCCAGCTCGCCGTTCCCATCGGTGACCACGGCAACCGGCTTGGCCGGGTGTTGTAGCTTCACCCCGCGCTTGAGGCATTCTCGCAGGAGGAACTGGCACAGCAAAAGGGGATCGACCTGTGCGGTAGTGCCCTCATCGCTAATGCGCTCGATATGGTCGCCGTCTACCCTCCGCAGCCAAGTCGGTGACTTCCCGGACAGCGAGTCCAGGACCACCGGAGCCGCATCCGCACGGCTGGTCCCAGAACGTAGCCAGTCATCGCCCCGTGCTTGGGAATCGTGCGCGATGGCCGATGCTGCGTAGCTGACGCATGTGGCCGGCGAATAGCCCCATGTCTCCCGCCCACCGTGCTCTTCTGCGAGGCGGCGGTGTTCCTCGAAGCTGAGGGCCCCAAGAGCTGACAGTGAAGGCCCGAACCAATCCTTAGCGAGGAATCCCCCCGCAAAGCCCGAAGCCGAAGAAAAGAGTTCAGGGGACGGTTCAACCAGGTGAATGGTCGCTGGATCTTGGTGTTCCGAAAGATAGTAGGCCGTCGAAACGCCGATGATACCCGCCCCCAGGATCACAGTAGGAAAAGACATGTTTTGTTCAGTCGACGGCGTGCTAAGAAAGAAGCCGACCAACAAGTCCGGTTAAGGATGAATCGAATTACTGTAGATAAGAAGAACAAGTCATGGGAGAAAAACGACGGGGTGTCGTAGGCATGATTCAAGGAACGACAGACACCCCGCGTTCCGTCTCCGCCGGCCCGGGGACATCCGCTTGAACGGAGTTGTTGATGGAGACTCGGCATGTGGATGAGGCAAGCGATGGGGAAGGGGGACGCCCTTGGATAAACAATTCTACTTTCCCCGCGTCCCCACATAGAGGGGCTCCCGAATTTATCAAACTGGGAAGCTCGAATTCCTTGACACAAGCTTTGCCGAGCCGCCATTTTCACTCAGATCTAGCCTTTCCACTCGGAACATGGAACCCAAGGTAATCATTGTTACCGGCGCAAGCCGCGGCATTGGCTTTGCTGTGGCCCAATCCCTGCTCGCAGCGTCCCACAAAGTTGTCCTTGTCTCTCGATCTGCCGACCGGCTTCAACAGCTGAAGGAATGCTATCCTACACAGGTCGCCTTCCTTGCGGCGGATATGACAGTCGCCGATGTAAGTCGCCGGGCTTTGATCCCTTCGAGCCCCTATTATGTGGCCGCCGTTCCAAGACGACAGCATCGAGGCCCCCAGATTGCATACTGACCTTCAAAGACTGCGTGGAGGGTAACGGAACTCGCCATCCTCACGTTCGGTAGGATAGACGGCGCTGTGGTCAACCATGGCATGCTCTCTCCCATGACACGGATCGAGAATGCCTCTGTTGAGGAGTGGAAAAAACTTTACGACGCAAACTTCTTCAGCGCGCTTGCACTGGTGAGTTGGAGAAGATGGATGACCCGAAGGAGGGCGTGCGCTAACTCCTTGCACAAGACAAAGGAAGCGATTCCTCACATCCGGGCTTCGAAGGGCCGAATCGTCTTCATCTCCTCGGGTGCAGCGACGGCTGCTTACACGTCCTGGGGAGCTTACGGCTCTTCCAAGGCTGCGTTGAACTCACTCGTACGGCACGTAGCTGTCGAAGAACCAGACGTCACCGCGGTGGCCATCAGCCCAGGCCGCGTCGATACCGACATGCAGAAAGAGCTCCGGGAGAAGGGCACTGAGATGTCGAGAAAGGACTACGAGACTTTCAAGGAGGACTTCGAAGAAGGCAGGTTGATCAAGCCAGAGCAGACCGGTCGCGTCATCGCAAAACTGTCCCTGGACGTTAAACCAGAGCTTTCGGGGAAATACTTCAAATGGGACGCAGCGGAGTTGGTCGAGTATCGCGAGTAATGACGAAGGAAACTAATAATCTACCCGCTTGGTGGTCAGCATTGAACACGCTAAAAAAAATGAGAGGTTCAAGGCAGGTTGGGAATAAGCAATCAGGGGTAAAGAAGGCTTTATGTTCCTCCACATAGTGAGATTCAGTATTAGCATGGAATAAAGTTGTTCATCAGGCTGCGCATTGTGTTCTAGTATGGAAAATGGCCTACCATCTACAACGGCTCTTGTCATCCTTGCTTTCCAGCCATTGAATCCTGGGTTCCCGGTCAGCGACATCCTGGCGAAGCGGCCTTGTCTTGTGGGTATTTTGGGCGTCGCTAGGTTTCAGGTGAAAGGTTTCCATCATAATTTATCGGTATTGGAATGAATAGTACAAAATTGAGCATCATGTCGTGGACGCGCAGTCCAGCGTCGAGGACTGGATCGGGTGTATGAGATACTGTCAACTGCGACTTTGTCAGCTTGGTCCAATAGTCAAACAATGCAAGACTCTCGGCAATAAGCTTGGGGGTAAATCAGGAATGTCGTTTGGCTTGACGTGTCTATCACCATGTGTAGGTCTGATAGGGGCGACACAAAATGTTCATCATTTGAAGGAGGAGAAGAAAAGTGTTCAACTTGCTTACCTTACTTGAGCCGCGTGCTATATCCTGCCAGAAGAGAAGTACATGACGCTTGTTTCTTGTTGTCTGAGGAAGAAAATGGCAGGCTTTTTCTCTGTTTTGAGGCAGAAACTTTCTGGTGTCGGTGCCGGAAGAACTCTGTGTTGGAATTGGGAGTGGATCATAGAAATTTTCGGCGTTGCTGGGGTTGAAGTGGGCCTTTATGAGCATCTGTGGCTAATGCACAGTGACAATGAGGGGCACTCCGCCACACGAGGGGTGGGACGCGTTCAGCATGGCGGCCGGCTGGCATTGGCGCATCAGCAACCACTCGAGCAAAGGACGGCAGGCAGGTATAAAGGGCTGCTCACCAACTCCAGGGTAAGGGAGCACTCGGCTTTTCTTGTTTACAACCATGTTTGTTCATCAGCCAAAGGCGTTCCTAAACTTTATCACCTGGAGAAATTCGACATACTCTTGATTTAAACCACCGTATCCCCCCTTTTCCTATTTCTTTTTTTACCGACGTTGAACTTCTGGAATCGCCGTTCTTTTACAGCTGTTAGGGACTGGGACCCTCTTTCCCGGGCATCATCATGTCGGATCATGAATTCGGAGGTTCGTCAACGTTCTTTCTCTTATTTTGGCTGGGTGGCCTACATTTTATGAATATGAACGTTGCTGCAATTGCGCGTTCAAGTGAACCGCGGCCCTGCAGCTGCCCATGCACGACGCTTGTAGTTGGCTAGGGACTGGTGATATCTCATCCATCTTGAGCCCTACCGAGCTTGTGGACCAAACCGGGAAGCGGCAGCTGCATACAAATAAACAGCGTCACTTTTCTCGTTGTTTGTGTCCTACGCGTTCAACCCCCCATCCTCAACATCATACCTTGACATGCCAGAATGGCTCCCCATATTCCTGCGTCAGACCGGTACTGGAAGCTATTCGACATGGCTGGCGGCTCAAGTAGCGCCCATTCCACTTGTTTGTTTCAAAACCATTGACTCGGACCTGAATTTATTGGTCTCAAATGCTAATGGGCTTTTTTAGGGAACGATGATCTCTCGCTGCCGAAAGGTACGTCTTTTAAGCCACTCTTCGTTTCATATCCCGGAGCTATTGTAGCCGGGGCGACAGCATCACTACTTGGGTTTAATCTTGGCGGTTAGAGTTGCTAGGGCCTCTGTTCCTGCGTCAACCCGGAGACGGTTCATGATAAAGAGGAAGTGCCCTGACTTGATCGGCCTTGAACCCGGGGAGAGCGGCTAGGTCATGGGATTCCAAAGTCTTCTAGTGGCCGTCCATCTTCAAGCAGCGGCACTGGCAACCCCGGGTGACGTGGATCTATGCTGACATTCTGCAAGCCACTGTTCAGAAGATAGTCGGCGAAATCCTCTCGGGATCGTCAGGGATCGCATTCTCAAAGGAAGCCCGTGACGTTCTCATTGAATGCTGCGTTGAATTTATTACCCTTATCAGCTCGGAGGCGAACGACATCTCGGAAAAGGAAGCCAAGAAAACCATTGCATGCGATCACATCATCAAGGCGCTCGATCAACTTGGTTTCACTGATTACATCCCAGCGGTCCTCGAAGCCGCTGCTGAACACAAGGAAGTTCAGAAGGTAGTAGGCAACCCAAAATGTTCGCTCTAAATGTGTCGTTGGGACTAATTCAAGGAATCAGGGACGTGAAAAGAAGGCCAACAAGCTCGAGCAGAGTGGCTTGTCGTTAGAGGAACTGGAGCGTCTCCAGCAAGAACAGTTCGCAGCGGCAGCGGCCAGGCATGGTTGAATAACTGGGTGCGAGGAGGCGTTACTTAATACTGTAACGCCGTCCCTGGGTGGTATGCCGGGAGAACAGGCGATTGATCTGCTGTTAGGTTGGGGCGACATGCATTACTCGGCGTTGGAGCGCGTTTGTTACATGGTTGGGGTGGTTTGCCGCATAGACGAGCCTGCCGTGCGTGATTGCAAGGCCCTGAGTAAAGCGTTGGTCGGGAGCTGAGCGGCGTTTGGCAACTTTTCTTCGCAATGGGGTACATGACGCAGGGCTCCTCGAGTCTCGTAGTATTGGAAATTTAAGCTACTTTGGGGCTGTGGCACCAGATAGGCAAGCCAACTAAAGCGCATGGTATCCAGGGCCGCACCTTGTGCCGCTAACGGGCGGGGCAAGCCGAGTTCCAAGAATAATACAGGCTCTATTGGAATCGCCTTTCCGCTCCTCAATCCCTTGCCACTGGGCCTAGTTACATATACGCCCTTCCCCAGGAGCGCCACGCGAAGCCATCTTGCAATGCATACTCGTTTCTTCGAGCCGAGGAGTTTAATAGCCGTCCTTGCCCCACTTGTTGTACTTGTCGTGGAGTCTCTGAAAAGAGGGGTTAGCTTTCCAGACGTGATACACTGTGGGAAGAAGCTGTTACCTTGGGCAGCTCGACGTCGGGGACGACGACAACGTTAACGGCACTCGGGGCGTCCTTGGGCGCAGCGCTTGAATCACCGCCAGGGTGGTACTGGTATTTGCCGTGTGTCGCATCAGTCTCCCACGGCATGCTGTTTTTAGCGAGGGGGACGGAGTTCTCGGATGTCGACTTGGTCGGGCTGCGGCCTACACGGCGTTGTGCTGGTTAGCATGGCTGTGGTAGAGGACGCTACGCCACCTGCGGGGAGCGAGCGAGAAGCTCGACGGGACTGACCGAAGTAGTAGCCAGCACCAGCGAGGGCTGCGACCATCACACCGCCGAGAATCTACACCCCGCAAACCTCCAAGTCAGCCGCGTCCCCATCCCTGGCGTCGTCAAGGGTCCAATTCATGTTTCTCGGGTCGTCCCGGGAATTTGACGCACCATAATCTCGGGGTTCTTCTTAGACTCGGACTTTAGCGCCTCCTCGCCGGTCGCCATGCGGCGGGCGGTGGTGCTGAAAGCGCGGCGCGCAATTAACGAAGCCATTGGGGCGGTGTTGGTGTCGAAAATGGACGGTGGGGAGGGAGAATTGTTGTCGGCAGAGCTCGGCGGTTTGGCCGTGTTAGAAGCTTGGATATGCTCTCATACGATGGATTTCGTCAAGAGGCCAAGCTTCAAGAGCTTGGCATAGAATATTACGTAAGTAACATGGGGCGTTGTCAACAGCCAGTTGCCAACAGTTGGTAGCCAGTTATCAGCTCTCCGGTCCGGACGCCTTCGCTCGCTTCCGTTCTCTGCTCTCAGTTCCCGGCCCCTCTCCCCTGTCACATTGTCATGCATGGACGCAGGGACATGTGCCCTACGAGCTGACCAAGAACGAATCGGTAGTTACTCTCGCTCCCTCAGATCGACTTGGGCATGGAATCGAGGGAGTGGTCAGTTGGTTACGTGGTTCTTTCTTATCTTTTTGGGGGGATATCGCGCTATGTCGGTATTGAAAATCAGCAAGCTTGGTAGGAAATTGTGTACGAAGTATAGAATAATATTCCTATAGTTACTTCGTACTCTCATCACGGAGGGACCGAGCAGTTGCGGGCCCCGGCATGAACTCATCTCAGGGGCCGGTCGGGTGGTCAGTGCGATGCAGCACCCCAAGGCGGGCGAAAAAGCAACTGCCAAGCTCAGACGGCCGTGCCCAGCCAGTGGCAGCACCTCTCCCATCACGAACGGCACGAAGAAAGAAATCCCATTCGCTTGGTCGATGTCGAACCCACGCTCGGACGAGCCCCGAGAACCAAGATTGGAATTTACACAGTACAGTCTTGCTTCGCGACACTCATTTCTCTCTGTCTGCCACACTCTCCTTTTCTATTTGCTTCTTCCACTCTTTGAACTAGCGATCGTGACGGTATCAACTGCGTAACCGGATTTATATTTTGATTTCTCGCTTCTCTCGCTTCCCTTGCTTCCCCTGCGCTGCCTGCTACGCCTTCGGTTGCATCCCTCGAACTCCTGCAGCGACAGACCTCCTTCGACGCCGCACTTTCCATCCTCAGCGCCGCACCACACCACCAAACTGGAATGCGCCCGGACTCCGAAACCCTTTGAACGAAATATTAGTCGCCTTCTTTCTCGTACTTAACGTACCCCCGAGTTTGACGAATCTCCCGGCCAGTGCTCACCATCCGCTATGCTGTCGCGAAGGGCTGCTTAGCACAGAAAGTTCGGTCTTGACGACGGCCGCAGCCGATCCCCATAATAAACTTTGCGAGCGATTACGGCGATGAGCTCCACTGAGGGAGCGCCGCGGGCGCTTTCCCCGAGCAACGATGACAGTTTCCCCCAGTTCCCGCAGTCCGAACGCGGTGGTCCTCCTAGTGTCATATCATCGCGAATGACCGATATCATGACCGAAGATGGCGGGGATTCGGAGGCGTATCGTGGGGCGGGAAGCCATAGGAGGAGCGTCATCTACTCGGATGGCACGTCACGGCCGGGGACCGCGAGGACGGGCATATCACAGAGGAGCCCCTGGGCCCAGGGTTCGTCTCTGCGCCGTGGACTCTCAGGCAAGCGGGTGAGCATCTCCGGCAGCGTCGGCAGCTCATCGGCGGGGGCTCGGCCAGCTAGCTCAATGAGTCGAAGTCACGTCCCTACGCTCACGTCGCATGCCTTTTTCCGACCCATGAGCTCGCAGAAGCTACAGGCCCAACGGGGAATGGCACGGCCGACCACGATGAACAGGCAGATTGGCTTGCAGGACGAGGCCGGCGAAACCAACAGGGACAGCATGGTTTCGAGTCAAGGCGCCCGAGCAGGAATGCATTCCGGTGACGAGGCAGAAGCACAGCCGCCGCCCTCGAGGGGCACCGAATTCACTGAGCAGGAAGCGTACGACCGCAGAACAGCTACCACTAGCCCGACTCACGGCCATCAGCCCACCCTAAGCCTCACTGATAGCGTCCGTCCATTACAGAGGAAACCAGAGGCCGCGAAAAACCTTACACTGGACATCCACAACACATATAATAAGGGTGGGGCGAATGCACCGACGCCTGTCCGCACCCCGCGCTCTTTGCGATCTAGCTTCCTAATGCCGAGGATGGACTCTAGCAGCGGCAACCGCGAGATACAGGGCGGGGAGAAGCTAGAATCCCTAGCCTCGTCTCCTCAGCTCCCGCCCAGCACTGGGGACGAAAAAGCGGCCCCCCAGAACAGGAGCAAGCCGAAACCAGGGCGCAACTACGAATACTTCTTGGGGAATACTGTCTTCTGTCTGGGAGGCCGGTTACAAAACACCAGGCACCGGCCCGTGAACATCGCGACGGGAGCGTTTGTCGCCCTGCCCGCCATCCTCTTTTTCATTTTTTCGGCGCCGTGGATATGGAGCAACCTATCTCCAGCTATACCCATCACTTTCGCTTATCTGTTCTTCATCTGCATTTCGTCCTTCCTTCACGCATCTGTCACTGACGCAGGAGTATGTTTCATCCCCACAAACCCATCAACCGTTCAAAGCACTAATGTTACCCCAGATTCTGCCGCGCAACGTGCACCGGTTTCCCCCTCCAGTTGAAAACGAGGACCCTCTCCGCCTTGGGCCTCCGACGACGGAATGGGCCCTGGTCAAGTCCTCTGACCCGGCCACCGCTGCGATGGAGGTGCCCACGAAGTACTGCAAGACATGCAACGTTTGGCGACCACCCCGCGCTCACCACTGCCGCCTCTGTGATAACTGCGTCGAGACCCAGGACCATCACTGCGTCTGGCTCAACAACTGTGTCGGCCGTCGCAACTACCGTTATTTCTTCACCTTCATCAGTAGCGCCACATTCCTTGGACTCTACCTCTCTATGGCATCACTGGCGCAGATCCTCGTCTACGCCAACCAACAAGGCATCTCCTCTGGCGCTGCCATCAGCCATTTCCGTGTCCCCTTCGCCATGGTGATCTACGGCTTGATTGCCTTCCTCTATCCTGCCGCACTAATGGGGTACCATCTATTCCTCATGGCTAGGGGGGAGACGACACGCGAGTATCTCAACTCGCACAAGTTCCTCAAGAAGGACAGGTACCGCGCTTTCACGCAGGGCAGCTGGTTCAGAAACTGGTTTGTTGTGCTGTGCCGCCCACGGCCGCCAACGTATTATCAATTCAAGGGTAGATACGCCGAAGGCGACCAACGGCTTGCGCCTCGCCGCCGGGCTCATCTTCCTGCTCGACGAAAAGCGGAAGCAAAGGAGGGCCTCGAGATGCAAAATGTAAAGCCACAACCTCAACATGAGCAGACTGGATTTTCAGGTCCAGTCTCGATACAGAATGCCGCCAACCCAGCATTAGGAGGCGAGCCATAGCCTCGCATCGTTTTTACTTTCCCTCTCTTTCTTCTACAGTCGTCTGACACTCGACGTTACCCATCCATTTCCTTTACCTATTCGTTCATTTAGCGGCCAGGCGTGATAAGATATCAGCAACGGCGTTTAGCGATTAATGACTTTGAGCCGAGAAGTTAGACTTGGCGGTGTAGGCACGACGCCTTTTTCTGTAACCTGAGGATTTTTGCGTTCATATACCCTTTGCGAAAGGCGCGGAGCCAGATGTATCTTGTACTTTTACTTAGCTAGAATTCCTCTTCCACCTTCTATTTAACTCCGAGGTCCTCACCCATGACTATCATCGCAAGGTGTCATCCTCGTTTTTACTTCTTGAATCATCGGTCCCCTCTTTTTTCAACATACGAACATACGCGATACACGTGTGTGTCATTAACAATTACTTGTACAAACCACCGTGGCATTGAAGCACAACACATAGGTTACGTTACCATAGCCATTATCAATATACCAGCGAAATTGGGACACGTTGGATTTGCCTTGCAGTAGGCAAACTAAACTCTTTTTTATACATTATAGGCCAACAAATAAAGTATCCCGCCCACTGTTTAGGTTATCGACGCCAAGCATGTTCAAGTGTTCAACTTCCAGAATATCTAGTTACCGGCCTTATCATACCGACAAAATGACAAACCCTCCCCCCCCACCCGGTAAAAAAAACGTCATAACGAACCCAAACATCGGAGCCACCTCGGAAGGGGCGCCCTGAAACAACACGGCGCGGCAACAAGCTCCTTCAAAATCACTGAATAGCCCATACCATTTCCTTCCTACCATCCTCCACCAAGAAAATTACAGATTCAAGGACCGGTCACCCCTTCCCCCATCACCACATCTTCTTTCCCCTCTCCCACCACCCCCTTCGCACCAGTCTCCTCGGCGCCAGCGCCGGCTTCCGCTTCAGCGCCACCCTTTTCCTCCACAGTCGCAGGCTCAGTAGGGGGCCCCGCAAAGGACATAGCTTTCCCTTCTTCCTCCTCCGAAGAGCCACTGCTCACGCCCTCCTGGCGGTCGAGTTCACGCTCGAGGCTCCCAAGCAAGTTAAGCCCGTCGTCTTCGTCGTCCCCGGTCGGGAGGGCCATGGGAGCGAGCGCAGGGGAGGCGGGCGGCTCGAGGGCGGGGGTCGCGTCGGGGACTACTTCAGTGGTTTCGTCTCCTTTCTCTTCGCTGGGCTGTATTGGCGGGGCTGGAAGAGGGACCGGTTCGATGGGTGGTGATTGAGTCTTGGCTGTGGTGATTGTAACCGCGGCAGGTTGTGGCTCGAGGAGCTGGTCTGCCGGGCTTGTTATCGGCACCGTCGTGGTCGTTGTCGTTGTCGTTGCCACCATTGGCTCAAGGGCGGGTGCCTGTGGGGGTGCTGCTAAGGGAGCTGCTGTTTGTTGGGTGATTGTTCCTGCAATGTTCTGGTTCACAGCGTGCCGGAGTCCTGCGTTATCCCTAAGCGGCGGCAGGATCCCACGAGTGGTAGTTTCCGCGGTATACGCTTGGTTGATGGCGCCACCTGAGCCCATATCCATGGACAGAGTGCGGGACTGGACTTCGAGGTAGTTGGCCGCAGCAAAGGAAGTATTCGCTGTAGGTGGGATCATGGACGATGGCTCGGTTGGCGACAGGATCATGACGTTCTTCAAGGGGCTCCCCTCAATCTTCGTAAACCCGAGTGATGATCCGAGATTCGTTAGGGTAGGCGGCTGGAAGCGAACCTTGGGTATCGTGATCTCCTCTACCTCCTCCACGGCGGGGCGGGGCTCATCTGGCTCCTCGACAGAACTCGGCTGAATGGTCTCTGACATCTCCGAACCCTTAACCTCTTGGATGCGGGCCTCGCCGTTGGCATCCTCAACCTTCGGGGCCTCACTCCCATCGTCATCCGCGGCTTCCTTATCTCCCTCCTCTTCGTCCTCGCCCTCACCACCCTCACTTTCTTCGTCGTCAGAGGGTATATTCGAAATATCGGCCATTTCGCTATCTTGGTTTGTGCTATCCTCGGTCTCTTCAATCTTGATTCCCTGCTTCGATATGAGCGTTAGTGGTCGGCGAAGCACATCGGAGGCTATTGGAACGAAATGGAAACTCACATCAGGGCCCACATTCTCGGTCTTGACAGACGGAGTGCCGTCTACAGTAGTGGCGTGTGACCTTGTCGCTGGCAACGGCAAGGGCAGCCTTCCCTTCTTGCGCCCACGCCCAACGCCCTTCGGCTTGCGTTTGGGTGGTGGCGGCCTCCTCCTGACCGGTGTTGTCTGCTGCACGGCCAAGTCTCCTTGGGCGGCTGCCGGGGCCGGCACGACCGTGGTAGAGATGATCTCGCCGTCGACCTGCTGCCCGTCGGCAAGGGTGATGGTTTGTTCGTATGGGTTGCCAGCGGCATCCATCCGGCGAATGGTGGCCCGGATAACAGTAGGCCCTGCCGCCTGCGGCGCCATCGCCTTCGAAGCCAGGGTGACGGTGTTCTTGTGCCGCTTCGCCAGGTGGGATATCGTTTGGCTTTCAGCATTGCGTGGTACTTGTTTCCATAGCTTCACCATGTACGCATCATTCGCCGACTCTGAGTCCTTCTTCTCCCCCTTAATAACATCAAGCTCGGCGTCAAGTTCCTCGTCCTCAATTGGAGCAGGGCGTTTGTATAACCGGCCGGATCTGGCGGCGCGAAGGAGTTCCTGGGTGTGTGGCGGGAGAAGGTGGGATTCTCTCGGCATACCGTAAGGGAGTTCAACGGCCCATCGGTCGCCCTGTTGGGTCATCTCCTGTTGTGACGAAGGAGCAACACTGACCCATTCCTGGCGCCATTGTCGGACGGGAAGACCTACACGCGTGAAAACAGGTGTTAATCACTGCCGAGGGTTGACGGGGCGCAACGGGCAAGTAACTTGCCTTCGAAATCATCAGGCTCGGGAAAGCCAGAGCGAGCGCTTCGACGGGTTTGCGTCGCCGTCCGCAGTTGCTGCTAAACAAATGCGCCGTCAGATGATGCATTATTGCTACCGATTGTAGGCATGGGAACTCACCGACCGCTGCATCGCGGCAAACGGGAGGCCCTATGTCCTGGTTCAGGGCCTTGTATTTTCACCAACGCAGCAACAGAACTACTCCTGATGAGCTGGTCCTCGCCGCTCTAGCAGGCCTTGTTACACCAGGGTAGCCCGTATCCAAAATTTACCCAGCGCACTAGAAAACCTGCCGTTTCCGGTGCACGAGGGCTAGTCGGCGGGAAGTTTGCGATAAACAAAACCAAACGATCGCGGAACGTCGAGGGCTCGGTCGATGCAATGTCGACGGACCCGAATTGGTGACCTAAAACATGGAAGAACCTGAGCTAGATGCTGTATCGCAATTGGTATAATTTAAGGTAACGATAACTAACACCACCTGTTGTCTGGTTTGTTTGTATGTACACTTGTCGCAACTTAACCCAAAACGCGAACACCAATGAATTGGCGACAGACCTCGCTTACAACGTTAAGATGCTTAGTTAGCATCAACCCCACCAACCCCGATTGCAAGTAGTGCAGCAAGACGGTCTATGCTTAAAGCGGAGTGTCAAGATTCGACGATAGGTCTCTTGATAATCTCGATAAGTTGAAGAGAGGTACGAAGCAGGAATAACACAATTCCTTGGGCGACATGCATGCATGTAGCCTTGATAACGCATGCGAGCCCCGCTACCACAGCGCCCCAACTCCTTACCACCGCATGAAGGCAAATAGTCGTGGGGAGGAAAAGCAAGAGATGATGTGGGGATAGCCACGGCACCCCTTAGAATACTATACACACACCGCCAGCGCCCGGGCCCCAGAAGCGGATATCCTAACCAAGGTGCAGCGGCGGAAGCGCTTTGTGGTTGATGAAATCAGTCCCAGCTGTGCGCCTGTTAGCATCGTCCTCAAACCAAGCCAGCCGCGTCCGTTAGATGACTACTCACCCGGTATCCTTCTGCCTCGTCGTCTCGCCGTGGCCCGCCCCGTCCTTGCCCTACGCAAAAAGTTTAGCACCCCGTCGGAGCACGCTGCCCACAAACTGCCGTCGTCGCACATACCGATATCCCTCCCTCCACCACAAGCCTATCCGACTGATAAAATTGGCTGACCACCGTCTGGCGCTGTATCCACCCAGAACAACCTCCCGTTAGCATCCCACTCCAACACGGCGCATGTCAATTTGGCGCCCCCCCCAGGGGTATGTAGGCAGACAAGCAGGCAGTTAGGTAGATAGGTAGCGCACCTTCAGTACCTGCAATTCCTTCAAGCCCTTTTGCACCAACTCCTGTACCTTCCGCGGGTCTTCGACGCTCCTGTTCTCGCGGAAGGCGTCTCGTGTGCGGCGCAGGGCATATTCTCGGAAGTTGTACGCCGAAAACTGGTTCCCCTGGCGGAGAAGCTGTCGGTACTGTAGCGACGCAATCCCCGTCAGCATTTGCGGCCTCGCCTAAAGAACCTCAAGAGCCCGTGCATCCGGCTGGCCGGATCCACGAATGATACGGTGTGTCGTGGACGTCGGCTGGGGAGAAACCCGCCGTGACCGGGAAAAAGGCGGAGGGGACATACCAACGAAAGCACCTTCTGCGCCGTCTCCGGCTTGGTGGCCGCCTGTACGGCAGACATGGTAGGAAAAAGATGGCTTGACGAGGTGTCGGGGATGAAGAGGCCTCGCGCGGGTTGTTGTTTTACTGGGAGAAAGTGTCGCTTGCTGTGTTCGCGATGACGAAAGTTAATGGGCAAAGGTCGGGTGATCGGAGATAACGCTGCTTATCGCGACCGCCAAGATGAAGCTGTTTCGATAAATACATAGTTAGATTTATATAAGATATCAGGGAGGTTCCTCCACGGAGTCCCCGCAGGCACACACCTCTGCCCTCGTGTAGGCGAAGAACTATATTATTCGGCTGCCAACATTGACGATATATTAGTGGCAAGTGTGCTTGCCTCGCGAGATACCCCGAGCATAGTTGAAACCACCAAGGCCCCAACATGAAAACCACAAACCACCCCTAAGCAAAGAATGCCTTTCATTCTTTTCCCATCCCCGGGCCCTTCCTAGCCACGGATCGGCCATTCCAAGGGTAGGTCGCCCAACCTATAAACTCCCACCGCCAAAACAGATAAATCACCCCGCCCACGCAAAACAACCAGCCCCGCTGGACCTAACGAAAAACCAGTCCTCTCTCACTTCCGTTTCAGTACCCATACATATCCCCTCCCCCAGCCCAACTCTGCTGCATCGCCGGCGGCACCCCGTCCGACATGTAGTACCCCAGCTCGTTCTCGTACCCGTCATTCACGGCCAGCGCCGACTGCGGGTAGTACTGCTGCGGCGTCGCATGCGGGTCATATGCCGTGCCGGGTGGAGGAGGTGCGTTGTTGTTCCCCGGCACCCCTTGCACCCCTTGCACTCCTTGGACGGCCGCCGCGGCGGACTGGCGAGCGTCAAATGCTTCTATCAAAAGGCCGAGCCCGTCAGTGGTCGGCCTAGTCCCGGCGGCCTGGAGCGGCGCCTGCCCGTGGTCCATGACGACTTGTTGCGGTTGTTGTGGTGGTGGGTTGGGCAGAGCTTGCGGCTGGGGAGCGGGAGGGCCGAGGCCGGGGTCTGTGTACGCGGTTGGTGCGGACGGCTGTTGCTGCTGGAGGGTGAGCCCTGTCATACTAGGGCTCTGAGGTCGGACCCCGTTCTCATTTGGGGTTGGAGCCACGATACGGGGTTGGATGGGCTTCACAACCGGGTGATTGGGTGGTGGGTGGAGCACATGAGGGATAGGCTCTCTCTACGGCTTGTTAGATGTCGAGGAAAAGCCACTCGACAGTCAAAAACGAGGCACTCACGCTGTCAGCCATGCTACCCTCCGTTCCCACAGCCATGGCGTTCTGAGAGCTGTAAAACTTCTCTAGGTGGTCATACCATCGAGCTGCCAAGGGCCAAATACTCTTGCTCTCAGCAAGAATATTGAGAATGCGCTGGACCATCATGGGAGCATTGCTAACAATGGTCGGGTCTGGGCAGACTTCAGAGAACGAGTTAATTTCTTGCGGAATATCGAAATGGTAGGTCAATGTTGTACGAATACAACACGGGACTTACTGTTTGGAAATTTGCAGGGATAGCAAGCCAGAACACCACAGGTATAGAAGCAAAATGCCTGCAAAGGTTTCATCAGATTGAGTACGCCGAGGATTTGTCCATTTGTGCTCACCGCCATCTGCGCGCCAGGGCCATCGCCGGGAGCTTTGTCGACGTAATGGGTCTCGATCTGCTCATAAAGTATATTCACGTTCCAGAAAAGCTTCTGTGCCATGCCGGCCCAAAAGGTAGTCAAGTCGGGATCCGTCTTGTCGTGAGATATCATGCTGCAAAATCCAATGAAAGGTCAGGCTTGCCCGGTCGCTAGGCAAAAACACAAGGGGTGGTCCTTACTCAGGCAAGTATGCCTTGCGAATAACAATGTTGCACAAACGAGTGATCATGGTCACACCCAGATACGCCTATTTGAGAGTTAGCAACACACCGAGGGGGATTTGGGCACCTAGGAGGACGCGACGTGCCAGATCCTGACCCTCCTGTTTATAACCCTTGAGAAGAAGACTGCTCCAGCGGTAGTCGTTCGGAAGGCCGCCCTCCCATTCTTCGAGCCGCCTTTCCATTTCGGCATACTCGCTGTCTGGTTCCCATGGTCGCGGACTTCGGTTATTGCTAATGGCTCGTCGATAAATAGCTCCCCAGTGTTGGTGTACCTGGATAAGCGTAGCGAATAGAGATCTCCCTTCGATGGCAACTAGAGCAGGGTTCTCTAGGGCCGGGGGGGTGCCCTCAAGCGCCGCTCTTGACTGTGGTTCTCGCGCGTTGGCGAAGTCGCTTTCGTTACTAGGAAGCAATGCTGTAATATCGTTCGCCGACAACAATACGGGGGACCGTGGGCCCGAGTGAAGGTTGTCCTGGCTGTGCAGCATCCACTATGGCAGGTTGTCAGCTCACCGAGAGTGCCGGATTCATGCTCTAAGCCAAAGCGTACCAGGGTCCTCCGAGCAGATTCGGCCCGTATGATTAGCTCCTTCGTTGGGTTCGGCACGACGTAGGTTTCCTCTCTATGAAGCTGCATCAGAGTCGCCATCCGCATTGCAATCGCCATGTTGATCTAGTTGTTTTGTTAGATAACCACATCACATATCGCAGGCACGGGAAATGGTAGCAATATACCGAGCTCTTATGCCTCATCCCACTTCCTTGCTGCGCAATACTTAGTAGGTAGAAACCCTGGCACCTCTCGAGAGTCGGCTCCTTGTAAAGCTCGTTCTGGGCTAGGGCCGAGGAACGCTCCATGAAGGTCTCGGAGGCCCTCACAGCGCTTCCATACCGCTTCACTAATGCCGGCGTCAACCGGGCTGAGATGCTGAGAATACCGAGCAGAAAGAACACGCTGACAGACCGATGCTGGGTCCGAAGACGCTCCGGGAACAGCTGTTTCGGGAGGAAGCCAAGCTGAAAGTAGTGGCGTGTAAACTGATTGAGGGACTCCAGGATTTCGGGCAGCGGGGGTAGGAGGTCCCAGCCATCAGAGCTTTGGGCGAGATTTGCAGGCGCGAGCTGATTCGCACGTGGCGGGGCTGGGGCGTCCCGGCTCCCACGGCGGGCCTTAGTTTCGTCTCGCTTCTTGCTCTTCTCGGCCCTCACTCGAGGATGGCGGTACTCGCGGTCCTGATCCGGCTGACCACGCACCGGGAAGACACTTTTTGTGAGCAGAGAGCATCAGCACTGACTGTTGTTACCTGGCGAAGAACGAGGGGGGGGCAGCATTGGGTAGGGCCGCCGAGGGCAATGGGCAGGTAGCATTCTCACCAGTCGCTAGGGCCGAGGCCAGCGTCGGCGCAACCTCGACATGGTGGCTTTGCTTTGTCGTGGTGGCATTTGCTTCTCATACGGCGGCATCTAGCATGGCAGGTCAGGTTATCGTCATCCACGGGCAGCAGAACTTGATGCGGGTCCTCGGTTTGCACCGGCCGGGGGTAGCCGCGAGGTCAGAAGCCGCAAATCTTGCAGTCGAACACACAAACGCACCTTCGGCAGGCGATTGGAGCTCTCCGCCGGATAACAGTGGCAGGAGGGGCCCCTACGGTTTGTGGCTGCTCCAAACCTAGGTTAAGAGGAGGGGGAGGCGGGGGGAGAAGAGGAGGAGACAGCGCCGGTGGTTGTGGTGGTGGTGGTGGTTGTATTTGTGGTTGTATTTGTGGTTGTGCTGGTGTTGGTGTTGATGGCGGTGGTGGTGGTGGTGGTGGCACAATGGACGGGCCGGGCGGCTCCATCTCGACGTCCATCTCGGCGCGTCAAGGTGGCTCGTCCAAGGGCCGTCCGGGATGCCGCAATACCGGGGCCGAAACCCAGCAGCTTTGTTTTATTGTTGGATAGGAAACTCTAACAGGTTAAACCTTGAGTTTCTTAGCCAGAGCGTTGCGGACAGGTGGGGCTCGGCCTCGTTTGTTGCCGGCAGGGCAATTCAGGCCCAATCTGAATCCGTCAATTCAGAAGGTTCTTGCCAGGAGAGGAGCAAGAGCGGGCTTGCTTGTCAACGGCAGGTGGGGGGCGGGGGTTCTGCCGGCCGCCCCGAACCAGGAGCAAGATTCTTGGTGCTTGCTGGGGGACTGCTGAAAGCTGCTGAGAGCTGCCGAGGGCTGTCTGGAATGAACTCCGATTTGGCGGCCGGGTGAACGAATGGACGAATGGGCAAATGGGCAAGTGGGCAGACAACCCAGTTTAAATAGTTAACGAATGAATAGAGCACTCGGACACAACTCACAGATGATGATGCGTGCATGTACTTCGTCTGGTCCTGCTCGTCACAACTAACGTAAAGAAAGGGAGGAAAAGAGACGACGCATTCACGTGATATATTTTCCGCCAGGGAAATGCAATAATACTCCGTGAGGGGGGTCTTGCCTCAAAATTGCTTTTCCTCAAGTATCACAGTATGTACAAGTACATGGCGGTAAAACATGACAGCCTGCCTCGTCCGCCCCAAATCTGTCTTGACCCGGACATTTCTGCCCTCCTCCACATCCCAAAGCCCATCACAGCAGATTCCCGCCAAGACCTGAAGCACCTCGACCAGCCGGACCAGCTCCCGATTGGGATGCGCGAGTCCCCAACCCGCGTTCCTCCCCCTGCCCAACGAGATTTGTTCTCCCACAACCGTGTGAATTACACCATTTAGATACTGTAGTTTTTTTTCACACCTTCGCTTCGTCATCAACATCTCTCACATCTCCGCCTGACACCGGAAGGCTAACCACCTGATCTGCTAGTCAAGTGGATGGCGACCACTTGTGGATTTGCGTCGGTGAAATGGTGACCTCGATGACGTATTGTATTGAGCATTCAACTCGAATAATCAGGAGAGGACTAAAAAATCCACGCCCAAGGACCGCAACGAAGCGACCACTTCCCTTAGCTCCGCCACCGATTCGCCTCCTAGTTCGAACGATCTGTGTTGGAAGTTCTTGCTGTCAATTCCAATCTTGCGCAGACTTACGAACTGGCCAGCGCGAAGGGCTCTCGCCAGGCCCCGCAAACTTGGGACCATCTGGACCTTCTCCGGCAACCCAGGGAGCTGGAGCTCTCGTACGAAAGCGGGGAGGGTCAATGTGAGTGCGTCTTCTTGGTTCCCAAGCTGCCCGTAGACATCGAAAGAGGGAGTCGGGGCCTCTATCGTTTCTAGGGCTTGTAAGTTGCGGAGGGCATGAATACCTTTGAGGTAACAAGCGTCTGGAGCCAAGTCCATCTTGTCGTTGGTGAAACGCAGCACCTTCAGCTCACGCTTCCATGGTTGTAGGGCAAGAACAGCCTCGCCGAACCCCACGGTCTTCCCGTTCCTAGACATTCGACGAGACTCTGTTTCTGTTTCTATCCCTTGGATGCTAACCTTGGAGAGCTTCGGACCTATCGCCTCGAGAAGGTTGCGAAATGAGACGGCCGTCATGAAGGTATCAGTCAAGATCAACTCCGTGACGTTCCGTAGCGGAGGTGGCCCGGCCGTCGCCTGGCTTAATGACACCGAAAAGGATTTGGTGACATCGCAGCATTGGTGGTAGTGCAGACTGTCCAGATTTGGCACCTGCCGCAGGGTAGATGCTGCCTGACGAAGGACGAAATCGCCAGCAAAGCTGCTGAAGGCGAGCCGTTTGAGTGACGTGAATAAAAAGTCGAAGAACTCATCTCAGCGACGCCCTCGTTGTATTCCTCGCGAGGTTGGCGGAAATGGCAGCTCTGCACGTTCGATGCTAGGTGCAATAGGACCTCGACTAACTCCATGCCGTCCGGCACATGTTCAAACCCAGGCGGGGCATGACTAGAATATATATCCTGCAGACGACGGGCATACGGCGAGGGAAGAGCATCCATGGGTGCCTCAATAACCCTGTCCATCAGCCGCAGACCACGACGTACCAACATCGTGACCACTAGGCCAGGTTGATAAACGCCGACTTCTAGTATCCTCGATGCCAGGGTTCGAAGAAAGAATGGAAAGTCGGACTCCCGAGTAACCTGGAAGCTATGGTAAAGGAACGGTTGCGCCACTGCGCGCAACAACCTGCACACCTGGTTGAGGCTCTTCAGGGCCGCTCGCCACGGCGGTGCAGCTTGTATCTCGAATTGTTGTCCGCTCAGGCAGTGGTCGCAGAGATGAGTGCATATTTTAGCCAGTAGCTCGGGAGGGAGCTTTATTAATCGGGCCATATCTAGAGTACTTCGGTCCTGCTTTGAAGATGCTGCCGGTTCGATGGACGAAGTGATGAGGAACAAAAAAAAACAAAGTGTTGCTTCTAATTCCTGCCTTTGGTACATGTGGGCAGCGAAGCTAACTGCCCTACCCAGCGGAAACAGGAATAACCCACTCGCGACAGTCACGAGGGGAGGGGGGTTATAGCAACATTTCGGACGGAGGAAAGTGGCATGATAGCGACGGGGGTTGTGGAAAACTAAGCTAGGAACTGCCAATGGCCGTCCTAAGCCTAGGACTAGCTTTCTCATTCACCAAGCAAAGTAGCAGGGTTGTATAAAGAACACTGGCATATTCACGACTGAATTCAGGGCGGGAATCTTGCTGGTCTCCTGGGCAAAGGTGTGTGGTGAGAGTGTACACCGGAACTCCCAATTCAAGTCTCACTTTCTCTACCTATACGAATATGCTTCGCGGAAGGGTCTGCGTACCAACGCGCCGTTGTGCCAACGGGTCGCTGCATTGATTCCGGAAATATACCACATACTCTCCGCTTCTAGGTATCTTCCGCACCGGCTTCGGGTTCATCCCGCACCGTAGCTTGTTAATCTCAGAAACCACTCTAGTAGTTAGGGGGAGTCCAGTCTCCAGTCATGCTACCTAACTCAACGGCTCCCAAGTTACCAGTTACAAAATAGATCTCAATCCAAGCCCAACGGTTAAACATCCAACAACAGCCCAGTCTTTGATACTCAACGGACGGACGGACGGACGGACGGAGAAGCAAGCCAGATCCAACTTCACGACCCCCACGCGGCAGGACGGACCGGCACATCTGCATGTATGTAAAGGGAAGAATGGCTTGTGGCACGGCCAGGCGCATGTCACCGCTACATATACAGCTGGACACTCATGCCGTGGAACACTTCTGCAAGGGGTAGAAATGAGACTGGTATACGGATAGCGTAGACAGATGCGAGGGGTAGAGAGAGAGAGAGAGAATTCCGTTTCGTTGCTCGTGACCCCAGGTCCCCATAGCACCCGTGAGAGAAACCCCGTCCTATGCGTTCAGGATTCCGTGACTGCCCCAGCCCCGTTCCCTTGCCCGCCCATTCCCTACTGATGGCTGCTTAATGGAGAAAGATTACGCATCGTCAATCGGCCCAAATAGTCCGTACCGCCTCCTTTTGGGGGTAATGATCCGTTCAAAAAATCTACATGATGGTGCATTTTGCCCCAAGCCTCTACATCCTAGAAGCATGGAACATTACATGTAATCGCTCTATCCTCATCCCGATAAGATCCGCATAAAAAAAGGGGGAGAAAAATGACATTGCCAGCAGCCGCAGCAAGTGTTATGGAATAGTGAAGTGACTTCTAGGGGTATGGTGTCGGATTGAAGGGTCATAGGGTCTATATACACATTATCTGTGCATCTCTGTGCTGTGTCATGTGCCGTGCCGTGCCGTGCCATATCATCGTGTGTATGCTGCTGCGCCGGGAAGGGCGGGGGGGTGGTGGTGGGGGTGTGCTTCTCGGAGCTGTCTGTTGGGGAATCAAGCCATGGAGACGACGCCGATGCCTGCTAGGAAGCTTGGGCAGGAGAGCCAAGAACAACAGTGCCGTGTTTGTTGGCCGGGCTCAGGTCTCTCACGTCTGCTGCATGACGGTCTGCGTTCCACCAATTTGCCGCTTGACCTGTTCGCGGGCCCAACGAGCGGTCTCCATGGTGCGGGACTGGAACTCTCGGTTCGCCCGCGTCTCCTTGATCATCGCCGTGACCCATTCTTGGCGGAATGCGTCAGCTAGCTGGCCGTTAGGATACGCGTCTGCGAGATCGCTGTTGCGAGTTAGTTATCAAAATCGAAACAAGCAAGATTGTGAATAAATTACCCGATAACACCCATGGCAGATCGCATCAATGCCTCGCTGCGGTTAGCATCGTTGGCAATGCTGTTCAGCAGCTCGAAGACGGAGGGCACAAATGGCTGGAGGACGCCGGCTGGAGTGGCCGAGTTAGTAGGCGAGTGAGAGAGAGGCAAGGGGGCTTCTTGTCGGGGATGTACATACTCTTGCCACTGGTCTTCATTGCGCCAATGATACCGCCCCACGCATCCATAATGCCTTCGCGCAGCGCAACGACGTAGTCGAACATCTCATAAGAACCATCCGCGCCAGCGGTGATAGTGGCAGCTTGCTGCAATACCTGGGCAACAACGGTAAGGTATGTCTCGAAGTGCCCGCTGATAGCACCGGCAATATCACCAAAACATTGGAGAATAGCGGGCTTGAATTGATTGGCGAGTGCAGTGCTCTGGAAGAAGAAAAAGAATGAAGGTTAGAAAAAAGATCGGTGACGACGGGGTAGAACAGGTGTGACAAACCCGGAGATTGCTCAGAAGATAATTCATGAAGTTGTCGCAGTACGGCTGGCTGCGCTCCCCCATAGAGCGAGTGATGTCACTGACAAGGCCAATAGCCATTGAGCAGAGACTCGGCTCCTCCTGGTTGGACAGGGCATTGTAGAGGAAAGGAGAGAAGGCATCCATGTACTTGACAAAGTCCTCCTCCATCGCGTTTGCAAGACTGCTGATGGCAGCGAACACCGATTCCGGGACGCTCGATTTACCATTAACGGTGCTGAGGATCTGTAGAAGGATCTGCATGATCCTATCGCCCTGGGGGCCGACTTCCTTGTCCAGGCGCTGAATAGTGGCTTGCAGGACGGTGCAGAGACTTGTCTGTATATCCTCCAAGATAATCCTGTCCTCGACGCTGACAACCTGTTGCTGAAGAGGAAGGGTCTCTTCGAGGCGCTGAATGGCAACGGTGGAGAGGGATGCAATGGCGCTGAGGCTGTCGTTCGCGGCGCTTTGCACGAAGACGTTCAGGACCTCATACGCCGCGGTCCTCACAGAAGGCTCCCCGTCCATCCTGCCGGTCACGGTCAAGAGATTGCTAACGCTCTGGTTGAAATGGGGGGTGAGGGGGTTCTGTGCAGCACCCAGTTCACCGGCAAACCGCTCGGCAACGTTCATCAGCGCCCAGCAGCACGACGCCGCCATCTTAGGATTGTTCATCAGTCCGTTAAAGAGCGAACGGATTAGGGGGTCGAGATGCTGCTCCGGGTCAAGAGCGTCGGAGCAGGCCTCGGTGATGCGGCCGAGAGCATAGGCGGTGGAGTCCCGCACATGAACGGACGGGTCCTCCATCATACTAATCAGAGGCTGAATACCCGACTTCACGATAGGATCCAACAGCTTCTCCTCAGGGCCGTCCATAATGGCGCCGAACGCAGAGACCGCGGCGTCTCGGTTGTGCCAGTCCTCGTGGCGCAGGTTGGCTTCGACGAACTGAATGACGGGCTGAATAACTGCCGCGCCGACCGCCTGAGCGTACAGCTGCAGGCATTGATAGGCGGCACGTGAGATGTTGTATTCATCGTCTGCGGCATCCTCGTCCTGTTTTGTCAAAAGACCGAGAAGAACCGGCACGACTTCGTTTGTCGCCACGCGGCTGAAGTTGTAGAACGGCCGCATCTGGTCGGAGCTCTCGACCTGAGCGTTGTCATCTTCGATGGCAATTTCCTCCTCGCACACGGTGCTCCAGAACTCAACAGCAAGCTTCGCCACATCTTCATCGGCGCTCTTCATGCCCAAAATGGTGAGACCAAAAAGAGCCTTCTCCATGTAAAACCTCATGTTCTCGTAGTAAAGTGCCATGATGCGGTTCAGGCAGCCAAAGGCGCCCTGTTGTATCCGCGAATCCTCGGCCTGGGTGGCCTCGCAAACGACCTGCATGATGTAGTTGCGCTCGCCTTCGTGCTTGAAGTTGTTGCCGACGAACTCGAGCGAATCTCCGAGGGCAGTGATGGCGGCAAGGCGGACCTCGCCGTTGGACTCTTCCTTGCGCGCACCTTGAACGACGGCCGTCAGGATAGCGTTGGAATGGGCGACCAGGCTGTTTCTAAGCTCCGCATCTTGACTCTCACAAACGAACCCGATTGTGGTCAGGGAAGACTGCTTCTGGTGCTGGGTACCCTCGCTGACATTCCGCACGAGCGAGTGCATGAGATCGGGCCACTGGTTCCGCGGCAACTCGATCGCAGCAATCGCGGCGACGACTTGGGCCGTCGCCTGGCCGGCTTGTGCATTGGTGGATCCGAGCGTCTCCAGAGCTAGCTGCTTGATGCGCGTCTTGCTCTCTTGATCGGTCTGGTTAAGCCATTTCGCTTGTAGTTCGGTTTGCCTCGCAGTCTCGCGCGCACTAAAGGCGTTCTTCAGGGCAATACCGGCCGCGGCTCGAATATGACCCTCGGTGCTCTCATTCGATAAGGCTTGAACGAGTGTGAGGAGGTAGTGCGACTGGGAGGCAAATCCAGGTTAGTAAAGTAGGCTCGTGATCAACGGAGCATGTGAAGATGGTCTTACAAAGTTGGCCTCCGCGGCGTGGGTAAGTTGCTGCTCGGCCGCATTTCGCAGAGCCGCGTCTAGGGGGAAGCAGTCAGCAAGAAGAATCGCCTTGATTGCAGGGGCTCGGCGCGGTTTGAGCAGCCCAGCAACGGGTTTCGGAACGCGGATGCACTAACCAGGACTCAACGAGTTGGTGAGGACAGTGTTGATGTCCGGTGTGCCTTCCATGGTTGCGGTCTGAATACTGCGGCCAAAGATCAAGGTGATGGAAAGCGGGGGCTGCGAAAGTAAAAGAGGAAGCGTTGCTAGGGAGAAGGACGATGCCGTTCGCAGCTAAAGTTTGCGCGGAACACAGGCGGGGCCGTGGGATCCACAGGGTATCGGACAAGACTGGGTTTGAAATCGCAGGTCGGCAAAAGACGTCCAAAGTGCCTTTTGGCGCAGAGGATAACGTACGGCCGCCCAAGTGATGAAGGGTTCGGAAGTGCTGAGAGTCAGCGGAAGTTGAGGTGCGCGGGTTTGTGTGGTTTGTTCGAATTTTTTGTTGTCAACAATCGCAGGTCCCGGGTTTGGTGACTGTGGATGCCGCCAATAGGTAACTAATGCCACACACGGGCGACTGCCTAGCAGGTGTCGAGACAGGGCTACGTAGCTGAATTAGAAGAAAAGCGTGCTGCAAAGGAGTGTGTCGAAGGAGACGAAAGTCTTTTGCACCAACGACAAAGACGAGGATGCTGGGAGAACTTCTTGCTGGCTTCGAGAAAAGGCCAAAGGCAGTAGAAAAAGCGGTCTTTGAGTTAGATGATGCGGAGTTGGCGAGGCAATCCAACGCCCAGTTGGCAAGCAGCGGTGGGAAGGTCTCGATTGCCACGAATCCGCACTGTATGACTGGGGTTCTTACTACGAGCAATCATGCGAAGTGATTTCCTGGACACAGTATGAATCCGTAGGGCTACGCAGTCATCAGAAAAGGTGCCGCCCCCGCAGCTGCACAAGAATGGGGGGGCTCGACCGGTCGAGAATCGAACAACCGACCCCCAGTTAACAACAACGGGGCCCAGCACCTGCATCATCAAACCCATACGAAATCCATAATTCTCCATGTATGGAATCAGGATGACGCGGTGAATAGTCACTTGGGTGCCTTGACTCTCACCTCTCTGGAACAAACCGCGAGCATTCGCCCCTCTGGTGGGTTTGAGAAACAAATGGAAGCCAGCAAACCCCTGCTTGACCGCCGCTGTTTCCCGGGCACCTACTGAGAAGAACAACTTGCATCTCTTTTTAACAGCCGGCATCCTTCGTTTGCTCAAGTTGCGATGCCCGTGGCACTATGAGCCTTGAGAGTCCGATGTGACAGAGCGGTTAAGAGGAAGAAGCAATTCCAGTGTGCATGGGACGTCTCATTATTTGCTCTGCGTGGGTTCATCAGCCTTCGCCGCCGTGAAAGCCATCGAACTTCACATGCAAGCCAAGGGCTCCCAACCCTAACCCATATCAAGGCCCCTTTCCACGCGTTTCGAGAATGAGCAGCGCAGGGCCCGTCGCTCTTGGCGGCCTCCTCGGGTTGACAACACGTCAATCAAGACAAAGCACTGAGTGCCCAAGTGTTGTAACAGGGAGGACAGTGGAGGTAAGGTACCCAGCACGATGCAATCCAGGCTTTGTCAATAGAACGTGTCTCAAAACGACGCCTTCGGTATCAGCAGTAGCAAACAGCCAACTTTTTTGGAGCCCCCATTGTTTCCTTTTGATGTTTCCCGCAACAGATTACCTCCTCAGCAAGTTCGTGGGCAAAATGATAGCTAGGTAGTGTAGGGCCGCCCAGATTACACGTCCGCCGCCTTCGCCTCGAGAACGTTGATGAAGTCAGGCGGTGCTGGCCCGTTGGCGGTCGCTTTTGAGAGGACAGGGCTTCCTTGCCGACTCGGGGTGAACTGCATCGGTATTAGTTTCAAGACGTCATTGATAACTCGCAATTCGAAAAGAAAACGGGATAACCCCTGCGTTTGAGTAAAACTTACGTTGCTGGCAGCGCTCAGAAGAGCGATCAGGGAGCTCTGGACCACATCCTCATCGATACCCACGCCCCATACCTTCTTCTTCGTACCAGCCGCCGTGCACTCGATATATGTCGCGGCTTTGACATCACGGCCCCGACCAACGGCATGCTCTTTGTAGTCCTGGACGTCGAGGTCTATGCCAACGGTCCGCAGGGCGTTAGCCAAGCTGGATATGGGGCCGTTGCCACGGCCGCGGAGTTTGTATTCGAGGCCGTCGATCGATATAACACCCTCAAACAGTCTCCTAAGACCCGTCGTATCCTGTGTCTTACCCGGTTCGGGGGGGGCTGGCGACGCGGATCGGTCGGGCGAAATGGTGTAGTCGACGATGCTGAAGCGGGGGCTTTGGGTAAGGAAGTAAGTCTGCCGGAACAGGTCTGTGATTTCAGTGGGAAGGAGCTCCCGCCCCTTCTTCTCTGCCATGTTTTGGACGACCTGGGAAAAGGCGACTTGGAGACCACGAGGCAGGTCAAGATGCAAGTGCTGCTGGATGATCCAGGCGGCGCCGCCCTTGCCGCTCTGCGAATTGACGCGGATGACGGCCTGGTAATCCCGCCCGATATCCTTAGGGTCGATAGGGAGGTAGGGAACCTGCCAGTAGTCGTCGTAGCCCTTGCCCTCATTCTCGCGCACCTGGAATCCCTTCTTGATGGCATCCTGGTGCGAGCCGCTAAAGGCACACACCACCAGAGAGCCTCCGTATGGCGCACGTGGATGCACCTCGATTTTGTTGCATTCCTCCACTATCCTAATGACCTTGCCGAGATCGGAAAAATCTATGTTGGGCGTCACGCCCTGGGTGTAGAGGTTCAAGGCGAGGGTGACGAGGTCGACGTTGCCGGTCCGCTCTCCGTTTCCGAAGAGACATCCTTCAACTCTATCCGCGCCAGCCATCTGGCCCAACTCGGCCGCTGCTGTTGCAGTATTCCTATCGTTGTGTGGATGGAGGGATACACAAATCTTCTCGCGTTCCGTGATGTTGCGGCAAAAGAACTCGATTTGGTCGGCGTAGACGTTCGGGGTCGCCACCTCAACCGTCGCAGGGAGGTTGAAGATGATGGGGTTCTCGACTGTGGGCTCCCAAGCCTGCTTTACGGCCTCGCAGATGCGCACGACAAACTCCGGGCTTGTGTCGGAAAACGTCTCTGGGCTAAACTCGAACGCCCACTCCGTCCCCGATTGTGAAGGGTCATCCTTGGTCAAGGATCGGACCAGGGCAGCACATCTGCTGGCCAGCTCGACGCTGTCGTCCTCGGAAAACCCAAAGACGACCCTCCGGAAGCATTCGCTGGTGGCGAGGTAGATGTGCACAATAGCCTTCTTGCTTCCTTTGAGAGACTCGATAGTGCGCCGGATGAGGTCCTCTCTGCAGGGGGAAAGGACTTGGATCCAGACATCATCGGGTACAGCTCCCTCGGTCTCGATCAGGCGCCGGGTAAAGTCGAAGTCGGTTTGCGACGCCGAGGGGAATGACACCTCGATCTCTTTGTAGCCGAGCTCGCACAGCATGCGGAAGTACTCCCACTTCTGCTCGCCGTTCTGCCGAGGGAGTTAGCCAATTGCTTTCGAGTCAGGTTTCTTAAATTTAATGAATGACTCACCATGGGGTCAACCAAGCTTTGGTTGCCATCCCGAAGGTCTGTTGCCAACCACCGAGGGGCCTTGTCGAGGGTCTTGTTCGGCCATTGACGGTCCGGGAGGTTGAGAGGAGGGAACCTCTTATACTTCTTGGAGGGATCCTTGAGCCTGTGGCGCGCCACCGTTAGTTTCTTGCATCTCGTAGCAGTTTCTGGGGAAGGTCGGGTTTACATAGGCATCTTAACTAGGGGGTTGGAGAGTGGATGGGCAAAGCGAATGCCGTGTTTTTTTCCCACCAATTCTTTTTGTCTAAGCAACAAGGATGGCCAAATTCCACTTGGAAGACTCGCGGTCTTTCGAGAGGCCGAATCTGAGGTTATTCAGATTCCTGAATAGCTCGGGCAAGAGTTGGGGAACAATGCGCGGATCGCGGTGGTGGTGGTGGTGGGGGAGAGGAGAGAACGGTTATAAATGGCTAGTGAAGGGGAAGATTTGAGTCATAAGTGAGTGGAGGAAAGTTTCGAAGGCGAATCCCCATCTGCCCCAGGCCCGAGGAACAAAAAGATGGACCCGGCTTGTGCTAATTCATGTCAATCCCGAGCTTGTTGCATTGCCCCACTATCCTAGACTCCCGATCTTACACAGTTCACCAACACGGACGGGTGGCAAGCTCGGGAGGCTTCAAAACCACAAAAGGTGTGCGCTCGCGGTGTTTGTGCCCATTGGCGGGGTTGTTTTGGGAACCCCTCCTTTCCAGGTTGCTCCCCGCTGGGTACCTCTACCACTCACGGACCTATCCGTGCAAGCCCTCGACATCCTTACGCCACGTTGCCCTTATTGGTGGTTCGGCTGCTGTTTTGAAAACTCTTCATTAGATGCTATGTCTGAGAATAAATAAGGTATGCCTGTATCGACCTCGCGGGTTGCGGGACTTCTCCGTCCGCCTGCCCTAGGTTTTGGATGTTCTCCTCATGGAAGTCTTTGGTCAACAAAGCCCCTAAATAGAGGGGCACCACTGGCTGCGTTGCAGGGCGTGGGGGGGGACCCCAAAAAGCGGGTCTTTTGAGAGCGAGTTCCTGTCAATGGTCTGCGTTGTCCTGACTTGCCGCTGCCGAGCCGCTGCAAAACGACGTGCGGATCAAGGAATCGCATGTGGGAGTACCAGCGGAACGTAATGATGCCACACAGCACCTGATGAGGAGAGAGGACATGATTGGGCAACTTTGAACTGATCCCTCGTTTTCACTGCGAGGAAGTCTCCAAACGGTCATGATATAGTCTCCATGCGAGGTAATTGGTCCTGCAACGCTGATGGGAATACCACGTTGTGTTATCTCCAGCATTGAAGCGAGGAGGCGAGTAAGAGAACGGAACATTTGGCTCAGCTGCATGTTGTCTACACAGTAAGCTCCCTAAATAGCTACCTAGCAATCACCCGAGCGGGTAAATAAACTCTGGTCGTGTATCTCGGAAAGGGATCGGCTGCAAATGGGCTATGACTGCATCACAACTTCTTGTGGGTTGGTTCAACGGCGAACGGTACAGAAATAAACATAAGGAGGCTGTAAAACAGCACGGCTTCGTTGTTGAACATAAACAGGTAAAATAATTACTAACAAGAAAAGTAATGCTTCCTCGACACGCTGTCGGTATGCAGAATTCGAAAAATAAAACCACCGTCCGTCTAAGTCATTCCGTCTATTCAATAAAACGAGCAAACCATCCGAAACGCGCCAGGTATCACCACGTAAAACTCTCCTCCACAAAATCCACCACCGTGTTATGCGCCTGCACTTTGCGCACCGCATCCCGCACATCATCAGCCAGCCCACCCGGCCCGCAAACAGACACGCACATGGCGCCCATCTGCTCGCCAACCTCCTTAGCAAGTAGCATGGGGATGTTGGGGCGGCCGGGAAACATCTGCACGGTGGCGGAGCTCGAGATAACCTGGTTCGGGTTCTTGGGCCGCGTGACGAACAGCCGGATCTGCAGGATATCCTTGCGGTTCGGCAGCCGGAGGATCTGGTCCATATAAGGGCGCGCCCACTCGAGCACCTCGTAGTCGCGCACAATCCAGACGAGCGTCACACGCCGCGTCGCCGCCATGCCCGCGTTGTACCCTTCGATCAGGTGGCGCAGGTAGCTAATTTGATGCGTGATGCCCGTAGCCCCCGCGAAAAGCACGGCGTGCCCGTAGCTGTCCATGCTGAAACCCAGTGCGTACGGCCCCTCGAAGGCGGCGCGCATCGAGATGCCGCGCCCCTGCGGCGCCTGGAGGGCCTTGTTGTAAAGTTTGCGAGTGAAGCCGGTTTGGGCGCCGATGATAAAGGAAACGGTCGTGCCGATCGCATCGCGGGGCTGCTTGGGCTTTTCCTTTTCGGCGGTGGGGAGGGTCTCGTCGTCGCGATATCGGTGCTCGTACCACGCGATGGAGAATGGGTGGTTCTCCCAACAGTTGACACCCGCGAACCGGAGGTAGGCGTGCTGGCCGGGGTCGATTTTGACGAAACGGGGAAGGCGCATGGTCACGCGGCAGGCCTCGCCCGGTAGCGTTTCTACGATGGCCTCGGTGAAGCCGCGGGTGGACCAGTTGGCGTAGGCGAGGCGGAACATGCGCGCGGTTCTTTCGGCGAGCCAAAGGGACATGATGGCTAGCATCCAGGGTCCCTGAGGAAGACCTCCCGGGACCGTTGCCGATATGCAGTGAACCCAGGTGCAGACGAAGGCGATCAGAGCCAAGAGGATGTGGGCATTTAGGAAGCTCTCGTAAAAGGCGTGGCGGACGGGAGAGAATGCCGTGATCAGAATGATGACCATGGCCGCCACCCCAACGGTACCCGATGCGATGAAACGGTCGCCGAGAATTTTCTGCTGAACGCCGCCCCATCCGTCGTAGGACACCTGAACGACCGCCCAGGCGATGAAGTGGATGATGACTTCAATGATAGAAATCCGGCCCATCCACCGGTGCAGGAGATTGTACGTGTCGAAGCTCACGTTAAGGAGGTTGATCAAGGGATTGTTGCGGCCGGCGAAGATGATGAGCGGCACCATGTTCACAACTGAGAGCGTTCCAGAGCGGCCGCGGATTTCGGCACACAGCGCGAACCTATTTTCGTGCCTCCAGTCGAGGATGAACATGTAGGCGATGTTGCTGGCGATGTAGCCGAACAGAAGAAGGGAATGGAATCTCGAAGGAAGTGTCCCCATATTGGCGGCGCTAGAAATCCGAATTTCGCGGTTGTGTCGTTTGTTCCACAGCGGCGCGTAGATGAGTCCCCTTTTCAGGCCGGGCATCTTCCTCCACTGTGTTCGCTTCCAGAACTCTTGCTTTTCCCCAGGCAGGGACATGGCCGTTACCAACCGCAGTTGTGCCCACGCCAACTCAACTATCCTGATGAGGAGCATCACCAAGCCAACGATGCCTAAACTCCACCACATGATATCAGTAAGTAGCATGTTGACCGGCTGGTTGACGCCGTTGAGGCCTGTGCTGTAGGGGGAAATCGTGGAGCTCGGGGTGGCCACCCCGGTCTGCGTCCCTGTGGTCGCTGTCGCCACATCTCGTAGTCGTAATGGTGCGGTCGGAATGTTGACACCGGGGTCGGGGAGGGCATGGCGTGTGAGGTCCATCGTGGGACTGGGAAACCGAGGAAGCGGCAGGCGATACTTTGACAGGCGAGAAGAAGGGATGTCAAGTCGGGGACAGAATCCGGAGCGAAGGAGAACGCGGAACCCTTCACACGCCTAGTCGCGGGTGTCCTTGTTTTTAGAGAGTTTGGGGTGTAACTCCGGGTCAATCCGACAAAAATGCTGTGTTATTGAGGTTGACGGGCTGGGGGGAACATTCCCATTGTGTGTTGGACAATAGCGAGAACCAAAGGTAGTCCGCCGATTGTTCTCCTTTAACCTCAACCAACAACCCGACAGACAAGCGCCCTTCCTCGCGCAGACAAAGTGGGACAAAGTAGCCGTTCGTATCCGGGTCAAAAAAGAGTGTCGGCTGGCCAGGAGTCGAGATCCCAACGTATGTATGTACACACGCGGCGGCGACACGCTTTGGCGCCGCTGATATCCTCCAGAGTTTTTTAATGGGAAAGAATGGATACGCTTTACCAGAAAGCTGGGGTTCTTGATTCAAGGATTGAAGCGGGGTGTGAAAGGCCCGTGACAAAGTGAGCAAGGGGAGAGAACCAAGAGAGGTGAAGTGAAAACAAGGTTGAGATCGGCGGCGATGTAATATGCCCGACTGATCTTCGCTTCCCTGTCTGCTGTTATCGCGACACGGCACCACAGGGCGTGTCAACAAATACCGAGGTTCAAAAAGCGAGAGAAGTGAATAAGTGGTGTGTAGACCAAACCAGAAGGTCGACACTTTGAAAATGAGAACCCGGCGGCTGGGGAAGGGAGGCCTGGAATGCGAAAGCAATCGAGGACGCAGAGCCGCGCGCGAACCTAGCCAGGGCATCAGTTACCTTTTAAGACAATGGGAAAATCATCTTGTCGAGCCGGCTCACTCCGAGCAAACCATCTCGGAATCTTGCCCCCTGACTGGCGAACCGATGGCAGAAGGATCCCTTGCGGCGGGACCTTGGGCTTGGAGAAGCATCGTCATCCAACCGAGCTCGCGGAATGATCTTCCTCCCCGCCAAGAATGCTTGCGTGGGTCAGCATCGCCCTGCATCGCCCCGAAAAACACCTATCAGGTCGGGCCGCGAGTCTCGTTCATCGTGTGTTCTGCGCAGCCCAGGCGGAGGCGCGGACGACCAAGATCTCGGTTCTGGACGGAGTGTGTCTTTGAGCAAGCGAAATCATAGGGTGAGGAGGGTTGTGGAACTTCGACGGCGGATTTCAGAAGTCATGCAGCTGACGGGGGGCGGGATTTTAATTGGTCCAGTGTTTTCAGGGCGCTTCTTGGCGCCCTGAATCTGTCCACACGTCGATGGCGGGCCAAGCCGTGATGCAGGGGCAAAGGCAAATCCTGGGCAGGGGCCGGCGGCCTTCCTCGCCATCAGCCTGCAAAGACCGCAGCCAGGGACTGCTGTGTAGGCAGGTTCCTGTGCTGTCGCGACACGTATTTTTCCCGTGTGTGGTCCGTCGGAAACTTGTTGGCATTTATTATCGTGGATACTTAGAAAATCGTTGTATCCAGATAGTTACGAATACAGGTTACAGAAGCGATGACCGGTTTCCCGGTGACCTCCCCACTACTGTGCATGTACACGAGTGCGGCGTGTCGCTGCTGGGCCGAAGAAGAAATGATTCAGATGATCCCGGAGCGGAAATGCTCGGCCGAGAGTCGCTTTTCCACTTTTGGGATTCGAATTTTCGACGTCATGCTGCCGCACGGACAACGTTCCGACCATCGCGGGGGAGATCTCCTATTCCAGGAAGCGGAACGGCCATGGCTGAGGCTTGAGCGGGAGCGGCTCCGTCGTGCCCACCCGAGTCACCGTAGCTCGGCGTCGGTTACAGATAAAAATACGACGTGGGGTTTGTGCATATCTGGGCCCGTCTTGTCCGCGATCCCCGGTGGCCATGGTGGTGGTGTTATACGAATACCAGGTGCCTGCTTGGCCAAGCTTTCGAGATCAACGAAACAGTCGATCATTGCTGCTCCCAACGGCTTTTCTCTCGGCCATTTACATTAGAACTTGGCTTGACCTGACCGGCTTCAAGTCGTCTTCTCGCGCCCTCCTGCCATCGCACTTGCGACTCTCCCGCTCTTGTGTATTCAACCAGCAGCTTGAGGAGTCAGTCTCGAGCGGCAATACTTGACTTGAGTTCCCTGGCATGGGACGGCTGGTAAAGTGACCCGCCCCGGGAGATGAGAGGGGCTGGCACCCTTGGTTATCGAGCCATGTTCCCCTCTGTTGCATCGAACTATCGCGTCTTCCCGCTGAAAAACGTGGCCATACTAGTGAACCAGGTAAACCGAGTTACATTTGCAACCGTCATCCGATGTGTACACGACCGTACATGTAGATCCGAGTTCAGGACGCAAACTCGCGGTTGTTGACCTGTGAAAGAGGTAACAAAATGGGGAACGCATGCAGATGCCACTGGTCCCGTCGCACGCTCAACAGCGCCAGTCGATCCGTCATATGCAACAACCGTCTTCCGGTTACCGAGTCAGTGTGTCCATGCGAAGGATTCTGCTTCGGTCGTGATGCATCGTATGTACATCGGACGAGTCTCGGCTCGCGGGACGGCGCTCCGCCGAATGGAGACGTCATCCCCGACGGTTCCCCTGTCCTGTCTCCCAGAGGGTGTGCCATGGCTATGCTCAGACGCGGGTGCTCTTGGCGCACACACGCCATCGCCATCGCCAGCTTGTGGTGAGCGGCGCGCGGGATGCGAACTGATGCCGCTGAGCAGCAATCAACGGGGTTACCGAAGTCTGAGCCAACACGAAGAGGCAGGGCTCTGCCAATAATGACTGGTACAGATAAATCACTGGAACTCGCCGGTTCAACAAGTACACAATACTCGGAACTCCGGCGATGCATTCTGTGTGCGAACGATGGATTGTTGGGAAGTTGGATTCTGCGAAGCGATGAATCGGCTCGCCGCTGAACTGCTGTCCGCAGTCCCCTCAACTCCTTGAAAAAAAATTTACACCCCAGGGCAGATCTAGGATCTTGAAAGGCTCGGGGGAGCAATCAGATAAGGGCCAGGACATAGGAAATGCGAAAGAGCTCCAAAGATGGGAGATACCTAACCTTGCTCGCCGTTTTACTGGGGAGAGGGTGCGAGGCGCAAGAGGTTTGGAGGTTGATAAGGTCCGAGCTTATCCAAGTTGCAGTGAAAACCGACCAGGGCTATCGACAGTGTTAAAACAGCAGGGGGCACTGTATCTCGTCATTGGCTGAAATTTCCATGAGCCGGAAAGACGACGGGTGCCAAGAATACGGGAAAGCATCACTCGCTGCCGACCGGCGAAGCGCAAGCACAAGAGTTCGAGGGAATTGCGCCACTCCCACCACCCGCAGTGCTAATTGATTGAAAGCTCTGCTTCTCTTCCGTTCGCCATGGGTTCGAACACGTCCAAGCCCTCAAATCCGGCGCCACATGTGTGGAGGGGGTACGCCCAACCTATCCCAAAACCCTAAAGGCCCCCCCCCCCGAGCCCGCGACCATCAAATTAACCCCCTCCTAGCTCCTCCCAAGCCGGGGTGTCGCAAAGCCTAGTTGAATCTCTCGAGACTAGCAACGAGGTTAGCCCTTGTCCCTGGCCCTCCGATGATTGCCTAGTCCTAGTAGTCCCCAGTCTAACCGTCCCTCTTCCGAATCGCAGACCGACGTCTCGCGTCTCCAAGCCCTCGAACTCCATATCCAAGAACGCGTCGCCGCCGAGCTGAAGCGCCTCCGCGCCCAGGAATCCGAGACCCTACGCGAGGCGCAACAAAAACTCTCGGCCGGACCCGCTACCGACCAGCAAGGGAGCGAGCACCAGCAGCAGCAGCTCGCTGGCCCCAGCCGGCAGGAAGTTTCCAAGGCTATCGGAGACTTGCGCGCCAAGCTCGAGGAGAGGAAAAAGGTGCGCCAGGTGCCTGAGACTTTGGAGAAGGCGCGGGACGAGGTGGTGCGGTGCCTACGTGAGAATGACCGGCGGCCACTGGATTGCTGGCGCGAAGTGGAGGCTTTCAAGGAGGAGGTTAGGAGGCTGGAGAAAGGATGGGTTGACAAAGTGATCAGCTAGATGTGGGGAGATGAAAAGAAGATCATGAGTGGTGCTTACAGATTTAATCTGTCGATGTTGTATACCATGGATTCCTGTATGAAAGGGGCTGATCTTAGGTTGCTGGATGGCTCCGGCGACGTAGAAAAAAGGAAAATTAGAAGGCGCTCACACTCATGGTACTGCTGCGGAAACACTCTCAAACATCGCTAGCTTGCTGATGGACTGTAGACTCTTCCCTGGATGCACCCGGAACCTCGCTCTTTTCTTTCCTGAGTTCCTCTCGCCGCCTAAGTCCCTCCAGCCGTTTGCGCACCCTTCTCGCCTCAGGATCCTCCCAGTTCTCTTTGCCTTTGGAGGGAGCGAAAGCTGCGTCCAGCGCGGCACTGAACCTAGCTATCCTCTTCTCGTTCTCGACAAATCGCTCATTCGCTATGCGGACGAGAGTTTTGAGGTAATCGGGTGACACAACCAACCGGCGGACGCCGTCTGTCTCGACCCCAATCAAGGACTCGAACGATAATCCCATAGACCGCACAGCGACCATGGGCGTTGCCTCCTCATCCGACCGCCGCGCAAGTAGGCTAACAGCCCCGGATTCGCGGAAACCAGCCTCCATCCCGGCCTGGATAACTAGCTGCGCATGCTCCAAAGAAGCGGTTAAGATGTGTAAAATCTGAAAAGGGGTTAGTCGGCCATAACCTATGGTTTTAAAGAAACCAAAAAAAAGGCATACCATGGGCTCAAACTTAAAATGAATCAACCGTGACGACCTCGTCAAGTCCGTTTTCCCTGTTCCTGTTTCTTCTCCTGCCACTACCGCTGCCGGTCCAAGGCCCAGAAACAACCTCTCGTACCCTCCGCCGCCGCCGCAATCATCACCATCTCGGCACCCGCCCACTACCGGATCATGCGACACAAACAACCACTCCCCGCCACCCTTCCCTCCAGAAGAACTCGCACCCACCGCCGCGGGAGCACCATCCCCACGCTCGCCCACGCCGCCTTCCTCCCCAACTCCGGCGCCTTCCTTCACCAAACCTTCATCCCTAGCCGTCGGGGGTGGGGACGGACCGGCTTTGCGTCCCTCAAGATAGACACTGACGCGCCCCGCACAGCTGCTCGTGGTCACTAAGCCCGCGTGCGCGTCGTCATTGTTGATGCGGTCAATCAGGTGACGGATACCGGCGTCGACGGAGCCCTTGGGTGATGCGTCGGTATACGCGGCATCGGGAACGGCGAGCTGGGCGAGAATTTTGTGTTTTTTGAGGGTAAACTTGGGGGTGGGGGTAGGGAGGGGTTTCATGGTTCCTTTTCTTCGTTTTTTTTTTTTTTTTTTTGCTTTGGTTGAGAGGGTCTGTTGGGGTGGTGTTTTTGGGTTGACTACTTCTTCTAGATTGATAGAGATGCGGAAATGATGAGGTGGTAGACTTTGAACAAGTGAGGGTGGATGGGGTCGTGAAAATGGGGGTCACGTGTGCGGGTTGCAAAGGTGTAAAAGGGGAAGATAAACAACAAACTCGAGAGCCTTCGAGAATGTTGGAAACTTCGATAAGTTTCTAAGTTACCGAGAAGATGTCTGAATAATAGCACACTCCCACATTTTTGAATTGGCCTACGAAGAAAGTTTGATCACACACAGAGATACGACTGATGATTCCAGGTTAAGTCTTGATGGAATCGACATTAGTAAGGTACTGAGAAATGCTGAGTTCCCTTCGGACGCTTCCTTCGTCTGTGGATTTCCTTTGCCCCCCATCTGTATCTGCAACCCAGAGCAAACCACGGCGTATTACATGAGCCAAATTACGTCGCCCTGACCTCAACCAGCATGACATGGAATGTGATTTAGAGGAAGGTAAAGAGAGGGGGAATGAAGGGATTGTGTACATGAAACTGAAGCACGGTCTTAGAAATGCGTAGCCACAACAGCAACACTGCTGACAAGTATCAGGACTGCCGTTGGAATAGCAACGAGGGCGCCTCCGTTTAGGGGTATAGTAGCAGGGACGAAAGTAGTTGTAGGTGCAATACCCGACGTAAAGGGTGGGTCGGCGACAGCAGCCACTCCAGCAAATGCTGGTATCTGGGTTGAAGCAGCCGGGTCAGGGGTAGCGGAAGAATTAGAGGGGTTAAGAACGCTGGGAAAGAGTCATGGTCAGCATATTTCTAGGGTGATGTGACGACAGCAAGACTCACTTATCTAGCACGTGCACAACCCCGTTGCTGGTCAAGACATCCGCGAGAATGACCCTCGCCGAGTTGACAAATACCCGGGGGCCATCCCTGCGGACCGTGATGTTCTGTCCTTGGAGCGTTGCGAGCGTTATCTGATCGGCACTTAGTAAGTCGGTGCTGAACCGCAGCGGTTGCCGCGCCAGGACGTGGTAGCCTAGAATACCGGCTAGGTCTTGCGTAGTCAGTGTCCCTAGTGCGGACCCGATCGCTCTGAACGCATCGTTGGACGGGGCGAAGATGGTGACATCGGGGAGGGCGTTTATACCGTCGACTAGCCCGGCGGCCGTCAACGCGCCGGCGAGGGAGGTGAGGCCCGTATTGATTGCGGTCTGCGCCGGGTTTGCAGGGACAGTGAGGACGGTGTCAATGATGTGCATGACGTTTCCGCCGTCAAATTCTACGTCCTGGAAAAGATCTTAGTCTTTTATAGTTTCCGCTAGGGGCGAGGATAATGGCTGCACATACCGCTGTAACAACCGTAGCAACCTGTTTGTACCCTGAGAACACCTTTGCAGTGCCATTTACCATAACCAAGCCAACATTTTGGCCATTGGTGACATTGGAAAATGGTGTCGTAAGCAGAGTGGAAGGAAACTTTGGTGTTGGCGAAAAGTCACTAGCGAGTAGCTTGCCCACCAATACGTGGTATTGGAGTACACCCGCCAGAGCCCTGGGATTTCTCATCAACTCTGCCGACCTCGGATTTCGCGCCATTAGGCCGGTAAAGGCGGTGTTTGACGGTGCAAGGATGGTGATGTTCTGGGCTGTGGAGAGCGTCTGAACGACATCGGACACAAGTGCGAGGAAAGCTAGTCTCGTCAAATCTAGGTACCTAAGCAAGGCCATATATATAAGGCGGCGTACGTACCATTGAGTGTACTCAGCGTGGCATTATTTTTCGCGAGCATGCTGGTTAGTGACTGGGCAGAAACGTAGGCTGCCACGCACAGTGGTAACAGAGATGCAGGATGCATCGCGCAGACATATCCCTACGGAAGGTCGAACAGTTGATTACAATGGGAGTGAGCCAACAACGGACATTTAACAGCGGGACATCGGGGTCATATAGGCAGCGACAACGGCACCTGATACTCAGCAATCCCGAAGTATCCTCAAAACGAAACACCCGCAACGCAGGCCAGTAGTTCACCAGCCTCCCTTTTCCCAGATTATCTCACGATGATATCGACCAAAAAGAACTTGGTCCCTTTAGCATTGACCCCCGGGCATCCAACGCGATCCAGAGGTAAAGGCTACCCGGTGGTTGAGGCGTTGCAACGGAGAACGCAGGGCTGGGCGATACGAGCGTGCAACGCCCCTGTTCAGTCAGTGTCAGAAACCGGAACAAGGCAGATTGACTTCCCGTAGCCATGATCATAAAGCGAAGCCCCTAATGTACAACATGCCATTGGACGTGGGAGAAAGCACCACGAAGTACGTGAGGCGGAGAGTGTCGGAGGCTGGTGATCATGGCAACCCCTGGATCGATCTTCCCACAACTTAAATGCCGAGACCAGCGGGGTCGCCATAGTATTACACGATATAGTTTGGGTTAATGCGAGATAAGGGGACTTTTGTAAGTGAATTGTTGGTACGAATCTTTAGGATTGGGATTCTTTGGAGTCGCTCGAGTCTCGAGTCGTTGTAACGCCGAGGAGTTAACTTAAGGTACCTGAGGGTTAGGAGGGAATGACAAGGTCTCGGCTGTCTTGATTGGTCCATGTCCATCATTTTGCTGCCAAGCTCGAGTTTATCGATAGAAGGGAGCTCGCTCGGCAGAGGGCGGACAGCTCGGAGCAACTCCAGCCCCAGGAAGCTCGCGATCCAGAGGTTACCGCAGTCATGTTTCTTTTCTACTCTTGATATGCGACTGGAAGTCGTCGCCTACCGATGTTTGGAAAAGTCACGATGCAACAACCGCCACCGATGCCCTCGTCCAATCACCATTCCGGACGCCCTGGTTAGGTAGATCGTCTCGGCTGTTGTGGTCTCCTGACACGTCCCCCGCATTTCACCTCCATCACGAAGCTCCCAGACCCGACAACGACCTGGTTAAAATTTTTGATTTGTCTAGCTATTTAACTTGAAGGCAACAGAAATGGCAATGCAAAACAAAAAGCCTATGCTATTCGAAACCCACAATTCTCCCGTGGCCACGGGGATCAATAACGCCGACGCCGAGCTGTCCCCTTGAAACGCCGCTGTAATGCCCGTCATAACGTCTGTAAAATGTACGCGCAACCCCTCCGATCTCATCACCGTCATCATAAAACCACGGCTAACCCGTTTTGCTTTTACCACAAGCATCTCGAATGCGTTTGGAGTCCGATGCCTATGCCGACACCTCTTGAGTCTGTTGCCGTGCTGCGTCCTCAAGCCACTGGGCATAGCGGCTCTGCTTGTTGTGGATGCCGCACTCGGTCTTCTCTTGGCCCTTCCAGCGGCCCGCGCGCTCATCCTCTCCCTCGGCGACGGGGACGGTGGAGTGCCAGTCGCCGATGGATTTGTACCCTTGGTCGAGGAGGGCGTTGTACGGCACCTTGTGCTCGTCGATATACGCCTTGACCTCGGCAAAGGACCAGTTGGCGAGCGGGTTGATCTTGATAACGCCGCGCTCGTCATCCAGCTCGATGACGTTGATGTCACCACGCTGGCCGCCCTGGGACCGCCGCCGGCCTGTCAGCACGGCCGCGACCTTGAGTTCCGAGTAGGCTCGCTGCAACGGTTCCACCTTGGCGATCCAGTCGTACAACTCAGACGACATGTCGTACAGCTTCTCGCCGTACAGGGCCTCGAACTCGGTCACGTTATTGACGTCCGCCGGCTTGAAGACGTGCACCTTGACGTTGTAGCGCTCCTTGACGCGCTCCACGAGGTCGTAGGTCTCCTGAAAGTGGTAGAGTGTGTCGAGGAAGACGAGGTCGATCGGCTGCGGGCTGGCCGACTCGGCGTCGAGCTTGGACAACATGTCCACGGTGACGAGTCCCGTCAGGCCGAACGCCGTCGACTGGTAGAGGTTGGGGAAGAAGATCTTGCAGAACCGGAGGATGTCCATGGGGTGGAGGGCCTCGAGTTGCTTGTTGAGGTGCTTGATGTGCGGTTGGGTGAGGGATATCCGGGGTAGGCTGACAGTGGACGCGCTTGGCGAAGCGAAGCCGGAGTCGACAGAGCCATGGTCGCCAGGCGAGGACAGCTGGGAAGAGGTTTCGGTGCGCGAGTCGTCGGCCATTTTGAAGATGGGTTGTTGCGAAATACAACGAGGGAACAAGCGGTCAGGAGTCAAAGATGATGTTCAAGCCGAGGATGAAGTCTTGTTCAAGTTGCTCTGCAGGAGACGCGGGCGGAAGAGGAGGAGTACCGAAATCACAAGCGGGGGATGTGTCAAGAACGTGGGTGAAAGGGGGTAGAGGGGGTCGGGTGGTATTAAAACAGCACGGGAGGAGGTTTGGTTGTGGGATGACCCGTTCGAGCGTCTCGCAGGGAATGTCCGTCTTTTCCGGGGTTACGAATACTCGAGACCAAATGGCGAAATCTGGGCCGCCGGAAGTGAGAAGGAGCTGGGCGAGAGGTTCGTTTTCTATTAAACGCATCACCGCCATTACTAATGCCTGTTTCTAGATTCTTGGTCATCCTCGAGATATCCGAGGGGCAGGGCCACTCTGGTATTGGCCGCTGACCGTGGAAACCGGGTCAGCATGACACCAACGGGTGGAGGCGCTGTTAAAGGCGCTTTTTCATGAAGACTTCGTTAGAGTGGTGGTGTTTTCAGCGAGGCTGATCACGACATCTGGGAGCCCTGTGATTGGTCAATTCGGCCTATTTTCTGTGGGGGTTTCTCCCGCTGCGGTTTGGATGCCACCCCCTTGGGGCAAGGACTCGGACCTGGGGAAGGCGCGATTCCTTTCAGAAATGACCACTAACGTGATGTGCTTGTGCCTGCGCTGTTGCGTGTTTGCCGAGATCCGCCGGTTGCGGATACTAGGCTCCCGGCGGTTGGAAGATCGGTACGACATCTGATGTCCATTCCTCTGACAAATTTCACGGAACATCTTCCCTCAAGGGTGGTTAGTCAGCCGCGCCTCTCTACAGACCTACGAATGACTATGGTACGACTGCTATGATGTCACCATCTGTGACGTTCTGAAAAAGCGCGAGTGCCCCTTTTTTTTTGGCAAGAAAGCGTGAGAGAACTTGAGTCTTGTGTACTTCGTATGTGAAGTCGTTTCAATCCAGAGAAGCGGCTCGGCGGCTCGGCGGCTCAACTTGGGACCGACTTCCGGCTTGAAGAGACGATGTGGTTGCGCAGCACACCCTTTACATAACATACTGAGATGATTAATATGTAAATCACCCCTGGCCACGCAGGCGGTTTCGTGGAACCCCTGCTCACTGGACACCCTGGCGACAGCATCAACTGGAATGATCGAGTGAACAATCCGAGACACTACTCATGTCGCTGTTGGCTTCCGTTAGCGGCGGGTTGACGATGTCCCTGATAAAACGACTCAGGACAAGGGGGGGGGAACAGGACTGATAGTCCGGATTCCCCACATCAATGAATCATTAACTATGGAAATCATCCAAGCATCTTCTTCGCCCCATCAACAAGCCACGCATGCCAAGGTCTGACCTGACAGTGGCTCGTGGATATCCTCTACTCTGGCAACTCGTTGATTAGAGAACCATGAAGTGCAGTAATTGGATCCCTTCTAGTAACCGTCATCGCTGACGAGCCTATAGTGTAGGGCATCATTCCACATCCTCAGGCTAAGGTAGTTGAGCTCTTGTTGCACGGGATCAATGGAAGTGCTTGCCAAGGAAAAGAAAATGGCGGGGTCCTTCTCTTGCCCGCCGGCTTCAAAGGTGGGGTTCCACGAGCGCTGCCAGTTTCTTGAAAACACTCTTCGAGACGCGGGGACCAAGTGAACATAATTCCGCTGCTGGAGGTGTTTTCGGCTTTCTTCGCTTTTAGAAAGGCTGCATTGCATTACCTGGGCATTTGCATCGATAACCTTCTTCTCTTGTCCCAATCGCGAACCATGGCCGAGGAAGCCGGCGCCTCTCCCCGGCAGGGACGTCCCTCAATGACCGCCGCCATGCGCAGCAGCTCGTTTCTGAGGGATCACCAACAGTATCGCCCACCGCACAAGCCCGAAAATCACTATGGGATTGACACTGTCGTTGAGGACCTTCAGGCGACTAGCGTCTCGCCGCGCGAGATCACCCACTTCCGGGGGGTTCCCTCGCCTGAGCACCCTCCCACGATTGTCGAGAGCGGCTTGAGCCACGAGTTGTCGCATCCAGACTGCACACCGAGGCCTGGCGCCCGCACCGAAAAGCTCGTCGCAACCTTGTTTTACCGCTCCACGACTCCTCGGGCTTCGAACGCGATCCCCTCCCCGAAAACGGCCGCTTCGCCGCAGAGAAGCCGGTCCCCCTCGCTCCGCGCCCCCTCCGACTCCGACATCCCCCCAACTATGGCCCCGAGCAGCAGCCTTGATACCTACCCCCTCGAACCACCCGCGACTGAGCCTGAGCCACTCAATCATCTCTACGGCTCATACGTCACGCCCATGTGCATCACCTCCTTCCTGCACCTGATGACCACGTTCCCGCTCCCTGCCGGCTCAAATGACCTCACCTCGGCGCACCGCTGCATCAAGTTGGACGCCAGCCAAGATCACCACCCCGTGGTCGTCGAGCTGACGGTTTCCCCCGCGCCCTCGCTGGACTACCTCTCCTTGGCCGACCTCCGTAAGCACGAGCTTATCTACAGGTTCGAGCGCGAGTGGAACGTCGACGTGGCGCTCCGCGCCGACACCCTCTGGCGACGGTACCCGCGCCTGGTGGTATTCGATATGGACAGCACTCTCATCACGCAAGAGGTCATCGACCTCCTGGCCGCCACCATCAAGGACCCGCCGGACCTGGCTGCGCGCGTCGCCGACATCACCCACCGCGCCATGCTCGGCGAGCTCGAGTTCGATTCGGCCTTCCGCGAGCGTGTCAAGCTGCTCACTGGCCTACCCGGGCACCTTTTTCCAAGAGCTGCGCCCCGTCTTGGACGTGAACAAACGGCGTGCGGCCGACTCCTGCGTGCGCTGAAGAGGCTGGGTGTCAAGACCGCCGTGCTATCAGGCGGCTTCCTGCCCCTGACGAGCTGAGTTGGCCGGAGAGCTGGGAATTGATTATGCCCATGCGAACGAAGTCGTAATTGATGAAGCGACGGGTCGGCTGACCGGCGATGTGAAGGGCCGCATCGTCGGCAAGGAGCGCAAGCGGGAGCTTCTGATCGAGATCGCCGAGAAGGAGGGCATCCCCCTGGAGCAGGTGGTTGCCGTGGGTGACGGCGCCAATGACCTGCTCATGATGGAAGCTGCGGGTCTGGGTGTCGCCTGGAACGCGAAAAACCCAGAGTGCAGATGGAGGCCAGCGCGCGCATCAACGGAGATAGCATGCTAGACTTGCTACATCTCTTTGGGTTCACAGACGAAGAAGTTCAGCAGCTCAGTGCCTGAGTACCAGGCACACTCCTCGCAGATTTGAATTTGTCCGTTTGTGCTATTGGAGTCGGTAAGTCTAGCCTATTATCGAGAGGACTAAAGTGGAGATGGAAAAAATGTCAGCGACGGTAAATACAGCCCAAATGTATATTGCAATGACCTATGTGAGGATATTGGCTTGTCTACCGAAGGGTCGCGTGTTTGGAAGCACTCGATGTCGGTGTTTTCTGGGAAAGAATGATATAGGTACGGGAGGACTCGGAGGATTCCTGCGCGGCCAACCGGTTTTAAATAGCTGCCGGCCCTTTTTCCCAGCCCTATGCCCAATTACTTGTATATACACCGATCGATTCTCGTGGCGATCATAGCCGGTTTTGTGCAAGAAACGCATCGTATCTGCTTAACTACGACGCTGCTACCACGCATATTACCAGTATTAACATCAGGAATCGTCTCGTCGGAGGACGGTTAATGTATGGATGCCCACTCAAGAGCAGGAACAAAGCATGAGTCACGGCGGAATAACGAAGTATCAGGCCTACGGTCTTTTCCTCCCAACCGCGGTCGATGATATGTTCCCAGGAAGGAGAGGAACGGGTCAGGGTGATTAGAGTTTGATACTTGATCGGGGGGGAGGGGGGGGGGAATTGGGCACCCGATGGGCTTGATACCAACTGAAATGCAAGTATGTATCCTGGCCCAGCATCTCTCGTCGACTCGGCTGCCTCGCCTCCGGCAGTCCTCACCCTGGTGAGCCCACTCCTTTTAAACGAACGGCTGGGTTTGTCCTGATGTCCACTAACGGACGGATAAGCTTATTTGTTTCTGTGGATCCAACTCCCGAGCTACATGCCGCGTTGATCTGGCTGAAGAACTGCTGGTTCACCCTTGAAGTGGCAGGCTCTTATTCTTTTGAAGTCATTATAAACTGGTATGCTCTCATTAATGACCCAGGGCTATCAAGTCAAGCAGTTGGAAGGAACTCAAGTGTCTGAGGGATCGAGCGACCCTCTGCTTGTCCAGAAGAGGCCGATGGCCCGGAGGCATGGGAGCCTGGGAGCCTGGGTCCCTGGCCGTGGAAGAGTGGAAACCCCTTTCACCACCAGAAGGAGCAGGGCTGCGAGAACCCCGACATGATGGTTCCCCGGGACATAGTGGGTAGAGGAGCCGAAATGTACCTATGTACATACCTGCAGTCGAAGCTTAACCGTCAACCCCTGTCCTTGCCGACATCAAACGGACAGCAGCTGAACCTCTCAGCTGGTCCTAGCCTCATACAGATAGATACCTATGGAAGACCATGAATCGCATGTCTTCGATACAGTCAAAACGCCCGATGACACACACAATATTGCAGTGGTGCCAGACGCGAGACGTGGAACGCACAAGAAACAAAATTGTGCGTTCCAGATTGCCATGATCCTTGAAAACGCATAAGTGACGACGGCCCTGTTCTGGCGAGCCGGCCTCGAGCCGGCCTACGGCCGCGACCAAGAGAGGGGGCCACTTCGCCACAATATGCTTGATTGGAATTGTAACCCCTCCAATGCAAACAAAGAGCTGATTCCCGCTTATCCAACTACAGTCATTCGCCGGTGAGAAATGGGATTTGCAAATGTTTTCGGAGTAAAACCCCGTGAGCTTCTCCTATGTAGGTCACAGGGGAGGAAGGAAGTGAATCTAGATGCCCGGAGCTTGACTCACGCCGTAACCCACGCACAGTATCGTCACATCCTTGACGTTGGGCTGGAGGCCAATGCCTAACGCATCAAGGGTATGCACCTCTGCGGCATGGAGTCCCACTTTGCCGCCAAATCGAACATGCGCGTTGCTCCAGTGGCGCTCGGGCCGACCGGTTTTGAAGGCAAAAAGGACCAGGGATGGATGAACTGAGGGGCTTATCGGTTGCCTAGGAGGTCGCGAGGAGGGGCAGTTTCAGGTTCAACCAAACCCAAGCGGCATGACACGAAAACAGTTTTATTTTTTGTTATCTATGAATTCCTATTGTGCGTAGAAGTTCACATTGGGATGGTTTGGCTGGCCTTGAATTTGGTGACTCGAATTAACTGTATCCTCCGTGTATTTTGCATCTGGTACACTTTGTGAACGATCTGAAGCCTGACCGCGGGGCTGGGCGGCAAAGGTGAAATTTGGCTGGCGAAATTTTGAGGGCTTGCCCCACCCTAGTTGAAGTTTTTGTGCTGCGCAACCCCACCAACTCGCCTTGCCCCTCCCGGCCTGCCCATAAAAACTTCGACCCCTCCTCAAAAATCACCCTACTCTCCCTCTTCACTTCCTCGTCGGCATACCTGATTCGAGCAATCACCTGCCACTTTCAAGTGCGTAACCATCATCGCGCGATCTCCATCTTCGACAAGAGCATCATTTCTGACTTATTCCAGACTTTCATCAAGCGCAAGTCGCCAGTTTCGTTCTACAGAACAACAACACCGTCAAAATGGGGTAAGTTGTGGTCATCCACTGCTCCCGCCCGGTCGCAAAGGGCCCCCGATTGCTTCGTCAACATAGCTAACACAGTCAATAGCAAGGAAGACAAGCTCCACCTGAACGTCGTTGTCATTGGGTTTGTCCTCCTTCATCTTGTGCCTCGTTCGCGGCATCGTTTGAGACGCACGGGAACTGACATTTAGCGATTCAGACACGTCGACTCCGGCAAGTCTACGACTGTAAGCCTCACCCTCCAGATCTCTGCTACATTGAGTTGTAGAACAGCTCGCTGACAAGATCACAGACCGGCCATCTTATCTACAAGTGCGGTGGTATCGACAAGCGTACCATCGAGAAGTTCGAGAAGGTTAGTTCTTTCCCCGACTCAGTCATCCGCCTCCAGAGGTCCATTCTAGGCCGATTCCCACCGCGCCATCATTTCCGCCAGTCTGGCACTTTTTCCCCGACCTCTCTGCCTTTGTGGCTACCCCTCCTCCCAAAGCGGGGGAGGGGCACACAAACCCAGCAGATAAGGGAAATTTTTCTCGACAGGCCCACCGACCCCGCATTTGCACCCCACCAACCGCACCGCATTTGGCTCTCAATTGCCAAGGATTGAGCTGACACCAAACCATAGGAAGCCGCTGAGCTCGGCAAGGGTTCCTTCAAGTATGCGTGGGTTCTTGACAAGCTCAAGGCCGAGCGTGAGCGTGGTATCACCATCGATATCGCCCTCTGGAAGTTCGAGACCCCCAAGTACTATGTCACCGTCATTGGTATGTTGCAACCTCGGGTCCCATCCCCTATCGCCTTTCGCTAATGTGTATCGTCTCACAGACGCCCCCGGTCATCGTGACTTCATCAAGAACATGATTACTGGTACCTCCCAGGCTGATTGCGCTATTCTCATCATCGCCTCTGGTACTGGTGAGTTCGAGGCTGGTATCTCCAAGGATGGCCAGACCCGTGAGCACGCTCTGCTCGCCTACACCCTGGGTGTCAAGCAGCTCATCGTCGCCATCAACAAGATGGACACCACCAAGTGGTCTGAGGCCCGCTACCAGGAGATCATCAAGGAGACCTCCAACTTCATCAAGAAGGTCGGCTACAACCCCAAGTCCGTTGCCTTCGTCCCTATCTCCGGCTTCCACGGCGACAACATGCTTGAGCCCACCACCAACGCTCCTTGGTACAAGGGCTGGGAGAAGGAGGCCAAGGGGGGTGCCAAGGTCACTGGCAAGACCCTCCTCGAGGCCATCGACTCCATCGAGCCCCCCAAGCGTCCTACCGACAAGCCGCTCCGTCTTCCCCTCCAGGATGTGTACAAGATCGGTGGTATCGGAACGGTCCCTGTCGGCCGTATCGAGACTGGTATCCTGAAGCCCGGTATGGTCGTCACCTTCGCCCCTTCCAACGTCACCACGGAAGTCAAGTCCGTCGAGATGCACCACGAGCAGCTTACCGAAGGTGTTCCCGGCGACAACGTTGGTTTCAACGTCAAGAACGTCTCCGTCAAGGATATTCGCCGTGGCAACGTCGCTGGCGACTCCAAGAACGACCCGCCCATGGGTGCTGCGTCGTTCGACGCTCAGGTCATTGTCCTGAACCACCCCGGCCAGGTCGGTGCTGGTTACGCCCCCGTCCTCGACTGCCACACGGCCCACATTGCCTGCAAGTTCGCCGAGCTCCAGCAGAAGATCGATCGCCGTACCGGCAAGTCTGTTGAAGACTCGCCCAAGTTCATCAAGTCTGGCGATGCCGCCATCGTCAAGATGATCCCCTCCAAGCCCATGTGCGTTGAGTCTTTCACCGACTACCCTCCTCTCGGTCGTTTCGCCGTGCGTGACATGCGTCAGACCGTCGCCGTCGGTGTCATCAAGAAGGTCGAGAAGTCCGCTGGTGGTGCCGGCAAGGTCACCAAGTCCGCTGCCAAGGCTGGCAAGAAATAAACAGTTTCTTGTTCAAGCAAACAAAAATCTCACTTCCAGGGATTCGGGGCCGCTTGGCTCTCACGCGAGATCGCGTCGCGGTACTAGCCGCGATGCTACGATTTACATGAGCACTCGGGTCGTTTTGTGATGGGGCACATTTGAGGGGGTTAATGGCCGGGGTTTCTGTGCATCAAAACTTCTCGTCATGTGCTTAGTACAAAATAGAGTCTCCTAGAAGTGATCACGAAGGTCATGATTCCCAACTTATTGTTCTCTGCTGCTGGGTGTTGATGTCTGTTTCTGTATGTGATAATGTTGCCCCATCGTCTTGATGAATGGTTGATTCCCTAGTTGGTGTGTTCTACCTTGCCGATGCCCGAGATATCTCAACGGGTCCATTCCTCACTATTGGTTCACGAGAAAATACATACATTGTCACCCGATGCATGAAACTGAGTTCTTGACAGTGGCCGAAAGGTTAGTTTCGTCTATCCTACAAGTATTGTACATGTTGTCTTTCTACGATCGTTTCGCATGCCACTTTAACCGCCCTCTCTCGTTCACGATCCCAGACGCGGCCCGCAAAAACTCATCTAGCTCCACGGGCTTCGCTAGGGCCGCAGCCTCGGCCTCGGCGAGGCGGAAACTCGCCTTGGGCGAGTTCTTGATGTGTGAGCTAAATCCCACCGTGCGATCGACCTCCTCGTCGACGAGGTCGTACACATCGGACGCCTCGGGTTCGATGTCGGGCTGAGGTGCCACGCGCACCGCTTCTAGAGATAGTTCGGACCGTTCGCCGCCGCGCTGGCCTGCCTGGATGCTGGTGTAGCGCAGCTTGAGCGAGGCGTACTCGGCTGTTACGGTGCGCTGCACCTCGATAGAGGCGAGGTTGTAGTCGACTTTGACTTGGGTTGGCGCGTCCGTGGTTTCTTCCTCGGAAGTTGTGGCGGAGGTGATGGTGGTGTCGGTGGCAAGCGAGGTGAAGAGATGTGGTGGGAGCTCAACGCCGAGCAGGACCGGCGGGGTGTTTAGCGTGCCGTGCCAGGGGCGCAGGTCGGACTTGGAAAGAAAGTTGATCATGGCTGGGACGTGTTGCTCGATGCTTGTGCCCGGAAGGCTGAAGCTGCGCTGCTGTACGAAGCGGGCGTCGACGGCTGCTGCGGGGAAGAGTACGTCGCCTCTGAAAGTGTCCTTGACGGCACGCAGGGAGACCAGGCCCTTGACTTCCGCATGGTCGGCTTCCACGCGGAGCTCGAGGTTCGGCGCTGAAGCAATGAGTTCGGGTGAGAGGTCGGGGGACGGCACGAAGCGGATTACAGTAATGGTGTGCCAGAGGCCTTCTTCATGGAGATTGTTGGGCAGGTTGAGGCTACCAAGGGCGGGGAGGACCGGGACGAAGGACCGGGATAAGGAAGTGTTTAATTGGGGTGGTCGGCTGGGCGAAACAGCGGACTGCTCCTGTTCCTGGCGAGCGAAAACGACATGGCCAAAGGTCACACTCGTGTCGGTGTGTGGTTCGGCAGGCCACCCTCCTGAATTGTCCCCAGGCGTGACAAATTCTAACTCTCCAGCAGCCTTCTCGTTGTTCAATTTGAAAGGCAAGATATCTACCGGTATTGTGACTTGCTGTGCCTTAGATTCGGTGTTCCATTGGGGCACGGCGGCAGTCCACCTCTCCCACTTGTCGAAGCGCTCTTGCCACGGAAGTTTTGCTGAGCAGTTGAGCAGCGGGAGGTATCGACCTTGATGTGCCAGGTCGCTCGGGACGACGGCCAAAGCGGTGGAGAGGTAGGATTTACGCCCGTATGCTTCACGCAAGAATCGAAGCACGGTTTCACTCGCGTTTTCAAAGTATTCGTCCCGTTTTGGCATATGAATCCAGGTAACAACCACCTAGAAAAATCATTTTGTTAGCTCTTCACTATTGCTCTGGGAGATATGGGTCGATTCATATACCTTTTTCCCCGACGGGTCCAGCCGCGTTACCGTGTTGGTCAGGCGCCCAACTTCTTCAAGGACACCGATTTCAAGAGCCTCGGGGGAAATGAGGTCGATGTCAAACTCGCTTGTCCTAGCATTGGAAAGGATTTCATGGACCCTGTCGATAACCGATAGTGCCGCGTGTTTGGGAGCGATGACAGAAACGAGTCGGGATTCTCGAATGAGTTTGACTTCCTTCACTTGGGCTAATATGGCTTTTGGCACACCCTCTAGCCATCTTCTGTTACCGACTATGGCACAGGATTGTTAGCTCGGTAAAGCAAGACGGGTGTCGAGGTTTCGCTTGACGTACGGGTTAGGAGAGAAAATTCCACATCACGGAGTCGTATGCTAAGGTAACCATCTCTGTCGAGGACGTTCTTGTTGGCCACGTCCCAGCATTCACGAATCAGTCGGACCACGAGCCGAGTTTTGGGGGCCATGCCCCTGGTAATGTAGCCCACGAGGTGAGGCTCGACGTCTTGTGCACCAATCGAAACCGTCGGCGCCCATGGCTGACGCTCTATCACCCACGGAGCTTCTTCCGGGTTGTTGTTTTCCTCGCCATCAAGTCGCCGTAACGTTTCGTATTCCTTGAAATAGCGGGCCAACTGGGCGCCCGTGAACCCTCCGACGAGTGTGTTTTTGAGTTGGGTAAACTGCTTCTCGGAGAGGATTGCTGTGTCTTTCGGTCGTAGCTCGTGAATGTTGAGTAGAATATCCTCATCCGCGGGGGCGGCGTCTTCTTGGAGCAGGAGGCTCGCGGGATCAACCTGGACAACCTCGGCGTCGTCAGAGACCGGCTGGGGCTTTTTCCTCCAGGCCCGCTTCTCTCGAAGAACAATGGCGGCGCCAGGCTTCCCTAGCATGTCGATGGAGAGCCCCTCCTTTTCGGGGGAGACCATTTGGCCCCTGGACTTGTAGAAGCGATGTTCTGACGGCCGCGAAAGGAGTGGCCAGTTCGTCGCAAAGTGTTCATTGGGAGCCTTTGTGTCGACGTCGGATTTAGGACTGGGTTCAGGATTGGGTTCGGGGTTGGGTTCGGGGTTGGGATCAGCACCCGTCTCCCCATCGTCAGGGTCGTTGAGCCATTCGGCGTCAGGTCGGCCTCGGTAGGTACCGAGGGATCGTAGAGGCGTTCGAAGAGATGAGAGGGCGAGGGTAGTAATCGGTGGCCGTTTGGGGACCCCAGCCAGCTGGAGTCGGCATCTCAGGCAGACAAAGCTGGCGCTTCCGGTCAACTTGCGGCCGAGCATGGGAACTATTGGGACGGCCTGTTACTGCACCACCAAAGCATCAGTGATGGGAAAGTCCTGCGGGGGGCATCCATCTATATGGCCCGCGAAGAGACGGCCGAGTGGATCCCGATGTTCTTTGCAACGAAAGATTATTTTGAGTGGGTCCCACGGAATCTGGACCCTGGCACCAGGAACGCCACGGTCCCGGCAGGCAAAAAAGCACATGAGGACGCGATTTGACAACCGAGAGATCGACGCGCGCCACGGCACCCCGCATCGCGTATTCAGGTCGGCTTTTGATGGGTACATTTCTTTTCTTTTACTTTTCTTTTTTTTTTTTGTGTTTTTTTTTACACAGCGAGCTCGGGTCTCCAGTCTATGCACTCGGTTTCACTTATCCCTTCACGCCTTGTCAACGGAATTTCGCCTCGTTGAGATTGCTACCCAGGATCCTCCTCCTCGCCATGCCCGCGCAACAACGGCGAAGACCCCCGGTGGGTCTTGATCTCACCGAGAAGGGATGGAAGGAATCACAGACTGACAGGAAGCAGGCCGTCCCAGAGAGCGATGACGAAGATATGCAACATGAGCATTCTAATATACCCGACGATGTTGATGGCGACGGCGACGAGCAGATGGCAGACGGGGGGCAGCGCGACGAGACCAGCCATCTAATTAAGAGCCTTGTACGCTATGCTCTTGCCTGCGAGTACTCGAGAACACCGATCCGGAGAGATGGTATTAGGGATAAGGGTACTGAAGAATGTTAGGCTTGGTACAAGCGGCTGCTGACTTCTCGCAGTGCTTGGTTCCAATGGCCGAGAGTTTAAGAAGGTGTTCGCTGGCGCGCAAAAACAATTACAGGCAACGTTTGGCATGGAGATGATAGAGCTGCCGACGAAAGACAGGAATCTCCTAACGACAGAACAGAAGAGGAAAGGTATGCTTCCCGCCGCCCCCCAGTCAAAAAGAAAAAAAAAAAAGAAAAAGAAAAAAAGAGAAAAAAAACCCTCGACCGCTGACACTCCGCCGGCCGGCAGCTGCCAAATCCCAGAGCCAAAAAGAACCTACCTCGAACGCATACGTCCTCGTTTCTACGCTCCCCGAGACTTTCACAACGCCCGCTATTATAACCGCATCCAAGGTCGAGTCCGCGGAGGGCGAGGCTTCCTACATCGCTCTCTATACCACGATCATCGCCATAATCATGCTCAGCGGTGGGGAACTCAGCGACCCGCGCCTACGAAGACACCTTTCGCGGCTTAACGCCCTTGAGAACATGCCAAGCATGAATCCACATAATGGGGCATCGCCCAACGAAAAAACGGATTCTGTCCTCCAGCGGATGATAAAGCAAGGGTACTTGGTGCGAGTGACTGAATCAGGGTCGATGGGCGATGACGACGGCACAACCTGGCACGTTGGACCGCGTGGCAAGGTCGAGGTCGGCAAGGACGCAATTGCGGCGTTCGTAAGGACCATCTATGGCGGGTCTAACGAAGAGCTTGAAAGCAAGTTGCAGGTTAGCCTAAAGACCAGGGGCAGGGTAACGTCCATGTCTGAAGTTATCGAAGAGGGAGCGGAGGCAGCGCCGCCGGATGGCGACCCGGGGTCGAGTACTCGGCGCAGGGGAAGGAGACGGCGGACTGAGGCCCAAGATGAAGAGAGCGAGTGACCCACGAAGTAACGGGCTGAGATAGCCGCTGGAGTTAGGGTATCATTGTGTATCATTCTCTCTCTATGGAGCCGAGCCTTACAGGTACGGAATCGGTCTGTTGTCCAGCGTAGACCTTCCTAATAACGTCCCGCGGCAGCTGGTGAAGAAAGGGGACCTCTAGAAGCAAGCGCACCGGTGGCATGTCCTGTCGGCGGCTTGCTAGTTGCCCGCTTATTCTCAGCATCCCTTCGCTGTCCGCCCGTTCTGTGGCCTGTCTCCTCGTAAATGTCCTTGCCTCGTCGACGTTATCGGGCTTCAGGATTCTTCTTGGCGCGACGCCACGAACGCTTCTTCGCCTTCGCGAGGCGGCGGAGGCCCGGCTGGCTGGAGCATTTTCTGTGTCGACCGCTCCATTAGCGACTGCGGTACACTAGTCAAGCGGAAAAGGAAGTGTGGACACGGGTTCCATACCCGAATCATTTGTACGCGCACTTTGGCAACCGGCTCATTCTCTGCAAGCGCAATGTAGGACAACAATGGTGGGTGTCCGGCGATGCTCGAGTATGTGTCGCGGTGGATGTTGGTCTTCCACTCCCAGCTCGTTGTGTCCGGGTGTCCAGTGCCGATGAACTTGGCTTGGAGCCGTTCGAGTTCCTGTTGGTTTCGGAGTTTATCGGCCTGTTAAGGTAGGTATTTAGTATTTGTAGAAATGTAACGGGGCGCGACAACATACCATCTTGTTGTTCTGTTGGTGGTGTTTTGAAATATGGGTGAGGTTGGCGATGGTCAATTCAAGATGCTTTGGACCAAATGCGTTGCAACGCTCCACTAAATTCGATGGTGAGGGTGGCCCACATGGTACCGAAATCATCTTGGCGCTGCAAGGGGTTGTGGAACCCTTCCCGCGATCAGCCTCTCAGCCTCGTCAATTACGATTCCGAGCTTGACACTTCATCAAGATGAAATGTGACGGTCTTGCAATTTAGTCGCCATATTCTCTTCACGCCGGTTATTTGAAGCTAAAACCGTCTGTGGGCTTGGGCTCAACCACAACACTGGCCTTGTCCCGACCTTCACAACAACCGCTCCGTCACTCAGCCGGGCACTCGATCACTCAGTCACCCAATCACTCAGTCCCGCTCACTCACTCACTCACTCGCTCACTCGCTCATTCACTGATCATTCAATCACGTACTTACCCGACCATGCCCGAGCTCCTCCTCCAATCCGCCCTTGCCGCCTCCAGATCTAAAGATTTCGCCGTCCGAGCGGCCCAGATCAAATCCGACTGTCACGGCCAGCATGGTGATCATGAATCTCTAGTCTCGTGTGCACCATGCTACGAACTCCTCCTTGATGCTCTCCGGGCACGTTATTTCGGCTCCTCGTCAAGTACCAGTGATACAGGAGCAGCCCCAGACCCAACACAAGAGTGGTTCGCCTCCCGGCCCGGCTTTCTGTCAGCGTTGAAGCCTCTGATCGATTCTGCCAAGGAATATCAGATCGCTCCAAAAGCTATCGACGACCATGTCCAAGAGGAGCGGGGTCGATGGTATGCTGAGCGGGTGCGCTCGTCCTTGCTGAGGTTAATGGTGGAGGACCCACACGGACGTGGGACGGTGTTTGAGAAGCTACAGGACCTTTCCACTGCGACGGCGGGCGGTGATCCAGTGGCATTGGCCAGAGAGGTGGCCGATATCCTCAGGAAGGGGCCGTTGGCACCTGAGTCGGGCGAAGATAGCCATCTACCGGAAAGGGTAGCTGCCGCAAGCGATGTGGCGGCAGAGACAGAGGTGTGGAGGGATGCGTTCTTCAAGACTAAGGATGGCACTGTGCCCGAGGACCACCAGAAGTACGTCAACATGCTGCTGTATCACCGACTGTCTATGGAACAGGTAGTGGATCGGATCCTGGATGAGCGACAGACGGCCATGGGCGCGCGGGAACAGACGGACAAGCTTAACCAGCGCCTCGATGAGCTCCGCCGGGCCAGAGCCGCACACGAGGCGCAAAAGACGAGGAAAGCGCAGCGGCGGGAAAGCCTCGCCCAACAAAAAGTACCAGGGGAGCTGTACGATCTCCCCCGCTGCGCCGCCTGCGGGGAAGAACCACGAACAGAAGACTACTTCACCTGCAGCATATGCACTATACTCGCCGAGGCGGGAGCCGTGCCAAAACAGACCGTATTCTGCTCCGAGAGATGCGAACAGCAAGGCCATGTAAGCCATCACCTCCCCTGCCCACCCACCCACTGTCCCCCTCACTAAAAAGTACCCCCTCCCCCAGCTCTCTCACGCAGAAACACACACCTGTGCCTCCGCCCTTGACTGCCTCCAACTCCATGCAACCACCACCACCGCCACCCACCAAAAAGCCCAAGAAGAAAAAGAAGAAGACACCCCCATGGCCGACGCGCCCCCGCCTCCGGCGGAACTACGCTTCTGCACCGAGTGCCTGACTACCCTAAAACAACCGACAGCCTGGTGCTCCCTGGCCTGCGCAGACGCCAATTTCCAAGCGCACCGGGAGGCGGTGCACCTGCCAGAACGGGCACGGCTGGGGTTGGGTAGGGAGGCGGGGGCCGATGACGAGGCGCAGCTGGAGTATTTTACACCGTCTCCTTCGTCTTCTTTCCGGGGTGACGATGATGAGGAAGGGAAGCGGTACTACCGCGCGAGGGATATCGCAGCGCTTACGACGGGATTGGGGGAGGCAGTTAGGGAGTGGGAGGAGCGGAATAGAGTTAAGTTGGAGCGGGCTTGATGGTTGCACGGGGAGGGTGGGTGGTAGTAAAATCGGGCGTAATGGAGGATGTATATATCAGAAGGGGATGATGCCATCGAGATCTTTGTCCACCCGCACCGAACCCGCCATGCTCCCCTCAGCGTTTCACAGTGATACCATCTAATCGCTCTCTGCTAGCTCACTTCACGGCTTTTCAGATAGGATATTGCGGCATCACAGAACATGAACTTCGAATGTCGGGACAGAAAACATCGTGTTGGTTTGATCTAGTAACATAGAAGAACAACACCGCCCAAGTCAGCCGAGAACTCGGACAACCCAGCTACGTACGGCGCTGTTCGGTTCTGTACAGTAGTCGCGATTCGCATTCTGCTCTGCCAGCCCGGACACCGCGAGGAAGAGAAGAAAATGAGAACTTATAGAGGCGGCACTCGACCGCACAGTCGGTAAACAGATATCCATTCCCCCTTCTCCAGGGTTTTAGTCCAGAAGACAACATGAAGAAGAAAAATCAACACGGGTTAAAAAGGGAAAGGGGTATTCCATGTTTGGCCATATCAAAATAAACGTGGTACATGAGAAGACAATGTGGGCTGCTTCGGAGCTCGCAGCAAGCGCCAACGCCCTCAGAACAGAACTCCCTTAATGCCATCCATGACCGGCAGAACCGTTGGCCCATCCACCGCGGCTCATCCGAGCCAAAAGGACTCGTTATGAAAATAGAGAGAAAAAAAAGTCGTGAAGACCGAATGGTGATTGTTGTTGGTAAAAAAGAAAACCGGCTTGGGTATGATGTCGTCGCGATCTGAGGCCCACTAAAGTAGACACTGGAGAACAAGAAGGTCGAGATTGGTATCAACGAGCAAGGCAGGGGGCCTGAGGGCCCATGTGGTGCGCGCTCAATCCCCACTGCTGTAAAGAGTGGAAATACTGACGTGGCTGACCTCAGTAATGTTGGGGTAAGCGTAAGGCAGGCAAAGGCCCGATCAGTCCTCGGGCGTTATTTCACCGATGTCCCTTGGCCCCTTGCTGCTTGAGCCTGCTCGTTCTCCAACCTTCATACCATTGTTCCCTGCTAAGCTCGCGGAGCTCGCCCCGCCACTCGCTGAAGACGGTGTCTTTGAGGCGGACAAAATCGCAGTGCTCCTCGTTGTACGGATCGGCAAACCCCCATGGAAACTGGCGTCCAATGACTTCAGGCTCGTAGATGTCCGGGCTGAGTATCGACAAGGGCAAAAATGGCACCTCGTCCTCCTTGAGGGTCTCCTCTGTGGCCTTGTGCCGACGGACGGAACCGCTAGAGAGCCGCTTCGGTTTAGGCGACGAGTCTTGGCTCTGGATTGGCAACTCCGAGCCTTCCTCGCCCGCCTCAACAGCTTCACCCTCCTCACTGAGCTCCGAAGCCTGGTCTTCGTCCTCCTCGTCGATCCTGGCGGGGTCGATGCTGGAATCGTCGTCGTCGTCGAGGCCAAGGGCTTCCAACGGGTCAAGGTTTGCCTTTTTGAGGCTTTCCGCGACCGTCCGCTTGAGCATGCTCATGTGCTTAGTCGTGATGGTGTCGGCCTTGGCGATGACAGGAATGACGGTGGTTTTTCCCTGCAACGTCCTCAAGACCTGCAAATCAAGATCCTCGTCCAGGCCACCCAGGATGCGGGTATGTGGGATATGTTTTCCTCCGTTTTGCTTGCCGTTCGCAGATGCGGCCCTAGCTGCCACAATGTTGCGGTCGAGGCGCGAGGGGTCGAGGACGAGGAAAACCGCATGAATGTGGGTATCCTGTACCCCGGGGGACCGGATCACCTTCATCTCCTCGGCAAAGGTCTCCTCAAATTTGCTCTCGAGGAAGCTCGACATCTCGCGAAGCTGCAGGTCCACCACATTCTTCTCAAGGCCTTCGGAATCCCACAGGGTGAGGCCGATACGCTCGCTATCGATTTCGGTCTCCAGATAGTGGGGGATGAAGTTGCCGGAAGGCGGCGCCCTTGGGGGCTCGTCATGCTCGACAGTGCTCTTCGCCCGCTTCTTTGCGGGGAGAGCAAGCGCAGTCTTAAGAAACTCAAGGAAAGAAGTCTTGCCCGAATTTGACGTACCAACGATGAGGATGCTGAACGAATGGTGAGCTTTGTGCTAAGCGACGGGTGGCCAGATAATCAACCTACTTAAAAGGAGTGGGGTCCTTCCTCCTCCGAACCCTTCTAGGGCTGTTGATGGTACTGATCGCGCTGCTGGCATAGCTGTAGCGGCCGCGGTGTGCCATACTCCCGGTGCCGGCGTAAGGATCAAAACCGCCGTTGGGGATGGGGGGAGGGGGGATGCTGATGGCAGAGTGGGGTGGCTCCATCGAGGCTCGTGGGGTGGCAGCCGACATTTGCTCAGCTCTTCCAGAGACGATGGCGAGAGAATCGGGACGAGCATCGCCGCCGAGGCCTAGTTGAGGTGCAGGGGCGCCATTGTAAAGAACCGGCAGGCGCGGTGGGGACTTGGGGACGGCATCGCGCTGGCGCTGGAGCTCTAGCTCCCTAGCAGCCTGCTGCCTCTTCAGGTCGCTGCTTTTGCTGCGTCGAAGTAACATTCCGAGGCTAGAGCGACGAGGCGGTGTTGACATTTCTCGATCCCAAGGGACTCAATATGTGGCTAACAGCCTCGCATAAGCGGGCGGACAGCGAACGAAATGGGGAGGTGTGAATCCACAGGTTCGGGAAGCGACTGCAGCTTGTGCAGAGCGGGAACTAACTTGCGATCAACATTCCAAGTTCGATGAAGTGGCCGTCGCAACTGAAGCCGTGCTTACCTTCGAAAGCGAGTGAGAGAAGGTAGGATGTGGGCACGAAACACAGTTCCGTAACGAGTCAACCCGAAACAAGAAGGCCCTTTTGTGGTGGTATACGCTGACTGGCACTTTCAATGATTGTGGTAATTCCGAAGAGGAAAGTAGTCCGGTGGGGGGCAGCGTTGAGTACAAGCAGCACCGGCTGGTGTAGGTTCTGGTGTAGGTTCTGGGGGGGCTTCTTTCCTAACAAGCATCGTGACATGTTAGCCAAACCCAATCTGGTCACTTCCATTGTCGCCATTGTGCTCGGGGGGCCATGAGTTATCTCGTGGGTGCCGGATCGGCAGTCGCGCTCGGTGAATCCCGTTACCGTGCCATGCTGCTACATTTCCCGGGTCCCAACCACGAACGCCAGCGATCTCGCTCGGCTCAGCAGTTCCGTTCTCGAGGTTGCGACCCGCAGAAAGTAGCATAGGTACCCCAATGGCAACAACTTGGGCAACGATCACTGAAACAACGGCCAAGGTGGGTTAAGTAGGGATTGAACTTACTCAGCTTTCGCCACCACAGCCTCAGCTGTCCTGCGTCTGACGAGCTTAAGGAGCTTGACAACGGCGGACAGAGGACAGAATTGGGAATTGGGTCGCACGCGCGGAATGGTGGAGACTTGCTCACGCGAAAGGGAGTGACAGGCCCGAGTCGACGAGGCCGAGGTAAAAGATCGAATCGAAAGGGCAAAAGATGCTGCGACGCAGCCTTCCAAAACCTGATGACAAGCCGGCAATGCGACAGTCGTTCAGGAACGATGTGAGGGGTGTGAAGGGAAGTAAGTGCACCTCGTCAGGGGCGCGAAGAGAAAAAAGATGACCAGTCAATGGGCGAGTGTGACCATGCCGACCATGCGACGAGATTGGCTGATGATTCAAGCCTGGGGGACGGTCCGGGAAGGTACCCTCTCGGAGCGCAATTAAGCCAGGGACAAACTAAAACAGACAGGATGGAGCCAGGCTTGCAGCATGCTACACTATTCTTTCTAGGCCAATTCCCTTCCTCGGGCCCGTGCCAAGCATGGGATCACAGGTCAGACCACCCTAACCAGTGGTATCTTCACTCTGGATCGGTCTTAAATCTGGCGTGGTGTTGCTGGCTCCAAGACGACCCAGGTAGGGAGTTCTAGAAGCTCGGTATGGAAGCCATCCCATCCCCCCGGCGGAGCTAAAACAGGAACAGTCCATGGCTGTCAAGGGTCTTTCTGCATCGCGTCTCATCCCACTATGTAGTTAGTGTAGGCCCGGCTAGCTCTGCATGTTTGCTTGCATTTCGTTCCGCCGCTTGAGATTCTCCATCTGGATGGTTTTCCGGGGAGCTCACTGATGCGATGGGGAATGGAGATGGCCAGGGCCTGGAAACAGACTTTCCCAAGACCAGGTTGTCCCCACATTAGAAGTGGTGCCCCTTTCCACTGCAGCCGACGCGCTAAAGCTGACGCTGGCTTGCCTCGTAAGACGCGCCAGCCAATCAGTAACCTCGAATCCCGCCTTTCTCTTCTGCCGGCGAGACGCGCCGACCGGGTCTTCGGGAACACTCGACAGCGACCCATTCTCGGACAGAGTAGTTGTAGTTAACATTGTCCACTGAGATATGTGTTGCGCGCGTTACGAAATCCCCGATCAACCTATAAGACATGCTTCCCCACAACCTGGTGATGAGTGCTTTCTTTTAGCCTGGATCACGCCACCGAACACAGCGAAAGCGAGAACCCGATATCCGAAGTCCCACAAGCCACGTGCAAGCATCCACCTTGTGAAATCGTTAAGGGGCAAAACAGCCAAAGTGCAGGTTCATGGTGACCTAAAATTGAGCTCAAGGGATTCATTGACAACCTGGGGCCGTATTTCTTCCATGCTGTTTCCCGGTTACATTGTAGTTTCTGAGAGTCTGACGATGGAAAACGGCATCCGACATCGAAAAAGCTGAAACATCCAATTTCAGCAGTCCTGACTGGGGCTGGGGTTGTTGGGTGGAGTCGCGGAATTTGGGTTTGGTGTGTTTCAACGGAAATTGCCCCACATACGAACGCCAATCGATGCATCCTGCATGCGCCTGCAGGTCGGGTTTAATCACGACGAGAGCAAATGGAATGACAAGTCACAAAAACACCAAACACCTTCGTGTCGATGCAAGATCCCGGGCGCTAAAAGATTTCAGGGGGTGATCAAAAACCTAAGGTATGTAAGGTACATAAAGGATTATCAGGTACATCCCCTGCAAGCTGATGATTTCCAAGCAATCCATTGAAAGCCGAAGAAGGTATTGTGTCGACCTAGACCCCTCGCAGTATATTATTCGTAGATGCCAACCTACCCAGGTAGTTGGGTACGGTACGGAGATAGCAGAGAGTGTGCTGGTAGCACGTGTAAAGACAATGATAGCCGTCTCGAATAAACATCCAGGGTATCCATCTATGCGTCTAAATCTAGCGCTTGCGATTTTTAATGTACAGGAGAGTGTTGTACAGAAGAGTGAGGAGATCGCCTTCTCTTCTCAATTCACCCCTACCCCTCAAAAACATTATGCTGGAGCTCGACGCCAAACTCTTGGGCCACACTCTTCAGCCTCGCCTCGACCTCGTCCTCCAAGCCTCCGCTCCGGCCAAACAGCTGCTTCAGCCTGAAAAAGTAGAAGGCGATGTCCGACATGAATAACACCGCCTTGAACAGGAGATGTTGCCAGACATTGGTCAGTCTCTGCCTCAAGGGCAGGTTCCGGTCCTGGAATAGCGACCGGCTAGCCCACTCGCCCATCATTTTGATCCTGTTGACCGGAGAGCCCATGTAGGCGTTGTTGCCTTGCACAATGCGCATGTTCCTTCCAATAAAGATGAGCTCTTTCGGCCATTTATCCTCGTCAGCGAGCACGTCGCGGATGCCCTGTTTCATCCGCCTCTGCATCTCATAGTGCTTCTGGCTTGCCGTCTTGCTGTCATCCAGCGCACCCAACATTCCCCTCTGCAGCTGCTGGTCGCCGCCTTCGTAGGGGCGTAGAAGCGTGGCCGACGCAAAAAGATCGGCAGCCTTGATGCCCCATTCCTTGGTGATCTCACCGATCTTCTTGTTGTCGAATGTCATCAGGGCTTTCCAGAAAGTGCCGTATTCGTGCCGAAACTTGTCACTCATGTAGACATACAGTCCGTGATCAATCAGTACCAGCTCCGGCAGCCCGTTCGGCAACCGCCGGATGAAGATGTTGCCAGGGTCTAATGAGGTGTGTTAGCGGGGGCGGTATTGAAAGAAAGGTGGCTGGAAACCTACGGGGGTCGCAATGGACAACACCCCACTTGAAGATCTGCGCCGAAAACAAATCGACCATGGTCGTCATGACCTCCTTAGTAGAAACGCCCAGTCCGCCCTTCCCACGGCGCCCCTTCCATTCTGTGCGTTCCGGCTTCAGATTCTGACTATGTGGGTTCCCGCGCAGCTCCCAGCGGATCGCGTCCATGTCTGGGGGATCCAACTGGGCACCGTGTACCCCCATCGAACCTTTGCCATAACCCCCCAGCCAAGGCCGAGTGAGAGAATCTTTGTCCCATAGCCTGACACCCTCAATCCACTCGGTAGTAAGAACTCGCTTGGAGCTTAGCTCCGGGTACACGGGCGGTACGTAGACCCTCCCGCGTAGACTGGGCTCCTTGCTGACAAGCTCGCGCATGACCTCGGAGTTCTTCGCCTCGTTCTCAAAGTCGGTCTCGAGCATCAACCGTTCCGTGATGAACGGCACCAATGAATATAGCGGCAGATCGAACCACCATGTATACACCTTCGTGACGACCCTGGCAACACACCTGTTAGCAGACACTCCACAGCAGCAGCAGCAGCAGCAGTAGCAGCACTCACTTAAACGCCCATAGATCCCACCCGATCTGCTTCGCGATCTCCGGCTTCTGAATCTTAATAGCCACCTCCCTCCCGTCAGCCAATCTTGCCCAATGTACCTGCGCCACGGACGCGCTGGCCCGCGCGGTGCGCTCCATGACACCCTTCCCTTCCACGCCAGCAAAACTGACACCAAAAACCTCCTCAACACTCCGACCACCAAAATCATCCCGTATCACCTTCTCCACCGCCTTCCACTCGTCCTGCGGCGCATCATCAAACATGCGCGCAAACATGGCCTGAAACTCAGGCGGCAGCACGGCGCTCTGCATGGCAATGGCCTGCCCAATCTTCAGATACAGCCCCCCATTCTCCCGTAGCAGATCCGACAGGCGCTCGGCGCTGCGGCGGTGCAGTTCGGGAATGCTACCGGCGAACAACGGCTCCGGGCGGAAGTTGAGCTTGTAGTCGGCCGCGACCAGCAGGCCCATGCCGAACGTGCGCAGCGACCGCGCAATCCCGGACGCGTACACCTGCCGGTCTGCCAGGTAGCCCGCACCAAGGAGGGCCGAGGCGATTATGAGGCGCCGGCCCCAGCGCCGGGTGCGCCGGAAGCTGCGGGCGGTGCGTGGCGCGCCGAGCGAGGCGGGCGAGGGGGGACGGAGGGGTTCGAAGGGCCCCGAGGAGGGGCCGATGGATCGGCGCGGGGGAGCTGTCGAGAGGAGGCGGCGGATGGAGGGGGTGGGGGTGTGGGTTGATGCGGCGGCGGTGCGCGGGGCGGTTGTTGTCGGGGGTGGTGGTGTGCAGCGGGCGCATCTCCGAATCGGGATCGCTGGACGGAACGGCGAAAACGGTCGGCGGCTTGCGCCGGCCATGCCGAGGCGCCACATGTTGGCTGGCGGCGAGGGACGGTTAGGTAAGTGCGCAGGTGATGCTTTGCATAATTCAGTCCATTGTGTTGGATTATTTGGTGAGAACAAAAAAAGCTGCAACGGAAATGGTGAGATTTATTAACGAACAGACGGAAGGGTCGGTCTCGATTCCTTCTGTGTCCCGCTGACGACAGCAGATCGGGGCCCGCATTTTGCCGCTTCGGCTGATCCCCACCACGGATTCTCCGAGGCTGATCGGGGTTTACCGTGCGGTCAACCGGGCGAACTCGGTGATAACCACCAGCGTGTTTTTCCGACCTTAGTTATCGGTGGCATCAACGCCGCTCTTTTCGTATTAATGTTCTCCAAAAAGAACTTATGCAGACCACCTCCCGACAGTTCTCCAGAGACCCAGGAACTTCGATTGCACCGGCGGACCGTACGATAGCCAGGAAGATGTGGACTTTGCTGACAGTAATGGCAAGTGGAATGACCGGGTCAGCTCCTGGCGTTGCTTCTAGACACCTCGGAGGCTACCAGTGGCTGTTGTAGCGTTGCTCCGTACTCGCAAGTATCTCGCCTCTTCTTCTGTTTGTTAGTCTGTAAACTTGATACAACTCCCTTGGGAAGCAATAAGTTTGATTGTTGTCTCGTAGATGATCACTAGAATTAATCAATCATCTTTCGCATGCGGGCGCTTCCCAGCCATGAACAGTCTTTAATTCTCACCTCAGTTGACCCTCATTACCCTCAGCACGAAAAAAAAAACCAAGCGAAGCACCTCGTTGCAACACCCTGCCTCGCCTGCCAGCGTCAAACTTGAAGTTTATGCGTCTGACGGTCTGAGTAGACCTGAGACCACCCCACAACAGGGGTCCCTCGGCCCTGGGCGATCTGCTCTTGAATCTTGAAACCATGGAAGTTAAGGAACAACAACGCCAGCTAGCGTACTATGTACAGATTGATACGGTGTTTCGCCATCTCTCATGTCTTCTTTGTCAACACAGACACGACCCAGCCGCACGGGATAGTCAACAGGGACGTGCAGTTGGCTGCCAATCCTCTTTTTTTTTTTTTTTTTTTTTTTTTTATGATTGATCGTCCATAGAAGAAGGCCCGTAAAGGGATTACCATGGTACGAAGGACGAAGGGACAGGGACCAGAACCTGGTTTGAGCTGGGTCTTGTATGTGACGTGTAACGTACGTAGTATAAATTGCAGTACGGCGTAAGTCAGTCTCGGCTGTATCTGTGATTTTGGAATTGAACTTGAATTAATGGGAGCGTTGAGGATGGAAGGTGACGCCGGGAACTTCTATTTTTGTGATCTACTCATCGCCACTTGCCATCACAGTCAGTGTCGTGAGAGGTGGGCTCGGGGGCTGCTTCTCTTGATGCATGCGAATTGTGTTTCGCGTGCGGGACCTCGGCCGTGATTTGGTGGTTGGAATGGACAAGCAGGTACCCACCTACCTCCATGTGCGAGGCATGCGGAATCACGCGCATCAAGATCTCTACTTGGCATGAGTAGTGCAGCCGCTCTCGTGTGGGCTCAAGTATCAGCAAACAAATATTCTAAACACCACTCTGTCTGTCCTATTCATACGTGGGGTTGAGTAACTGTTGATTGTAAAATACATACTAGGAGTACGCAAGGCTTGTTTGACCTTGAAAGTGGGGGTAGGTTGCGCTTGGCGCATAGATGGAATGACGGGTGGATGTTCCGATCGTCCCTTTAGGCTGCTCCGCATCGCTCATCTCGTTAAGCCTCGACAGTATGACTAAGGTACTGTATGTCTGGTTCTTACATATCAATTCGTTGTTGAGTAGTTATGATATTTTCCCGGTAAACAATTGACGAGAGACCACAATTTGGAGCTTACACTGAAAGGCTAGTTTTGATACGTCGTCAAGAGATGATGCAACGCAAACCAGTGTTGTCGCGAGCAGCGTGTGGCTGAGCTTTGCGGGGCAGTTTCTTAATCTTGGACTCCATTTCAGGGCATCCAAGACGATTCGATGATTGGGCCAGTGGAGTCCCATGCGAAGCATTTCAAGCCAAGAGCTGCAGCGGACGCATGGGGGCCCAGGCCCGCCTCGGTCTTTCCCCACAGTTCCCTGTTTCCCTGTAATCAGTACCCCTAACCAGCATTTCCCACTTCGATTCGCCCTGGCATTGCGCAAGCACACTCTGGTCTTCAATCACCTCACCACCAGTGCGCCGCATCGCATGTGCAGAGCGTCACTCCCCGCTAGCATTCCTTTTTCGGGGGAACGTCGATTGACCGAACGAGTATCGACAATGGTTTAACTCGGACCGGCGCTGCATCTCTAGGCCGCCGCCCACAACCGAACTAAATCGATTCATCGATCAACCGCGACACGCCGAGCCAAGCACACCACCACCACTCTCGCTCCTTTCCCATGTTTCCCACAATTCGAATCCGTCCTACTCCCATTCTACGCCCAGTCCTTATGGTGCTTGGATAAGACGACCTCATCATTTTTACGTTATTCCGGTTCTGGACGACCGGGCACCTCTTTTTAAAGCAGCCGCGTCTCGAGGACGCCGGCCCTAAACTCGACATACTTCTTCGACTCCGCTCCACGGTCGCCCATTGTGAGCCCTGGCCACTATGTTGCGCCCCGCGACACCGTTGTCGGTGCTGCTATTTGCAGCCTTCGTTCTCATTTTACTCTCGGTTCTGTCGACCCCCATTATCAGTGCTATCCCCCTGGGCAGCTGGTTGAAGGAGTCGACTTTGGCGTCTTTGGGTTTTGCACCCAGGATGGCTGTACCCCAATTGAGATTGGCTACGATGTCCGTGAGTGTAGACCCCATCCGATACTCGCATTTATCAACACAAGACTTATCCACGTATCCAGGACCTCTGCACGCCGAGGGCTTCTCCCTCAACGCTTCAACCCGTTCCACTCTTTCCAGCCTTCTCATTGTTCACCCAGTCGCGGGCCTCTTAACTCTCATCATGTTCGTCCTCGCTGTGATCGCCCACTTCCACAGCCCCTCCCATTCCCCCAGGTACTTACTTGTGCTGTTCATTGTGGGCATTCTCAACTTCCTGGTCTGCCTTTTGAGCTTCCTCGTCGATGTCCTGCTCTTCGTGCCCCATATCGCCTGGGGTTCGTACGTCGTTCTCGCCGCCACGATTCTGGTTGCCTTGAGCGGCTTGGTGTCGTGCGCCATGCGGAGGACTGTCGTCGGCAGGAAAGCAAGGCAAAAGCGGATTGCCGAAAACGCAGAAATGAGTGGCGAGAATTACTACAATCGTCAAGCTCAAGTTGCGACTGCTCCCGTCCCCAGCTCGTCCGTCCTCCATCCAACGGTTCCTCTTGTCAGCGGCGCCAATGGCAGGGGGGGGGATGCGCTGCCAGAATTCGCCTCATATGAAAAGAAGGATGATCAGAGCAGCGACGAGAGAATCCCCCTCACTGCCGCCAGAAGCCGGTCGAGTAGGTCGCCGGGCACCTTCAACACCGACCAATCTACCTACGTAAACGATTCGGCCAACCAAGCTGAGATGACGACCTTGCGTTCCACGTCAACCACGCCTGGCGCCCGCGATCAGTACGGAAACCCCCTCCTGCCACAAGACGGATATCCCATGAGGTCAGGTTCCGTTGAGCGCATGGGTTCGCCGCCGCGCGGTCCTCTGCCTCCAGGTGCTTACCGAGGGCGTGGTGGTTACCCGGGTCCTGGTAGGGGCGGCTACAACGGTTACGGGCCTCCTCCAGGAGGCCGCGGCGGTTATGGTCCTCCTGGGCGTGGGGGTTACGGACCCCCGGGTGGCAGAGGAGGTTATGGCCCCCCTCCTCGTGGTTACGGCGGCCCTATGCGCGGCGGACGCACTCCGCCCCCGCCTAGCTATCAGGGGCAGTATGACAGGAGAGGTTCCCCTGCTGGCACCAATCAATATGGCTCTAGACGGCCATCTCCTGGTCCGCCATCTGCACCTGGTTATATGAACCAGTCAATGTCCAACGTCTCATCCGGCGGATATGAAGCATACAACTTTAACAGGGACGAACTCCCTCGGGCAGAGTCTCCTCCTCCCTTGCCGGGCATCGATGACGGAATTCAGCCAGGCCAAGCAATAGAGATGGATGCGGCAGGTCGTAGCCCAGCGAGTGCTCCCGCAAGGGTTTGGGCAGTTCAACATTCGGGACAGCGATTCTGATGTTGCTGGGATGCTGGCGCTGCAGCAAGCGAGGACCTCGGGCGCGGATCGTCATATGAGCGATACCAGCAGGTACAGCCAAGAAGAGTAAGTTGGTCCCCGGTCTGCGCCACTTATATCGTGTTTCACTCTCAACTAACTCGCAATCCGTAGAAACGCCGCCTTATGTACCGCCGAGGCAGGCATGGAACCAAGAAGGCAGGAATTCTCCTCGCGTAGCTTCGCCGCTAAGCACACGCCGCCCAGCAGAACTTGCATCGCAAGGAAGCCCCCCCGCCCCCCGCCGCCGGCAGCGTCCGCTGGTGAGTACTACGAAAGACGTGGACCCCCCGCTTCGCCGAACCTCCTCCGGCCAAGAAACCAGTACCTGCCCCTATCCAAACGACTAACTCCTACGAGGATATTCCCCAAGGCTCCCGCAGCCCGGCGGAATCTGAACGCTCCACCTTCACCTCCATTTCCCAGCGGGGTATCAACCCCCGCTGGAACCCGCCGGTGCCACCACCTCCGGCGCCGGGGAGCTATGGCGTCGGCGTCGGCGGCGGTGGTGGAGGCAACCCGATGGTCCCCCGACGCCCCGTCAACCGCACCGACATCCTACTCAGCTCCAACCCGGACTTCGAGCTCCCCAGCCGCGGCGCCGGGCCGTCCAGGTCCTAGGTGGTTATGGTACCCGACTGTGCCTACCCGGCGAGGACGTTTCCAAGCCAGGGGGGGTAAAGTGGGTTGGACCCAAAAAAAAAAAAAAAGAAAAAGAAAAGTAATCTCTGTTTCACCGCGCTACGGCATCATGGCATGACTGCGCCCACATCGTCTATGTCTCTCTGGCGAAGGGCTTGTATATCGTTCTGCTTTCTTTCTACTTCTTCGCCACGTATATAGATACCACCTTCTTGTGATACACTACACTTCGATTCAAATTTAAGGCTTTTGTAATTTATGGCTTGATTTACTCTTGCGTTCCTATGTGAAGTCTACTCCAGTGCCAGAAATGATTCTTGGGAAATCCGAACGTTCAAGTGCCGACCGATGGAACCAAGCCACAACCTCGACATGCACATCGAGAACATGAGTCAATGACATAAGAAGGATGTGATAATTAAGCTACGCGCTCCTACTGTACAAAATCTGCGCGGGATTAACTTGATTCTGCGTTATTGAGCCAAAAACCGTCCAAGCAGTGGCGCTGCTTCTCCAAAGCAATTGTCCTGCTCGCCACCAATATCAGTCCAAAGCATAAATATCCGCCGATGCGGGCTCGCACCGATATCCTCCTTGCCCTCTTCCAAATGTCAAATGATGACCCGCACCCCTTCCTAACAAATGACCATGACCTGCTCACTGTTGCGATATGTTAAGCCTAGGCGAATGCCCCTTTAGATATCGAAATGGGCGGTTGGGTGCGCCAACGTAAAGGAGTGGACACTCTCAGTACCCCCGCCTCACCTTTTTGGGGATCTTCTTTCTCTTCAAGTAGTCGTCCTTCGGCTTGCTGAAAAAGCTCGTGTTGCCCTCATCCGTGGCGTCCACCAAGCTGTCGTCTGCTTTGGTAAAACTGCTAGGCCACCCGTTCAGTCCCGAAACTCCAGACTCGCTCTTTTCCTTGTAAGACAGCAAAGTGGCAAGTGCCATATTGACCAGCGGCTTTGCGACATCGGCCTCATCCATTTTTTCAACCTCGTCAACGCTCAGGATCGGCAGTTGGACTTTGCCATCGGCTCCCAGTCTCTCAATGTGGCTCCCGCGGAGCCGCTCGCGCTCCTCACCAATGACGCCGACTTTGTTCTCCAAGCAGCGATAGTTGTGGTCACGTACGATTTGTTCCAGGTTCCTGACCAGTCCCTCTGTACCGGCATAGAAGTTGCGGTTGATCTTGGCCATGCGTTCCGAGAAGCTCTCCTGCATAAATCTGTCCTCGGGAACAGGGTACTTTGTAGCCCAATCATCACCCACGGGCCTGTGTTTTCCATCGTAACTCGATGGAAACCCACTCGGAAAGTACTGCTTGATTCTCTCAGGCGGGAGCGTATCGTAAACCTTCCGTCTGCCTCCGTCTGGCGCCTCGGAAGATGTGTCAAAGGGACCCGGGGCTGAGATGCCCCCAAAACCAGCAATCTCAGCAGAGTTACGAGCGACAGAGCCGTGATAATTCTCGTCAAAAGGCGATTGAGATCCTCGAGTTGAGCTATTGGTTCCATCATCGTCATCGAAGGCGACCAGGATGTTGGCCTCGTGATTGTATTGGAAACCAATTGGCGATCTAGATTGGTACAAGGCCGGTGGCACCTGGTCCTCAGCGCGGAGGGACCTGGACGCGGCGTCCAGCGTCGTCGGTTTGAACGCTCGCTGGCCAGGCGGGCCCGCTTTCAACGGCTGAGGCGGGCCTACGGCCGGCCTCGTGTTATACGTGTTGAAGAAGCGGTCCTTGGACATATCTGGAGTCGTAGATGGGAGTGAGGAAGGAGTCCCCGGACGGTTGGGGCCAACATTAGCAGCCCGAGCTCTTGCCAGCGTGTTCTGGGCAGCCTTCTGCATGGGGTTTGGGTACGACGCTAGGTTGGTGAGCCCCTTGACAGTGATACGCGACGTCAATGTGTCCTCGGCAGCAACGCTGTCATTGCTTTCGAAGTCGGTTGGGGAGGGGAGGTTCCCCGACCGAACGCTCGGCATCGACATGTCGAATTCGGTAAACGCGGTGTTCTCACGCTCTGCAACTGGGGTGGATGCTCGATCGTAGTTCTGCTGCAGGGGCGAGTACTGTCGCAGGATGGATGCCGTAGAAGGGGGGGAAGGGGGGGCTTGATCCTCGATTGGTAATGCCGACAACAACTCGTCGGGAAAGTTCATGAATGTACCACCAGAGGGAGATCGGACGGGCTGAGGGTACCGGCGGGTTCTCGGGCGGCGAGTCGGCGGCTGGAGTGGTGTTGTGCCTTTCGGTTTGTACACCGATCCAACAGTCGTATAGGTAGGAGGTTTATTGGCACCTATTCCTGTTGACAAGCCTGCCGCCAAGTCAGATGAATTGGACGCAGAATACATTTAGAGAAGTAGCCTAGGTGCGTATGCATCCTTCATAAGAGAGGGTCAGGGAAGGAGGCGAAGGGACGGGGTGCAGCTGTGGGAAAGGATAAGGGGGGATGGCCGATGGAAGTAGCGGCGTATGGGACTGGGACTGTTCCTTGGAGGCGATGATCGAGTGCCCATTGCCAACTCTGTATGGGCGGTTGGCGATGAGAGGAACGCGAGTGCCAGCATAGTGAGAAGCCAAGGGCGGAAGAGCGACAAACAAAAAAATGGCAAGCAGGAGGCCCAGGGAAAGTATGCTTACTCTTTGAATCAGAATGTAGACCTTCGTTACTGCAGCCATAAGGCTGCAGCGGGCGCGAGTTGTCGCGAAACATGGCCTGAACTGAAGGGGGGTTATGGGTTAAACCGCCCGTTCTTGCCAGTGGCCTCGTCAGACTCAAGAACCAGCGGAGTTAGAAGGCACAACCTGGGAAACAAGCGCAGTAAAAACATAACATACCCAAGCCGGTATACGGAGGCAAGTATCAGGGCAAACAGGAATTGCCCTTCCACTCTTTCGCACAGAGCTGGTGATAACCGGGAGTAAATTCTGAAGGTTTCAATTCCACGCGATCCTCTCGGTGGATTATCCCGAGGGGAGTTGACAGGAACAAGTGGAAAAGTTTTGAGAGAGTTTGAGAGAGCTGCAATGCGAGCGAGCTCCTTCCCCCTTTTGTATGTGGTTCTTTCCTAAGACTGAGTTCGGATCATAAACGAAGCCGGTCAGTGACAACAGTTTGCTGGCATTGCGCAATCACAAAGGGAAGTGCATCCACAACGCACCTATCAGGTATGAAGAAGACTAAGGAAGGAATCTTCATGGCCTTTGCTACGGCTTAAAGTTTGTGGGAGCCTACGGATGGAACAACTTAGGTAGGTACCTACCCGCGAGGCAAGAGCATCTGGAGCAGCCTACCCCCGACGCGCTGGCCCTCTTGCCAGAACACCCGACAACCTCACGTATTTTTTGCTACCTATATCAAGGTATTTCCCGATATTCTCTTTGAGACTGGAGGTGTAATTCCCATGTGGAACTAAATAAAAAGAAACAGGTGGCTTGTTGTTTCCAGAACTCAAAGCTTGTTAGACAACCGCAAACCTGAAAGTGTTTCCATCAAGCCCGAATATGGTAACTGGATGCAAATATTTGGGTTAGCCATCGCCTGTAGAAAAAAAGAAAAGAAACGGACGATCGATGAACGCTTGCACTGGCCTTGCTTGGAAGTCGGACGTAAATCTAAGGAAGTTATCGCGTCGAAGCCTGCTTCAATATATTGGGGCTGACCGAAGAGCCTGGGCCTCAGCCTTGGATGATGAAGTGCAGTGGAAAAGGGGTCACATTGTCACGGCATAATTCCTCATAACGCGAATATGGACAGCGTCGCGAAGATAAACTCGGTGTTTTTTGAAGACAGATTAGATGCGCAGCCCAAGACTAGTTTGCGGGACTGGTGTCGTTGACATTAATAACGTAGCACACTCAGTTACGGGACTTTTGCGGCTTATTGTATCAGCGCATTGCTCTGCTTGGGCAACGGTAGGTTGGTCATGGAAAATCTTCTGATCCCCTTAGTGCCCTCAGGGGTGAGGTGTTGTGATGTTTGTCACTGGCCTGTTGTCAAGACAACATTGGAATGACAGTTAACTACCCGATTGGCCATGACAGCGGCAGCTTGACTGGGTCGGTTCGTTCAGGGGGGAAGCTCAAGATCCCATTGTAGGGATGGAGATTTGTGTGTTGTTAGCGGAACTGGTCTGACAAACTTCATGATCATGGCCAGCCCTTGCCAAGTCTGTCGTCGATAGGGGGTGAGGCGGCACAATGCACGACGAGTGAGACCGAGGTGAGCTTGATAGGCGATTGTACTTGCTGCTCAACGGTAGCTTGGTGGCACAAGCTTTCACAGTTCATCATGTCCCCGAAGGGCTGGCGGGAAGCGTCCCGATTCGCCTGGCACTTCTGGAACTTCTGGAGAGCATCAGACGACAGAGCAGGCCACGTGCTCGTTTGCATCTCGCCTGCCCCTCGTCAAATACCATCAGATCTGGTGCCGCTGGTGTCTGCATGCCTGAGGCGCAGCACGACACTGGCATGCCTTAAGGGGTCACTCCGTCTGCTAAACATCTCTGGCTCAATGCGATTGACCCCCCTCCCTATTGCTGTGAGGAATCCCGTTTGTAACACACAGTGGAAACCCCCTCCATCCCTGTGATTAAGGTAGGTAAGTCTGTATTTGGCTGGCTCTGCATGTTCAGTGAACGGAGCCTCCCGTCAGCATCGGGACAAAAACCTGCTTGTATTGGCGGCCTCCCTGGCTGTTGGGAAGGTTTGAAGGTTGTTCGCCCGGGTCTTGTGGTTCGGAGAGGCTCGAGCCGGGCGGTCACCAGCTGGCTCGGTAGGCTTGCGGGCTCAGCTCACTCTTTCTCCCTGTCCATACCCGCTTGGTGTCCACGGGTCTGTGCAGCGGGCACGGAGAGCAAGCCGCCGGTCCGAGGTTCGAACGCAAATGGATGTTTGGCAAGGTCCTGCTCTGGAGACTGCCCGACTACACGGCATGCACGCTCGTTGGGTGGAATGGGAAACATACCTTATTTGTCTTAAATGGTTTTCACCTCAGCTCCCTAGTGCATTAACTCGCTAGTGTGTACATAGCGAGCGAAACTGCGCGCCGAATGTCTCAATGTATCGAGTCCACCAGCGCGATCCACAGTGGCATGGAGATCGGAATGGTTGCTTCGTGCGCAGATCATCAATAACGGTGTGGGACCGGGCCTTCCAGAACTGGCTTGACGCCGCGCGCCAGGGCGAGGCTGCTATTGTTGTGGGGCTCCCCGCCCCAAACCTCTCCCCTGGAAAGCCTGGGCAGCCTAAAGCTTCACCGGTCCCCATGCTGACTGACTGCCTCCGCCCTGCCCGACCCCGAGAAGACAGACCGAAGAATTCCGCTCGTCTCGTCTGAACCAGGCTTCAAGAGTCGCCCCTCCCGTACCTCCACCACCTGCTCGTTCAGCAGAAAGCAGAAAGAGAAACCAACTCCACGCAGTACCTAGCCATGGACTACTCCCACACTGCATTTTTCCCGGGCGCTCCGCCTTACCAGTTCATGGGAGCAGCAACTCAAGTTCCTCTGACGCCCTCGCATTCCAACTCGGTAGCTTCGGAAGACTACAACAACACATCGTCTCCGGTAGGTTACGTCTCCTGGCCTCTACAGCAGAACCGTAGCCGGACGGAGAAATGAGGACTGCTTTTGGTCAAGAGAAAGAGCCTATCTTTGAGCTTTTATACTCGCCAGCAGTCGATTGGGAGCGTTCCCTTTCGTTGCCTTGCTAGGCTGCGAGACTCCGCATTTTGATCGCTGCGAGTGGCAGTAGCGCGCATCCGATTGCGGGACGAGAAGCTTACACAATCATTACTCAGGAAATCTTTGACCAGTATCCGAACGGGATACCTCCTGAACAGTTCCAGAACTTCGATGGTTATGTGCAGTTCAATCATGGTCAAGCTTTCCCGGGCCCGCCCACGCCGCCGGGGCAGCTTCCGGTGCATGCCTCAGTACCCCCGGTGAATGGCGCTGTTCACCAAGCTGGTCCCACATCCGAGATGCTCTCCGTCTCGAAACTCGAGGCCGAGGAGAATCGCAGACAGGCTTCGAACTCGGAAGACGACGATTTGACCCCTGCTCAATCGAGGCGCAAGGCCCAGAACCGTGCAGCGTATGTGGCACCTCCCACCAACCCCCTCTCGCACTCCCCCTTGATCCCCCGTCTAGTCGTGCGTACGCTCGTCTAGGTAGTCCTGCACCCCCGGGCTCGCTAATGGTTTTTGTAGTCAACGTGCATTCCGGGAGCGCAAGGAACGCCATGTCAAGGACCTCGAGAGCCGGCTCAACGAGCTGGAGCAGGCGCAGACCGAAGCCATGTCCGAGAATGAGCGACTGAAGCGCGATCTTCAAAAGATGGAGACGGAGAACGAGATTTTGCGGGCCACGTCGATGGTGGCTCCCAGCTCGGGATCCCCCGCGACCGCCGCACCGACAACGACGGGGCCGATGACGTATAACCCCACCGACTTTTACAGCAACGTCCTGCAGGGCCATGCCAACAAGTCGCCCAGTCACAGGATAGTCACGAGCGAGAAGGGGGAGCGCCTCCTCGCCGCCGGGGCAACATGGGAAGTCATCATCAACCATGAGCTCTTCAAGCGTGGACTCGTCGACGTTAGCGCCGTCAGCGAGCGGTTGAAGCCCCAAGCCAAATGTGACGGACAGGGGCCGGTGTTTGAAGAGAGCGCCATCCTCGAGGCCATCAAGCTCAGTGTCGAAGAAAATAGCGACGAGCTGATATAAGCGGGTATGAACTCTGCACCAGAGTTCTACTGGCGTCGGCCTCGTCCGCAAAGACGAATCGTGAAAACGATTCCCACAGACGACACTTCCGACGACGCAACGATGACCACGACGACACGACTATGATGGGTTAGTTATCGTACCATTCGCAGTAACTCCCCCATTCAGACGCTTATGGCGCCACTGGGCAGCCCACTCGCTTGGTTACCTAGGTATTTTGTGGCTTTTTTTACGGTATTATGCATTGGGCGTTTTGGATATGAGGTTTTCAACGTGGATGCATGGCTTGCGATGGGTTCCTCTCTCAGGTCTCGGGTATTCAACGAGCGAGCACCAAAATTGAACGCTTCGTACCCTTCCACTTGTGTATTGCGTGGGAGAGGGACGGGGTGAAGTAGAATCCTCTACGTCTTTTCGGAGGATTCTTGGACTTCAACTCCAGGACGTGATTAGCTGGGGGGTATTATAGTTCACAATCAACATTTTCAACTAAGCACACGCATAGTATAGTATACCTTGGAAGCGGTATCCGCGATTTTCATCTCGTCATTAGCTATATATGTGGCAAGCTGTTAGTTTGCCGACGTCTATGAGGTAGATAAGGAGACCAAAGTTGAATGAACCCCAAAAAACGCCGTCCACCAGGACATCTTGCTGAAGACGACCCTTTCCCACTCCATACCGTTCGTCCGTGCCGGCTATGCTGATTCCAAAACTACTGTGCACCCTGTCTAGCGCCCGAGCCGTGTTTCACCATTCCCGGTCTTCACTGCTCGGTCTCCCACCATTCTCGTACGTGCCATTACAGCCAGCCTCGCAGCCAGCTTCTTATCGTCGTCTTCGTCATGATACAAAAAATGGTTCTGCTCTCGTCCCAGGTACCGGGAAAGCAGTGATGTCATAGGTGTTTGCGTGTGGCCGCCTTCTCACTGCTTCTTCTTATCCGCGGTACCGTCCTGGCCTTCCACCCAAGGATGCTTGATGGTCAGGCACCAGATATCCAGATAGTCACATATCGTGACGATGACGTCCACCACGAAGCTGCCGTACACACCGACGGCCATGCCCAGCATGCAGAACATGAAAGCGACCTGGTACACGCCATCACCCAGCGCCGAGGGCCAGCCCAGCCCGGGGACGGGGCTGTGGCGCAGCAGTACGGGGCCCAGCGAGTCGATGACGCCGCACGAGAGCGGGATGACCATGACGTTCCAGTAGGGGAACGGCAGCTTGACCAGGTGGGCTGTGATCATCTGGCCGACCGAATAGGCGTTGACCATGCCGGCGAAGACGGCGAAGGGGATGAGGTGCCCGTGCAAGATGGTCGGCTGCAAGTACAGGTAGGCGACGATGAAGGCCCACGCGGCGAAGAAGGGGCCCAGCCCGACGAGCGCGTACCGCGACCGGTCGCCCCGCGCCCGCCGCGCCCGGATCACATTGCGCGCCGACTCGACTGTGTTGTACACCAGCACCACCGTGCCCTGCACCATGTACCACTCCGTGAAGGAGAGGTTGTAGACGCAGTCGGGGATGGTGACGCCGGATGCCACCGCCTGTGGGACGCCGACGGTTGCGAGCATTCCCTGGTTCCAGAAGGACGCGCCGCCGAAGAAGCCCGTCAGGAGGTAGACGATGACCACGGTGAGGATGCCCTCGACCGGCCCGTTGACGATGCCCAGGGTGAGCGTCTTGGTGTGGTACTCGTCCCAGGTCTGCACGTAGAAGGTCAGCAGGCTGGCGAAGAGCGTTGCGACCGTCTTCCAGCTCTGGCCCATGTTGGTCGCGCCGGCGAAGAGGAGGACTTCGAGGCAAGTGTTGAGCGCGTCAACGCCATGGTCGAAGAGCTCACCGAGCGGGCCGGATTGGTGGGTTCGGCGACTGGAGAGAGACAAGGGCTACAGGTTAGCAAATGGTTTGTCTTTCTAAGGGCAGAGCGCCGTCACGCGCGAGGGGCGCACCTACGCTTGTGTCCCGTCCACCGCGTCAAAGGTCTGGTAAAGGAACAACCCGGCCGCCCAACTGTAGTAGACCCACGTGGGACAGTCCTGGTCCAAGGTCGGGTTATACCACAGCAGCGTCAGGAAGTTGGCGACGACGAACATGAATCCCGTGAGGGTGATGAGGTTTGGCGCCATGCTCATGGGGAAGCACTTGATGACGACATTGGTGTAGAAGGGCTTCAGCACGTAGCGCGACAGAAGCGAGTGGTCGACGGCTGAATACTTGTATTGCCGCAGGTTGGGCAGGTATTCCTGCCGTACGTAGACCATCTTCGCGGGGTTCTACTAGCGCTATCTCGAGATATTCCGTTCGTAGTCACCCGATGTCGCGGTGGGGTGGGAGCAGGCCGGAGGAAGGGCGTGCGGGTGGTCGTTGGCGGGCGGTGTTCTGTATACCGGAGTTCGTCGCCAATGTTGACGGAGATTTTGGGGGGACCGGGTTGGTGGATGAGATGGAATAAAAATAATGGAGGGGAGGACAGGTGCGGAAGAAAAGCAAAGTGGATCGATCGTCAAGGTGCCGATCGGAAGCTTGACATTTTTTAACCAGACATGGCGGGCTCCGGTCGGGACCTCTTTGTTCTCGGCATGTCATGCTGCGTCGCGTTCCTTGGTTTCTCGATCTGGCGCGGACAAAAACAAACAAAAAAAAAAAAAAAAACAAGGCCATTAACTCACGAACTAGAAAACGGACCTTTCCATCTGACGAGTCAGTTTGACCGCCGCGTTTCGTCTGAACTCCTTCAAAATTCATACATCTCGGAGATTTGTGTCCTTTCTTGTTTGGTCCCAACTACCTACCTTACTGTGTATGCACCTACCTGCTTGGCATTTTATTATCTTAGTTCCCACACCGTCACCATCCCCACTTTTGCATTGACCGCTCCTCACTTCACCTAGCTCAAGCCTCTTCGACTTGGGGCTCTGGACACACAACCAACGGCCAATCACTTCGCTTACCCCCCTGATCAAAAAAACCCGACCTGCACGAGTCTATCGGTCTATGCTTGACAAACCGTACACAGAACCCCCGACACCGCGCAACTTGACAAATGCTCTTCAATTTTGTGAACACGGCAAAAACGACAAACAAACGCCATTCGTCCCCTTTCATTAAGCCACCGACGCCACCACCAGGACCGCCACGCCCTCCTCCTCGCTCCTCACCGTGATCTTGGTGGTGACGCCCGTCTTGGAAGAGTAGGCCATCCGCACGTTGGCCACAACTCTGCCGCCGTTGACCGTCTTCCCGAGGAGCTTGAGCGTGTGCGTAGTCTGGTTGACCGGCACGTCTGTGCCTTCCAGCGGCTGGAGCGAGAGTGCCTTCGCTAGCTGTTCGGTCGCCTCTGTGCTGGGGGTTAGCTTGTCTCTGGGAGACGTTGGTATCAGTAGCTGTATCTGACGTACCTGGTATGCTCTTCATGCCGCTCAGCTGTAATGTCTCCTCCGCCTCTTCTCCTTTGGCGCCGACTTGCTCCCATACATGGGCGAAGTTGCTAGCGAAGGTCGGGATCACATAATCGCTGCCCGATAGGTCAAAGTCGGAGACTTCGTACTCGTCCTCATACCCGCTCTCCTCGGGCTCGTTGGTTGTGGGATCGATCTCCTTGCTCGTGAATTTGAGGACATTGGAGAAGGTGCTGATGGGCAGAGCACCCTCGCCGTGAACCTTCCGGAACGCCACATACACCTTGCCGGGGACGTCCGTTGCTAGCTTCTCGGCCCGGATAATGAAGACCTCTTCGAGCTCGTCTTCCTCCGATGGCGTGGCCGTCACCGACACGTCCTCTAATACCGTGTCCGGGAGCGTGTTCTTGACTTCATATTGTAGCACAATATGCTCGCTGAAGACGTGCTTGACAACGGCAACCACGTACTCCGTCTCGGCTTCTGTTAGCTCCACCAGCGGTGACGATTTGAGAACACTGCCGAACTCCTTCATCTCGGGGATCTCCATCAGCTCCTGGGCGTACTTCTGCGCCGTTGCCGTAGCAGAAGCGGCCGCTTCAGCGGCCGACGGGGCTGCCTTGGTCGGGCCAACCTTTGGCGGTTTGAGGGACGGGGTGGTAGCAGTAAGCTTCTTCGTCCTGTCCTCAGCATCGGCCTGCTCGCGTGTGACGACCGGGATCTTTGAGATGTCGAATGGCGTGTCAAATGCCGCCTTGTCGTCTGAGGTGACGTACATGACGAGTTGATGCTCGAAGAATGGAAGAGCGAACATATTGTCTGGAAAAGCCCGTTAGTATACTGGCATACTTGGGGAACATTCAGGGGATGCTTACCGTTCTTGACAAATCTCGTGGCCAACTCATCTTCCTCGTGCATAAGCCTGAGATTGAGAGCCGCGCGGTCACGGACTTCGTCGTCAACATCATCCAAGCACCGTGTAAGCAAAACGTCTACGCTGCGCTTGACCTCGGGATCCTTCTGGCCTACGCCAAATTTGGCCAGAGCGGTAACAGCCGCCGCACGCACAATGGCATTCTCCAAAACAACCCGATTGTAGATATAGCGGATGTACTTGGTAGGCTGGGATGTCTTAGGTCCCTCCATGCCAAGTAGATGGAGGATGCGGACAGCCAGCTTTGTGAATTCGCAATCTTCGATGAACTCGCAGAGGTGCGCAAGAGCCTCTTCCTTGGAATCCGGCACAAACTTGATTAGGTCGAACATGCTCTCCACCACCGCACGTTTGAAATCGTAACCACCCTCGTCGCGCAGGATACCGCTGAGGAACTGCAGCATACCAGCCTGCTTGCTGGGGAACTTGAGGCAGAGCGTCCGGATCGCCTCGACAATGGTGATCTTGAACTCATCCGTGATCTCAGACATGAAGCCGGAAATCTGTTTCATCAGCCGGTCCACACTGGCTTCGTTGCCCGTCTTGAGCAGGGTGGTAATGGCAAAGGTGGCAATCGAGCGGTTGCTGTTAGAGATAAGAAGCTCGATATCCGGGTTGCAGACGTTAACAACATGGGGCTTGAACGACGCAATGTTGTGCAGGATGCGGAGGGCGGCGAATTTGGTGACGGCGCGAGGGGAGCTGAGGAAGAGCTGCAGCACGTGAACGGCCTGCGTCACTTCGGCATCGGTGACGTCTCGCATGTCGCAAATGGCCTTTGCCGCTTCGAAGTTAACCATCTCGCTCTTATGCCGAAGCCAGCCATCTAGAAGCTGCATCATGGGCTTTCTCAGCTGGTGGTCCTCCTCGGCCAGCTGTGAAGCGAGGCGGACTAGCATGACGATGGCGGCGGGGTTCTTCATCGCGCCCGCGGCGCCGAACTGCTGAACCATTTTTACCAGGGCCATCCTGTCGTGCATCCGCATCTGGTACAAGAGACCGATCGCGTGGTATTGTGCCATGGTCGAGTTGTTGACCGGGAGGTTACCCGATGATGACGAGAAACCTAGGGAAAACCCGCTTGACGATTTTGAGCTCGCGGCTGCCTCTTGGGTCTCGCTCTGCCACCGCTTGACGACATCGCGGGCGATCGGGAGGAGATGGTAGGATGACACCAGGGCCGAAGATGAAACCGAGGGGTTCTTGTCGACGATCGCAGTCTTCATGACACGCTCGATGGATTGTACTGTGGTCGCCTGGAAGTGAGGTCAGCGCCAACTCATAAACAGGAGCCCCAAAAGGTCGGCAGCGCCCTCGTACATCAATAATGCGGCACAGCGCCCGGATAGCGTTCGGACGGTAGATGGAGTCGGTGCTGCCACCCGTATCCTTCATGATTGTGCTCGTGACCATAATGATATCCTCGGCAGAGTTAGCCAGCTCCTTGATGACCAGGTGGACCATCTGTCGTAGGCTGGCATCCTTGTTCTGGAAAAGCTTCGAGATGCCGAAAAAGAGTGTGGTGGCTTCGGTGGTAGGGAACTTCTCGCCCGTGTAGAGGAGGAGGGCGATCTTGGTGAGAAGGACGCGGCATCTTCGCGGCTGGATCGGGGAACTGTTGAACAATCGAGCTGCGGACGGCCAGTATTGGCTGCAATTAGTTGTTGCTCTCCTCGCCTGCGCGGGGGGTTGCGGTTCTGCTCACCCTCTTGGAAAACCTGGGTCCGGTCGATTTTGACCAGACTGCCGTCTGCGTCCTCGTCCTTCTTCCCGTAGCTCATGGTGGGTAGAGTAACGAGGGTGGCGCTGGGGATATGGGAAAGTCGGGCTCAAGCAGTGTGAAGCTGTGTGGAATCCCAACTCGCGACGTTGCCAATTCAATGCTCAGGCCGCCTGCCAATGGGGGTCCCCCCACAACAGGGGTCAGCGATGGTGCACGGCCCATCAGTGGTTCAGGCTGCTGGAGGGGAAGCAGGTCACCTGAAAAGTCACATGGAACCCTATCGCTGAACCACGTTCCTACTGCAGTACGAATACATGTTCCTACAATTTGTGACAAAAAAAGAAAAAAGCCCCATTATTCTGTTTGCTACACCGACAGAGCCGACTAGCGTAATTTGTGCATCGCACGTTCCTCGAGCAGTTCGTGTGTTGTCCGATAGCCCAGCCATTCAGCGTCAGTTATAGGTACCTAGACAAAGTTCCTGGGAGTCGAAAGGAGCCCCCAATAGCTTAGCGACGGCCCCTACACTCATAGCAAACCATAAATTAGGCACTGGTTGGACTGCAGCCAGGATGAAGAAAAGCGGAAACCGGCACCAAAACTTCAAAGATATTCCATTTTCCGACCCATAGCCAAACCCCCGAAACAAGCTTACACAGCAGCGATCTGCTCCGGCACTGCCTGTTGGGGTTCTTGCTGGGGTTCCGGTTCGGGCTGCTGCTGCTGCTGCTGCTGCTCAGGCTGGACGTCGGCCGGCGGAAGCGGTTCTAAGAGGGCGGCCGGTGCAGCAGCCATATCCTCCCTAAACTCCGTATTGACGGGTTGTCCATTCTCGTCAACGTCGTCTTCTTTCCGGTCCGGGTTCTTGCCAACGGCCTTGACCGCTTCTTTCTCCTTCTTGCCGAGGACAACAAGGTCAAAGCCTCGGGGAAGGAGGGTATCGGTTCTGCTGTTGTTGCCACACGTTAGCGAATGCCTACTAGTAGTGAGAAACGATAAAAAAAGGGTGGCGGAACGGCTCACTTCAGGAAGTCTTGCTTCAACAGCCGCGCCTTGTCGCGGAGCGCCTGCTGATCACGAGGACGCTCAAAGGGGATGGTGCCCGCCTTGATTTCCTTTTCGATGGTGCTCCACTTGCACTGGTAGGTATTAACTGCCTTGACAAGCAGGATGATATCCCGGCGCACCCATCCAGAGCGAACCTGGGGCTCCTTGACCTTGCGAGCCGCAGCCGTTATCTCCCTCGTCCGCTGCGAGAGAGCATCAAAGTCAGGCTCGTCTTGCGTCCCAGGTAACGGCGGATACTGCGAAACGGCACCGGAAGCTGCAAGCGGAGCGGTTCCTTGCGGAGCCGTGGAAGGAGGCCCCATGGTAGCTTCTGGGACCCCGTTCTTCTTCCGCCTCCGCGCCCTCTTTGCCGACTGCCCGGCCGATGCAGCAGTTTCATCGCCAACTGTCGAGGGCTGGCCCGGAGCCTGTCTCTTTCGGCCTAAGGTTTGAGTAGCCGACTCAGCATAAATGGAGCCGGGCGGCTGAAAGCCGCTCTGCTGGGATGGGTCGCCATATCCTAAAGCATGCGAAGGGCTGCTAAAGCCCGGCGGATAAGGGATTCGCGGCGCCGGCGGATATGAGCCAGAAGGCGATTGTTCACTATCGCCGTAGACTGAACCCCCCTGCTGTTCTAATTGCTTCAGCATCCGAAGAGAGTTCATGTTGAACGCCGGTTGCACACTGGACAAGTCGGTTAGCAGATTACGAGCCGAGAATAAAGGGAAGCTACATACTCGAGATCTGCTCGGTCAAACGCTTGACCCATCGTGTCAGCCTCGAGCTGCGACCGAATCTGCGAATCGGCCCTTGAGGCGGCGCTAGAGTGCATGAACTCTTGCTGCAGCATAAATTTAACGTTCTCGAAACAGCCTTTGGTAAAGCTTCGTAGGTTTTCGACGAAATCCGACGGAGGATACAACGTCTCAAACTGACTTAGGTCGAGGTCGTCGCCGTTAACCTCCTGATCGGGCAGCATCTTGCAAATGGAGCCGAAGCGGGTCTGAATAGCATTCCGATCCCTGGCCAGCGCAGCCACCTCGGAATCGGCCGGTGCGATAGGCTTGAGCTGGAGGCCGTCGTTATTGTTTCCCAGAAAAGCCTCGATCGATTCGGGTGACACATCGCCGTCGCACCAGATTCTCGCAACCTCCAGGCGGGGGTGGAAGGGCGCGGAGCCGTCCTTAAGGAGCTCCTTTAGACGGTGGATAGTTAGCTGCGTCCGAATCATCAGGGTCTGCTCAATGATCTGCTGGTTCATCGCGTTGTCTGCGTTGACGGAACCTTCGCCTATGAAAGAGCCGGGGAAATCTGACTCCAACGCCTGTAGCAGTGGCAGCGACAGCGGGTCTGCATGGTTGCGCGGGGTGAGGCTATCGAAGAGCATGGCGAGGTTGGCCGCCGAGACGACTCTCACAACCTTGTACCAGGGCAAAGACGCCCTTTCCAGCCGCATCACCTCGGTGACGAAAGCCGGGTTCACGACCGGGTCACTATCATCCCGTACGTAGTAAGTACGGTATGCGTCAAAGGCCTTCTTAAAGCCCTCCCGTTCCGCGTCCCAGATCTCTTGGTCAACCTGTTCGCTGCTAAGCTGAGTGAAGAAGTCATCGGTAGCGGTGAACAGACGCGACAGCATTGCATTCATGAGCCTCGCCCTCGCCGCTTCGCGGCTAGGCGTATCATTAGTGGAAGAGATACCAGATGTAACGCTGCCAGGGGGTCCGAAAACGAGTCCTGAAGCCGGCCTCTGCAGTGCGGTGCCTGGAAGATGCGAGTTAGAAAGGCTCATCCTGGCTGGGAATCTGTACGTACTCTGACTCGGCGGTTCCAGTTGCGACGAGAACGTGTCCGTGACAGCCTTGCTCCTAATGCTGGTGCTCTCTGAAGTGCGGCGCGCGTTCCGGTGGGGGAAAGGAGGCCCGGCCGGTCCACGCAGGTTCTTAGCACTAGGGACAGGCGGGGGATTCATGCCGGCATCCTGCGAGCCCGAGATGGCTGGATCGATGACTTCATTATACAGGACCGCAGATATGGGGTCCTCTAGCTGAGGGTCCATCCCGTGAGCCAGTTGCTGTGCACCCTGTGCCCGCTGCTGTTCCTGAGGCTGCTGCTGTTCTTGATGCTGCTGCTCAGGGGAATCAGCGTGTTGTTGCTGTTCTTCTGGTTGTGCCACGGTCTGATGTTGTTGCTGGTGGCGCGTGGAGCGGCGACTGGAGCCCGCGGCCGGCTCCTGCGCCGAACGCGCCGGAGGGCGGCCTCTACCTCGTCCTGACATAGATGCACAATGTCTGAAACTCGGGAAAATCGCCGCCGGCGATGAAGAGTTCAATGATGACCGTGATGGCACGCGAAGGAAGGTGATAAAAAGGGTTGGGGTTAGGGTTACAATGTCGAAGAGTTGAGGTTGTTTTGAAATTTAAGCTGCTGGCAAAGGCCACGACCCACCAAAATTAATGGTGTTCCATTTCTGCGCGAGTCGTTAACGCACGTGACATGACGCCTACATATGACTATATGTCACGCCACCTATCCACACTCAGGTCACCCCTCAAATTACCCGTAGACTTAGTGTCGTCTTCCATAGTTTAATCGAGCTCTTTATGGATGGTTTCTCAGTAAACCATCACGAGATAGTTGACCAATAAATATTGATTAAGCGGTAAGTTTTTCGCAGAGGGTTTCTGCAATGAGGCGAGGCAGTGTGGCGGTGCGCTGTGACACCCTTACTTGTGCATGCCAAGACACTTCCCCGGAAACCCCCTTGCAGGGGTTGTGGACTGCAAATCCTGGTAACAAGTTTCCATCCCTCGCCGCCCAGATTCTAATCTTATCACCGGATGGCCAACTTTCGCTTCAGACGCTCTCTTTATAGACAAGTTTGCTCTTCCAGATATTTCTTTTGCATCGCTTAATTCTCCCAACTTGTGGCGGGCAGTGCTCCTTCCCCCCCGGCCGCCTCTGATAACCATCGGCTCGTCAATTCCTAGGCAAACTAGGTTTGAATCGTGTCACGGACGAAGTTGGGATATCTCCTATCTTAATTGATTTTGGATCTTCGAATAGGAGACGACAATGAAGCTTCGGAATCACACCTTAACTCTCCTCATTCTCCTCCTTCCCTCGCTTGCCCTCGCCACCGCGACCGCTGAGAAGCAATTGGACCGGGACTCGGTGGCCGTCACGGATGGTGCGTCAGCCGCGAGGAGATACGGCACTAACGATGCGCCGGTTGATGGAAACGACGGGAAACCGCACGCTGGCCCGTTCGTCGGACTCGGCTCGAATTCTGGTTCTACGAGAGACCTGCCTACCCTGAAAGACCGCCCGGAAGATCCTTTGGTTGTCGACGGGAAACGAATTCCTGAGAGTCATGACGGCGTGATGGACGACAAAAACCGTCCAGAGCCCAGAAAGGGCACCACGGGCACCGAGGGGGGCGTGAGCGAGAAGGAGAAAGACAGAAAGTTGAGGGAGAAGCAAACCGGTGAGAAGGTCGAGAATACGCCCCCAACACCCAAGGAGGCGCCTCCGCTCCCGGATTCGGACCAAGAGCGGATTCAGGCCGCCGATGATAAAACGTCGACCCGACGCTTCTGGCCTCGAGGTAAATTCAATAATGTACCCTCCTCATCATGACCAGCCTGGCTAACTGCGCCATAGAAACCCGGCCGGTCTCCCAGACAAGACCCACGACAAGTCGCTTCCGCTCCCCGATTCCGTGGCAAACATTGATCATTTGGACGTTTCAAAAGGGAATGAACCAGGGATGATTACCGGACACGATGATGACGATAGCGAGGGCCTCGTGCAGCCACTTCATTCGTTCATGCTCTCGTTCACGATGATTATCTTCTCCGAAATCGGCGACAAGACGTTCCTGGTTGCTGCGCTTATGGCGATGAAACACGACCGTCTGGTAGTCTTCTCGGCTGCCCTGAGCGCCCTGATTGCCATGACGGTCCTCTCGGCTATGTTGGGGCATGCGGTCCCTACCCTGATTCCCAAACGCGTGACGACCTTTTTGGCCGCCGTTTTGTTCTTCGTCTTTGGGGCCCGCCTGCTTCGTGAAGGACTCGCCATGAGCCCTGACGAGGGTGTGTCGGCCGAAATGCAAGAGGTCGAGATGGAATTGGCCGAGAAGGAAAACCTGGCTAGAAAAGAAGGCAGAAGGACATCGGATATGTCGCCATATGCCCTGGAAATGGGTCTCGGCAACCGCAAGCCTCGCACCAAGTCCCGTTTCCCGGCGCCCGCTCGCAGCCCTTCAAGCTCCCCTGAGGGACGGAGCCCATCGCCGCGCCCCGGGGGCCTCGGGAATATTCTTTCTGGCCTCAGCAATCTCATCTCGCTGCTCCTCAGCCCTGCCTGGGTCCAGACATTCGTCATGACTTTTCTAGGAGAATGGGGCGATCGCAGTCAAATTGCCACGATTGCCATGGCGGCGGGTCAGGACTACTGGTGGGTGACCCTGGGCGCCATTCTGGGTCACGCATGCTGCACAGGCGTCGCTGTCATCGGAGGCAGGGCCATTGCGGGCAAAGTGAGCCTCAAAGTTGGTAGGTCTACAGTCCTCCACTACTACCGTCCGAGTGGCATAGTTACTGATATATTCCAGTTACTGTCGGTGGAGCCGTCGCGTTCCTCGTTTTTGCGGTTCTCTACTTGTTTGAAGCGTTATACTCATAGAGACGAGCCACGCAACCACGGTCAAGGGGTTTGGCTGTGCCAGCTGCCGAAGGGCGACCGCGGTACATATATTTCCGTCACCACTTGTAATTCTGCGTTCACACGCGACACGAGGAACTTTCTTTTCTAGGCCATGGCAATCCGGCGGCATCACCGGGGATATGGAAACACCACTGGGAGCAACCTTGCGTACTGATTCACGGGCGTGTATTAACTATACCAGACTATAAAGATTGGTCATATTCGGGCGAGGCGGGATGGAGTTGGGAGCGGTCTCAAGATGACTCGGCATTGGCAGGAGTTTGGGCAAAAACGAGAGATGGTGGGTTGGGGAGTGAGGGAATGGCCGAATTGACTTGTAAGGAAAATAAACTATGTATGTTTTAGTTGTCTTACTCTTGACAGATGGCTGCACGGGAACATTGAAATTAGGGTAAAGATGATGGAATAGTCTTGGATGCACCGATGGAGATGTCCAAAGTTTTCATTTTTTTACCACCTCTTCTTATATTATGTTTATTATTGCCTTTTTCTCCAATTTTTATTTTTTTTTCT